TGGGATCTCGGTGACGCAAAATATTTCCTTAAAAAGGATTCCCAGACCGGGGCAGGAATTATTGTTAAGGGGTATCTCCTTGATCTTCTATTAATCAATTGCCAAAATTGCCGTGAGTTACGTGAACTAGAGGCGATTATAAGCGCCTGCCAACGATTTTGTTGCCACTCTTGCTTAGCCATTCTCTGGGCTTGCTTATATGCTATTTTTGCTTGTTGGTAATTCCTAGGTAATACTAAAGCACCAGAGATTTATATTCATTGTAAATGGCACAAAGATGTCGTCTAGCTTGTTTGCATTTTAAGTTAAACCAAGGGGCGCCGGTCTTAAAAAGGGCCCGATTTACTTGGATGGCTGGTACTGTGAAAAAGGACATAAGATCTTCTGTAAGCAGAGAGAATGAATTGATAATTTGTTCATGCCCATACAGATCTAAATCTAAACAGCATGAGTTTGAATTATCTCTTGTTGGAAGAATTCCATATATTTTTGGGCTTGAGTTACTGACCATTTTTATTCCTCTCACTTGTTCTGCATTATTTATTCCCATATATATGGGGTGTCTAGACTTGATAGACTGCCAGTCTAGGGAAAGCTTGGCACTCAAGGGGAGATGGTCGCTCATTTGGACATTTTCTATTTAAAATAAGAAAAATTTGGGAATAAATCTCTAGAAACAATAAAATAATCGAGAACACTATTTGTAAGTGTGCTCAAATGAGTAAACTCACCCGAATATCCGGGGGACAATTTCCATTTAAAATTATCAAATTCAAACGTAAATCAGCTGATAAAGAAGGGTTCCCGCTTCATTAACCCTATTATCTTTCGATTTTCTCTGTATATGGGGGGAGAGATCCAATTCTGGTGATCAGGTATGACCCACCATTTGGCCTTGCCTAGCGCTTCCCAGTTTGCAGCTGTACGAGCATTAAAATCACCTCCCATGACTGCTGAGGTGTTTGGGAACTTAGTGTAACAGAAAGCTAGGTGTTCTTCAAGTGTTTCCCATTTGGAATGGAGGTCCCCTACCTGCCCCCCAGGGGGGAAATAAACATTTGTTACCAGTAATTCAAATTTCCCTCCTGAAATCAATCCTGTAATCGCATAAGGAGAGAAAGATTTAACAAGTGTAAGTTTTGCTTGCAATTTGAGGGAAATGGCTATTACCAAACCTCCCCTAGGCGTCCACCTTTAAGAGAGGGGCTAGCTGGAAGCAAAATGGTATCGTATCCATTTATGTCAATCACCTCCTCTTCCCAAGTTTCTTGTAGGAGAATTACTTGGAATAAATTAACAAATTTTAAGAAGTCTGGATCAGATTCTTCCCCTCCATCCCGCAATATTCCAGCATAAAATGACATCGAGGAGTGGCTGGGTTGGTCGTTAGGTAGTCAGATCATGTGGGAATGGGATTCTAATTTGGGGGGTTTCAGCTTCAAAAAAATCAGTAATTTTCCTTTGAGAAGGTGGCAATCGTGCTATACATCCCAACTGTTTAGATTTATGGGGTGGTTTGGCTGTAAAGTCGTGCCACTCGTCTCGCTAAAGGCAGATGTTAAGGCCTAAGATAGTTGACTTTTCAGAGCCTGATGGTAGAGTTAGGGGGGTATTACTTAGAGAGAGCGAAATTAAGTCAGCAGGTATCGTGCCACTAGTTGAGTGATCATTAACTGTTTGGATAGCTTTGTAATACGACCTGTCGGGTCTTCAACCAGATCACTCTTCGGGGCTAAAATTAAAATAGAGTCATCTCTCATTTGTTGGTCTGGTTCAGCTGGTTCTGTTACCGGTTCGATGGTATCTATGGATTTATTTCAACTTGCACACGTTAGAAGAGAGTGGGTTAATAAAGTTACAAGTAAGTGGACCCATATGGGGCACTTTACATGGAGAGCCTAATTCAGATTCATTAAGTTCCCTCATTTTGTCCCAGGCAGATGTTGTAGCCATATTTGCCTCAGAGATGGGGTGCATGATAGATGGGTCTGGTGATGGGGTTTCCGCCTCCAGAATATGGGAGAGTGGATTCATCTCCGCAACAACCAGTTGGTTGGTAGGGGTGGGTGCCTTCCCAACCCACAGGTCCAGTTCTTGGTGGTATAAGCATGGGGCAGAATCTGAACCACAGTCTCTATCAAGCATATTTTGTTTAGGTAATCTCAGCTGTTCCTCCGTCACTTTTGTCAGGCAGAAGTAAAGGGTATCAATTTTATGAAGTATTTCTTTCTGAGCTTCTTGCGGGAGGACGCTATAAGAGTGGAGTAAGTTATTATCAAAGCTATCAAGGTCAATTCCCTGATTCTCCGCATACCTGGGCCCAAGGGAGTCCAACCTTTGAGAGTCCTTGGCAACCAGACCAGTAGGATGTTTGGAGATGTCCTCCGCAGAGTTTATATCAATTAGTACGTGTTGGTCAATCTCATGTTGAGTTTTTGGCAAATTTACAGTATGGGGGATAAGTGGAATTGGAGGTGCTTCATTTTTAAAGGACCTTGAGATTCTTATACCACTCGTCTCCAGATGTTCTCTACATTTGTACACTAGTTTTGCCAGTCTTCCCTCATAGAATGAGACCACCGCTCTGGCAAGGAATCCGTTGAAGTATAGATATTCCACTTGGGCCAAATCATTAGGGTTATTAAGGATACCCGGCATATAGATCTTTAAAAGGTTAAATAGATGGACTTTACGCTCTTCTTGTGAGAGGAGTCCTGGGGGCTTAGGATAATTTGATAAAACGAGTTTGTTTCGGTACAGCACCAGATTCCAGTTTTTATTTGTTAGATTTGTCAGATTTCTCTTCTTAGAGGGATTGGTTTCATCTGCAGATAGAATGTAAGACCATGGATCTTGGATCAAAATGTCTTGCTTGGAGTTAGGCGTTGGGGTAGGTGTTAAGGGTTCCAAGCAATCCATCGCAGCATCAGGGCAAGGGTTTATAGAACGTTCTTGCTTGGGAGATTTCCTGGTTAGAAGTTTCTCAGTGTTCCCTCTGGTCTCGGTTATTGGGATACTCTTGAGAAGATTAAAAAGCTTTTTAAAATCCATTTTTTTGTAACGTACTGCCTTAAAATTTTTAACATTTCTGCTCTTTTTTACCCTTATGGGCCTCCTTTTCAAGGCAGTAGCCCTACAAGATCCCTTGGCCTTCCTTGGTGGTCTGTTTTTGCAGGTGGTAGGAAGGAAGTTGTTATTACTTTCCAATTCTGCAGTCACCCCACTGGGTTCCCTACAGAGAGTTTTGCAAGTGTCCATCATTATAGTGAGGATTTCTGTACAAGTGGCTAGATGAGATTTTATATTTTCAATATCTTCAGTTAAGAGCACAAGCCATTTGATAACTGATAAATCCTCATCCTCGTTTGTCTCAAGTTGGCAGCAGGAGTCTCTTGATGTTTTAGGGTTTCCCGAAGACATCTCTGCAATTTGTTTTAACATTAGTTCTTCCACTTCTCGGACTTGGGATGGTTCAGGGGAAGCTTGGGATTTAAGTCTCTGTTTTGGGAGTACTTTGGTGACTGTACCAATTATGTTTGGATTTACTTTGGGCTTTATTGGCCCTTTGTTGTGGCATTCTTCTACACAATCCTCTCTCTGCACAGCCGGCCCTTCAGTGCAGGAGGGAGAAGTTTCAGTTTCCTGCTGATTCTCACTCGGCTTGACTTTACCCCTATTCTTAAAGGGCCGAGTACTTTTTTTGTGTGCTCCCTTTCGGGTAGTTCTTTTAGGAAGGGGTCTTAAATCACTCCGATAAAAGCCTGATGTTCTACAGCCACTCCTGGTTGTCACCATTATTTATCTTATAAAGGTCAAGTTGGTAAAAATCTCACCTCGGCTCACCAGCTCCGTCGGGGTCGCAGCAGGGCCCTCCGTGGAACCGCTTCCAAGGTAGGCAGGTAATTCAGACCAATTTGCTGAGCTCCTTTGCTGTGGGAGTCACAGGCTTTCAAGGTTGATGGTGTCGTCTATTGTTCCTTATCTGCAAGGCGCTGACTCATCCGGCACATTCTCTACTCACAGCTCAACATTCTTCTGCTCTCAAGCTCCAGGTTAAAAGAAACAGTTATGAATAAGAAAAGTAAAATACTTGGTCTAAAACGAGTTAAAACGAGATAAAATCAATTAAAACTCAGTTAAAATTTGTGGAGCTCTGGAGCTGACTGCCTGGCCTGCCGCCATCTTGCCTCTCCTGGCAGAAAGCCGCTCAAAAACAAGAAGAAGGAAAAAAATATATCTTAATCTCAGAAGCCAGAACAGCAAGAGGGATCGCTGCACAGTGAAAGCATCAATCCCTCTTGCTGTTCTGGCTTCTGTGATAGCTGCGCAGCCTGCATTCGCTCCATAAGATGCACACACATTTCCCCTTACTTTTTAGGAGGGAAAAGGTGAGTCTTATAGAGCAAAAAATACAGTATATATATATGATAAACCTGCCAGATGTGGATGGAGCTCAACAGAACCACCTACAGCACCTGGGATTCTAACAGGGCACAAGGAACCTGAAATGGAGGGGTATGGATTGTTTTGTCTTTGAAAAATTCCTCCTCCAGTTATGCTTTTTTAAAAAAACCATGATCAGGCTGCTCTAAATTGCCCAGGCCTTCAAAAATGTAGTTTTCAGAGATCTTAGGGAAGTGAAAGTAGATTCTGTCAGGATTTGTGGTTTTTGTTTTTGCTTCTGTCTGTTTTTGGTTGACCAAAGAGACTATGGACCTTGGAAATGGAGCAACAAACAGGTGACTGACAATAGAGATGCAGAAAATTCCATGATTCGGCCAAACAAAATCCATTCAAGAAAAGAGCCAGGCTTTGCATATCTCAGGTTCCCACAAATACGTCCATGAATACCAGTCAACACAGGCAGTGAACCCTGTAGTAAGACCTCATGCCTGACCCTCTTCCGTTCTTCCACTATCACAAGAGTTAATTTTCATTGTCCAATCATTTGGGGCTCCAATTATTTCTGAGGTTCTAATCCATTTCTCTCCCCATTGCAGGTGAGGTTGAATTGGCAATGAAGAACAAGGGAGAACATGACAAAATCCACACAGTAGAGAAACCACATGAATATTTGGAGTGTGGAGAGAGCTCCATCTCCCTTTCCACTTCCTATCAAACAAATCTTATTGGGATGAAACCATATCAGTGTTTGGAATGTGGAAAGAGTTTCACCCGGAAGGAAAGTCTCACTGCCCATCAGAGAATTCATACACTGGAGAAACCATTTCACTGTCAAGAGTGTGGAAAGAGCTTCAGATGGAAGTCAAATCTCACTTCCCATCAAAGAATTCATATGGGGGAGAAACCATTTCAGTGTTTGGATTGTAGAAAGAGCTTTACCCACAAGAAAATTCTCATTTCCCATCTAAGAGTACATACAGGGGAGAAACCCTATCAGTGTTTGGAATGTGGAAATAGCTTTAGTCACAGCGCCTCTCTCAATTTACATCGAAGAATTCATACAGGGCAGAAGCCATATCAGTGCTTAAAATGTGGAAAGAGATTCGGTCGGAGGTCCACACTCGCCAACCATCAAATAACTCATACAGGGGAGAAACCCTATCAGTGCTTGAAATGTGGAAAGAGCTTCACCCAGAAGGAAAGTCTCACTGCTCATCAGAGAATTCATACACTGGAGAAACCATTTCAATGTAAAGAGTGTGGAAGGAACTTCAGTTGGAAGGCAAGTCTCACTGCCCATGAAAGAATTCATACAGGGGAGAAACCATATCAATGTTTGGAATGCGGAAAGAACTTCAGTCATAGCTCCCATCTCGCTTCCCATCAAAGAATTCATACAGGGGAGAAACCATATCAATGTTTGGAATGTGGAAAGAGCTTCAGTCAGAGCTCCCAACTCACTTCCCATCAAAGAATCCATGCAGCGGAGAAACCATATCAGTGCTTGGAATGTGGAAAGAGCTTCAGTCGAAAGGACAATCTCACTTCCCATCAAAGAATCCATACAGGGGAGAAATTGTATCAGTGCTTGGAATGTGGAAAGAGCTTCAGTCACAGCAACCATCTCACTTCCCATCAAAGAATTCATACAGGGGAGAAACCCTATAAATGTCTTGAATGTGGAAAGAGCTTCAGAAAAAGCGTTCATCTCACTTTCCATCAAAGAATTCATACAGGACAGAAACCATATCAGTGCATGGAATGTGGAAAGAGCTTCAGTAGAAAGGACCATCTCACTTGCCATCAAAAAATTCATACAACGGAGAAACCATATCAATGCTTGGAATGTGGAAAGAGCTTCATTAGAAAGGACCATCTCATTTTCCATGAAAGAATTCATACAGGGCAAAAATCCTATCAGTGCTTAGATTGTGGAAAGAGCTTCAGTAGAAAGGACCATCTAACTTCCCATCAAAGAATCCATACAGGGGAGAACCATAACAGTGCTTGGAATGTGGAAAGTGCTTCAGATGGGCAAGCTCACTTTCCATCCAAGAACTCACAGCAGGGAGAATAGTTGAATTGTAGAATCATAGTGTTGGAAGGGACTCTGAGGGTACACTCACATCTATGCGGGTGCAGAAGGACCCACATGCGCACACATGCCAATCCCAGACACCACTGACAGCGATCCAGCCAGACTTTCCCCTCTAGGGGGGTACTTGTGAGTGCCTTCAATACTGTATGGGGGGGAATCCTGTGCCCTGTGGGTGGGTGTGTCAGCTTGCATTTTTTAGTGCAGAAAGTATTGATCTGATGTGTAGAGATCTCTCCTTTTCTTTCCTTTTCTACTTAATTTTAGAGGGTTCTGGAAGCTTCTAGAAGGTTCATGATGTTTGAGTTATACCTTCTGAGAAGCTGAGTACAGCTGGTTTAAACCATTTCTCTTATCTCTTTCTGTCAAGGTCATGCTGACTAAAAAAGAAGGCCAGAAGGAGCTTGAGTTTCTCTTTCTCTTTCTCTCCCTTCTGGTGTGGTGCTCTGTATATTGTGTTAAAGTATAGTCTTCTTGTTTTATTGAAGTTTAAGTTAAGTGTGCTGTAACTGGATTTCTGAATGTATCGGATTTGTGACCATTATGCTCGTTTGCCTTCAGTAGCAGTAAAGCTCTGTTGAATGAAATATTAATTGCCTCTGGTCAATTTTTTTGGAATTTTGCAACATTTAAGTTTTTACTCTGCTACCTATACATTGGAATCTACTCTGGATCACTAATGTTTAGCATTTCAATGGCAGGTTGTAGCTGCATTACCTTCTTGCAAGAAGCGTTGGACCAGGCAGTGGGAACCCAGAGGGACTCCTGCTCACCTGAGCCCAAGGCTGCCACGTGTGTGTGGAGGGTGTTGCAGGGGAACCTTTGATCCAGGGCATCCTTCAGGAAGGGCAGGAAGTCCAATACCTGTCCTGCTAGGGGATCTGCCTTCTTTCTACCTGCCCACCTGAGGGAGGCTCACCAGGTGAATTTGTGTATGCTCTGGGTGGGCTGTCTGTGGGGACATTGGGTGGCAGGTGGAAGGTCAAGTCTGTCCTAATTCCCTTAGGACCCAGAAGTCTGGAGGTTGGACTTCTCTGTGTGGCAACAGGTCCCTCCTGTAGGACAGAGGTCAAGGGTCTGCCCCGGATAGGGCCATGAGTTCTGCAGACCCTCCTTGGCCAGAGTGGAGCTGCTACAATGATCTCTCCCCAGAGTGAATCTCCTTGCAGTTCCCAGAAGATTACGCTTCGCCCATAGAGTTCATTGCTTTTCTCCTATCTCCTTCCACTTTAGCTATTTCACGCATTAATTGTTTCATATATGTGGCTCTTTGCTTTCATTCTCTTCTCTTCTGCTCATGCCAGAGCCTGGCTGCTGGATTTGGCCCATTGCCCGTCTAGTCCAGCATCGTCTTCTCACAGGGACTGACCAAATGTCTGTGGGGAATAACACTAGGAGGACCCAAGCGCAAGAGTCCTCTCTTCTCCCGCAGCTTCCATAAACTCGTATTCAGAAGCATCACTGCCTTCAACCGAGGAGGTTGAGGATTGCGTATAGAGTACTTATTGGGATTTGTTTGCACAAAGCTTGCAAGGAAATCACCAGACCCTCCAAGTGCCCCTCTTTTCCAGGGACGTCCCTGATTTAGAGAAGCCATCGTGGTTTCTGATTTGATTCTGGAATATCCCGCTTTCCCTTAGGGTGCCCCTATTTTCATCGGATAAATGTTGGCGGGTATGAGTCACTGGTCTTTTCCCCTGCAAGCTGCTCCTCCTGTTTCTGTTTCCAAACGGGGTGTGAGGATACTCAGCAGCCCAGCTTGCCGGGGTGCAAGTCCCCCGCAGGTCTCTGCTGTCAGCAAAAGAAGGAAGTTCCAGCCAAGGAATGGAGCAAAACAGTGATCAGTAGACCACGGCCTTGATTGTTGCTCAACAGGTCCCCACAAGGAATAAGAACCCCGAACATAGGTTACACACTCTTATAAGACCTTTCCTCCCTACCCAGAATACATTTCCAGAAGCATTATTGAGTTGTGTATGTGACCTCTCGCTTAGCGGATTATGGAGGAAGGTGATGTCAAAATCCGCCTGCCCTTTTGGAGCAAAATGTAATTGAAATGGGGAGAATTGGTTAAGGCATGGATTTTATATGCTTTTTCAAAGCACTGTTAAATACAAAGAGATACAATTTGACACTTTCTAGCAACAATGTAAGAGGTTTTGGCAATCGAAAACAGAAGAGATACCATTTACCACATTTCTCCTTTATCTACACAGAAGACCGTGCAAAGGCTGAGCTGTTGAGCTGAAGGTTTTGCCGCGTTCCCTGCTGCTGACCTCCTTTCCACCCTAGGGGTGACTGTTTGATAATACCCGATTGGCTAGCTTTCAGATTTTAGAGCTCCTCCTTGATTGATCTTCGGTAATTCACAAATATGCAGTTCATTCATATAACACAGGGTTCATTCATAAAGCAGTAACATAATTTCAATATTATATATTGAGCGTATATTTGATCGATTGAACGTACGGGTTTATGGCCAAGGTGTAATGTAGTGCTTCTGCGACTATGGACAAAGGTGGGCTCATCGTCCAGGGGTTTGGAAGGGAGGCGGAAAACTGATATCTAAGATGTGCCCCTCTTTCATTTCCGTAAAGCAAGGGAGGAAGCAGTTTAACACGTCAGCCAAGAGGCCCCCCCAAGAAAACTTATCTGACTGTGCGCAACGCACGTGCCTCTTGCTGGGCTCCTGCTCTGGAGAGAAGTGTGAGCTGGGTGCACACAGCTTGCCAAGGGTTAAAATGAGCTGGATTCCTAGAGAGGACAGGAAAATAAAAGTGTCGCGGGGGGGGGCAGGTCCTCCCTTCCCCCTCCCTTCCTGCAAGAGGGGGAGGGGGCTGTCGTCTTCTTTGCAAATGCTGCCTCGGCGGTGCCTTCTGCGCGCTGGTGAGTCTCCTCTCTCTTCCTCCTCTCTCTTCATTGGGGAGAAGAGGGGTTCCCTGCCCACCCCACCGAACCCCAAATCAGGGAGCCGAGGGTCCTCCCCCTCCATCTCTGCAAAGCCAGGGCGCGGGCTCGTTCCCAGGAGGTGTGCAGCTACAGACCCATGGATGCCCCCTTGAGCTCATTGGAGAGAAAAAGGGGAGTATAACTATGCCATGACTCAAGAGAGGGATCCCAGCCCATAATCTGGCCGCTGCGTTGTGGGCCCGTTTCCAGCTCGTCTTCCAGGGCATCTCCACAGAGACGGCATTGCAAGGATCCCCTCAGGTCCAGAGCCGGGAAGCTGAGCCCCCCCCCCCGGGAGGGCGCCGTGTTCAGCTGATCCATCTGGGCGCCCCCCCCCCCCACGGAGCAGACTTTCTTTCCTCTACCTGTTCCCAAAATCAAGCGCAGCTTGGCCTGGACTTTGGCATCAGCAGTGCTGGTTTATTGGGGGGGGGGGGGGCGCTTCCCGAAATGGATTAACTGAATGGATTCTAGGCACTGACCTGATGAAAAAAATCATAGCCGAGTTTCTGACACAGAAACAGAATTTTGGAAGGTAGCTGAATGTAGAAAGTGTGTGTTTTTCTCTTGTGGGAAAATATTATTATTACTGCTGCTACTACTCCTACTCCTGATCCAGGCGTCTGGCTAAACTGTTGGGTCCCTGAATGTGTTGCTTGTGAATACACGTGGTTGTAGTCCACTCATAGGTTGCTTTACATAATGAATATAGGTATAGAAATTCAAGTTGTTGTTATAGCGGTGATGAATGTTTTAACTTGGGAGGGTGATGTTTTATTTGGGGGTGGGTTTGTTTTCAATTGTTTTCAATTGTTTTTGAATGTTGGGTGTTAATTTGGAATCTTAGATTTCTTTTCTATTTGTGGCTTTTGTTGGGGAGTGTATTTTTTCCCCCAGTTTGTATACATTAGTTTTTAAAATTATTTTTAATCTGTATTTTGTTCCTTTTATATTGTAACTGTGTGTTGTGAACCGCCCTAAGACGGAGGGCGGTATACAGATATAATAAATAATAATAACAATTGAAATATTTCTAAATGAAATGAATAAAAAAAAGAAAAACTGGTGAAATATTGAAACAAGGAGATCACAAATGTGTGGTATGGACCCTCCTCCGTATATAGAAATAGTCTACCAGACATCAGATGCCACAAATAAAAGTTACTTTGTTTTAAATTACATAATTAAATTATGCTTAAATAAGGAAAAAGATGTTTTCATCAGAAACCCAGGATATATGCACATATGTACTCAGTATATTATAAAACAATCAAGTATATTATTAAAACAATGCTGTTGTGGTGGCCATAATATTTGTACCGCACCCATCTGACTGAGTTGCCCCAACCACTCTGGGTGCCTCCCAACACAATATTATAAACACAATAAAACAGCAGTCATTGAAAACTTCCCGATACAGGGCTGCCTTCAGATATCTTCTAAAAGTTGTGTAGTTCTTTATCTCCTTGACATCTGCTGGGAAGGAAGTTCCCCAGGCAGGGTGCCACTACCAAGAAGGCCCTCTGCCTGCTTCCGTGGGCATTTTGGGGCCTCTCAGCCTCCCACCCGTGCGAGCAGAGTTGCCTTTGCAGCAGAGTCCAAAAACAAAACAAAACTCCACAACCAGGTCAAGCACAGGCAATCTGGATCCCATCCTGACTGAAAGCAAGGTCAGAAAATAATGCAAGCATAATTCCACTGGGGGTTCACACTAAGTACAACACAGCAAGACGGGGGAAGTAATATCAGGAACATGGAGCCAGAAAGCTCTGCTATTTCCAGATAATCTCATACATTATGGCCTTCCAGACCACAAACTAGCCAAAGTCATCGTCATCAGCGGAGTTTCAAGGACTGCATATTCATGAGTAGACCCCTTGCTCCTGATCTGCTGAAGGACTCTGGAGCCTGGAGCCAAGGGCTATGTTGTCATTCTGGGACCTGGAGATTGTGGTGCTGACAGCCTGGGCTGTGGTACAGTCCAGCCCTGGTTCCTAGCAAGACTCATCCACACTTGCTCAGAGAACATTTTTCTTCTCCTTACAATGTGTCAATTTTATAGCGATAAAGTGTGTTTGCTTTGTAGGATTTGCTAGCACCTTTAATTCGAACCTACAGAAAATGGCAGAAAAAAGATTCCTTCCGATCTCTTGCAGGAATCCTGAGAGCACAGATGAATGAGCAAGACTCAACTGGCCCTGAAGCAGGAAGAGGCCATGCCATGGAAACTGGAAGCAGTGGGGGATTCTGGGGAAACTCTGTGCAGAAGCTCTTGCATGAGGTGGACACTCTTCGCTCAGATGGGCAGAGCCGGCAGTTCAGACATCTCTGCAACCAGGAGGTGAAAGGACCCTGAGAGGTTTGCAGCTGGTTCTACTGCTGACCATCAGTGGCTGAAGCCAGAAAGGCACACAAAAGCGGAGATGCTGGACCTGGTGATCTTGGAGCAGTTCCTGGCTGTCCTTCCACTGGAGATGGAGAGCTGGGTGAGGGAATGTGGAGCAGAGACCAGTTCCCAGGCAGTGGCCCTGGCCGAAGGTTTCCTCCTGAGTCAGGCAGAGGAGAGGAAGCAGGTGGAGAAGAAGCAGGTGAGAGAGACTTTCCTCTTAATTCTCCCAGGGAACTCTGAACAGGAGGGAGAAGATCCTAAAATACTGTACGAATTGATCATCCTTTTTTAGGAAGTATCCAAGGCATTTTGCCTCTACCATTTTTGTTGTTCTTTCAGGAAAATGATCTGGTTGCAGAAATGGGCTCCAATTACTCTGAGGCAGAGAGGACTCGGATGGACACCAGAGAGAGTTCACTAGGTAAGGAGGAAGGAGTTTCTTCTCCATTTGGTCTTTCTGTTGCTTTTGAAAGTAATCTGTGAGTTCTTTCAATTTTGGGGGGGAGACATTTGGGCCCAGGAGCCCATAAGAGCACAACAAAGCTATGAAATTGGTACAACTGTCAAAATGTACATTTCAGAGAAGCATGCACTCCTGGCTTCCAACTAACCTTTGTCTCTCAGGTGAAAGAAGAATGTCAACAAGACCTCCTCACCCGTCTTTTCCTGCTGGTGGAGAGGAAGCAGCAGCTGCAGAAGCAGATCAGGTAGGAGGAAGGAGCCTTGTGGGGAAAGAGGCTCAGGAGTGGGGCAGCCAGGGTGTCTCTGGGAATGAAGAAATCCCTCTCTTCCTCTTTGGTTTCGTCAAAGCTGTCCCAAACAAAGGCTGAAAGTGCCATTCAGTAAGGTCTATCTGCTGAAAATCAGGAACAGCCTCCCCTCCTTTACTAGCCTTCTGTATGTCTGTAGTGTTATTTATCAGCATTTGCAGTTTTATTTATATATTTATAATTGAGTGCAACAATGGGCTTCTAAGCAGTTGACATACCATAAAAACAGTGCCCAAGATTCCCCAATGCAACGCCCCCCCAAAAAAGCAGACGGGGTGCGGAGAGAGGAGATCCTTTCATTTGTGACCCTTCCATACCGATCCAGATTAGACTACAACGAATTGTTGGCAGATTAAACACAATGCAGGATCCCCAAAAACAGACCAGGCGCAGGAGCTTCATCTAGTATTATTTACTGAAGGGAAATGAGCATAACTATTCACGAATTCACCTCTTTGGGATATTCGTAGTACTTAACAATCCATTTGCAATATATATATAAAAAACTCACATCCATGACGAAGGAATTATGGCCTCTGTTTATAGGCAGCATGGCCTTGGGATAGAAAAATAACAGGGCCACCTTCAACCAGCTGTACTCAGCTTCTCTGAAGGAGTAACCCCAAAATCAGGAACCTTCTGCTCATTTCCAGGCAGAATGGAAAAATTGCTGACCAGCTAGTCACTTGCCGCTTGCAGCTTGGATTAGCTTCTAGGCCAGGGGTTTGCAACCTTTAAGACAAAAAGAGCCACTTGGAACCGTTTCCGAAGAAAAAAAAACTGGGAGCCGCAAAACTCGTCATTATAAAAATAACTTTTTTGTCACTTTTTTATTATTTCTTTGTTTGACCCCTCAGAATTACTCCTCCTCATAGAAATAAACGTTAAATTAACAAGTTACCTTTGTGTGTGTGTGTGTGTTCTTCACTCCCCTTCAAAACATTGACCAGCGTACATGCCCCCTTTCAATGCAGTGACCGGCGTACATGCCCCTTACAATGTAGTGGGCAGGCGGGAAGGTGAATTCGGGACGGTGCGTGACTAACGCACGCACCGCCCCCGTGCGACGTCACAGCCATTACAGCGCCCGCCACAGTGGGGAGTGTCTAGGTGCACAATGCGCCTCCTCCCCTCGCTAGTATCCGCCCCGGAGCCGCGGCAAAGGTGTAAAAGAGCCACATGCGGCTCCGGAGCCGCGGGTTGCAGACCCCTGTTCTAGGCTGTGAGACCCAGACAAGTTTCCAGAACCTTCTTGAATCAATAGAATAGGAAAGATCTCTGCATATTACACCAATACTTTCTATACCAAAAATGGCAAGCCATGTCAGTAATACCACCTCCCTCTTACCTATCCACAAGCCTTGAATTCTACCCCAGATCCTTTTTGGCTGGTCCAAGATTTCAGACTTGTCTACCAGTTTGTGGTCCAAAAACACTTAGTGGTGCCCAACCCTCAGAGTGCCATCCCTGCAGGGACCAAGTGGTACAGCCTAGTGGACCTTTGCTCAGCAAAGGAGGAGTGGGCGTTGTTGGATCCTGACCAGAGAGCTTTGCATAAGGAAGTCATGGAGGAGAATCGTGGGATCATGGCTTCCCTCGGTAAGGCTCCCAGTTGGATGATAATATCTGCTTTGAAATTCCAGAGAGAGAGAGAGAGAGAGAGAGAGATAGCAAACTGAAAAGCCTGCCAGATTTGGATGAAGCTCAACAGAACCAACTACTGCACCTGGTATCCTAGCAGGGCACAGGTCACCTTCCATGGAAGGGTATGGATTGTTTCATCTGTGAAAATTCCTCTTCCAGTTATGCTTTTTAAAACCATGATCAGGCTGCTTTAAAACCAACTGCCCAGGCCTTTATAAATGTACGGTACCTTGGGTTACAGACACCTCAGGTTACATACGCTTCAGGTTACAGACTCCGCTAACCCAGAAATAGTACCTCGGGTTAAGAACTTTCCTTCAGGATGAGAACAGAAATCGTTTTCTGGCGGCGCGGCGGCAGCGGAAGGCCCATTAGCTAAAGTGGTGCTTCAGGTTAAGAACAGTTTCAGGTTAAGAACGGACCTCCAGAACGAGTTAGGTACTTAACCCAAGGTACCACGGTAGTTTTCAGAATTTTTAGGAAAGTGAAAGTAGATTCTGTCAGGATTTGTGGTTTTTGTTTTTGCTTCTGTCTGTTTTTGGTTGACCAAAGAGACCTTGGGCCTTGGAAATGGAGCAACAAAGAGGTGAGTGACAATAGAGATGCAGAAAATTCCATGATTCGGCCAAACAAAATCCATTCAAGAAAAGAGCCAGGCTTTACACATATCAGGTTCCCACAAATCAGTCCATGAATGCCAGTCAACACAGGCAGTGAACCCTGTAGTACGACCTCATGCCTGACCCCCTCCCGTTCTTCCACTATCACAAGAGTAAATTAGCATTGTCCAATCATTTGGGGTTCCAATTATTTCTGAAGTTCTAATCCATTTCTCCCTTCATCGCAGGTGGTGATCAATTGGAAATTAAGAACTGGGGAGACCACGACAAAATCCACACAGTGGAGAAACCATATAAAAATTTGGAGTATGGAGAGAGCTCCATCTCCCTTTCCACTTCCTATCAAACAAATCTTATTGGGATGAAACCATATCAGTGTTTAGAATGTAGAAAGAGATTCACCCGGAAGGAAACTCTCACTGTCCATCAGAGAATTCATACATTAGAGAAACCCTATCAGTGCTTGGAATGTGGAAAGTGCTTCAACAGGAAGTATAGTCTCACTTCCCACCAAAGAATTCATACCGGGGAGAAACGATATCTGTGCTTGGAATGCGGAAAGAGCTTCAACCGGAAGGGAAGTCTCACTGCCCATCAGAGAATTCATACACTGGAGAAACCATTTCAATGTAAAGAGTGTGGAAGGAACTTCAGTTGGAAGGCAAGTCTCACTGCCCATGAAAGAATTCATACAGGGGAGAAACCACATCAGTGCTTGGAATGTGGAAAGAACTTCTCCCGCAAGGAAAGTCTCATTTTCCATCTAATAATTCATACAGGGGAGAAACCCTATCAGTGTTTGGAATGTGGAAAGAGCTTCAGTCAAAGGGGCAATCTCATGTTCCATCAAAGAATCCATACAGGGGAGAAACCCTATGAATGTTTGGAATGTGGCAAGAGCTTCACCCACAAGCAAAGCCTCAATTCCCATCAAAGTATTCATACAGGGGAGAAGCCGTATCAGTGCCTAGAATGTGGAAAGAGATTCGGTCGGAGATCCTACCTCACTTCCCATCAAAGACTTCATACAGGAGAGAAACCATATCAGTGCTTGGAATGTGGAAAGAGCTTCAATCAGAGCTCTGGTCTCACATCCCATCAAAGAATTCATACAGGGGAGAAATGTTTTCAATGCTTCAAATGTGGAAAGAGCTTCATTCACAAGGCTAGTCTCACTTCCCATCAAAGAATTCATACAGGGGAGAAACCATATCAATGCTTCGAATGTGGAAAGAACTTCAGAAAAGGTGTCCATCTGACTTTCCATAAAAGAATTCATACAGGGGAAAAACCATATCACTGCTTGGATTGTGGAAAGAGCTTCAGTAGAAAGGACAATCTCACTTCCCATCAAAGAATCCATACAGGGGAGAAATTGTATCACTGCTTGGATTGTGGAAAGAGCTTCAGCAGAAAGGACCATCTCACTTCCCATCAAAGAATTCATATGGGGAGAAACCATAACAGCGCTTGGAATGCAGAAAGAGCTTCAGAGGACCAAGCCCACTTTCCATCCAAGAACTCACAGCAGGGAGAATAGTTGAATTGCAGAATCATAGTGTTGGAAGTGACTATGAGGGTCATCTAGATTAACTCCCTGCAATGCAGGAAGCTCAACTAAAGGTGTTTGGGTTTTTTCAGCTGGAGTTCACCAGAACTTTGCTCTGGCACCTCTCAGGTGGGTTGCCATTGCCATTCTCAAAGAACAAGGGACAGTTCGTGGTGTCTTCTGGCACCATTTTTCTAGAAAAATAGCACTGTCTGTGACAGATGGCCATTCAGCCTCTGCTGAAAAACCTCCAATCAAGAACAGTCCAGCAACTTCTGGTGAAGTCTGTTCTGTAGTGAATTAGCTCTTACTGATAGAAAGTTATGCCTACTGTTTAGCTGAAATCTCCTTTCCTGTTACTTGAATCAATGGCCTCAGTCCTAACCTCTGCAGCAGGAGAAAACCAGCTTGCTCCATTTTCCATGGCACAACCCTTTTCTCCTACAAGCTGCTCCTCCTGTTTTCAAATGTTAGGGGAAATTCCAGGGTGCGAGGATACTCAGCAGACCAGCTTGTTGGGGTGCAAGTCCCCCACAGGTCTCTGCGGTCAGCAAAAGAAGGAAGTTCTAGCCAAGTAACAAAGAAATACAGCAGTCCGTAGACCACGACCTTTATTGTTGTGCAATAGGTCCCCACAAGGAGTAAGAACCCCGAACATAGGTTACACACTACCCAGAATGCATTTCCAGAAGCATCATTCATACATCACTGATACAACATCATCATCATCATCATCATTTATTTATAACCCCCCCCCCCAAATCTGGCTGGTTTCCCCCAGCCACTCTGGGCAGCTTCCAACGAAAGATTAAAAATACATTAAAACATCGTCATTAAAAACTTCCCTAAACAGGGCTGCCTCTATATGTCTTCTAAAGGTCAGATGGTTGTTTATTTCTTTAACATCTGATGGGAGGGCGTTCCACAGGGAGGGCGCCACTACCGAGAAGGCCCTCTGCCTGGTTCCCTGTAACTTGGCTTCTCGCAGGGAGGGAACCACCAGAAGGCCCTCGGAGCTGGACCTCAGTGTCCGGGCTGAATGATGGTGGTGGCAACGCTCCTTCAGGTGTACTGGGCTCCTTCAGGTATCCTTCAGGTATACTGGTATACAAGGAGGGAGGAGAGTTGTGAGGATACCGAAGTTTGTTAAATTGCCCCGCTTATCAGATTAAGTTCCAGACACCAGATTAAGTTCCAGACACCTTAAGTAAAGGTAAAGGGACCCCTGACCATTAGGTCCAGTCATGACCGACTCTGGGGTTGCAGCGCTCATCTCGCTTTATTGGCCGAGGGAGCCGGCGTACAGCTTCCGGGTCATGTGGCCAGCATGACTAAGCCGCTTCTGGCGAACCAGAGCAGTGCACGGAAACACCGTTTACCTTCCCGCCAGAGCGGTACCTATTCATCTACTTGCACTTTGATGTGCTTTCAAACTGCTAGGTTGGCAGGAGCAGGGACCGAACAACGGGCGCTCAACCCGCCGTGGGGATTTGAACCTCTGACCTTCTGATCGGCAAGTCCTAGGCTCTGTGGTTTAACCCACAGTGCCACCCACGTCCCTACTGACACCTTAAGTGTTGTTGTTGTTTAGTCGTTTAGTCGTGTCCGCCTCTTCGTGACCCCATGGACCAGAGCACGCCAGGCACTCCTGTCTTCCACCGCCTCCCGCAGTTTGGTCAGGCTCATGTTTGTAGCTTCGAGAACACTATCCAACCAGACACCTTAAGTAGCCGCCACCTAAAGAACAATAAAACTATCATTGCATATCCTTGTCTTCTGGCCTTCTCAAGGATGGGAGGGTGGGCTTTGGGAACACCTGGCTTGAACAAACCCATCAGAAGATGTCCATTGTTTCCCTCAAGGGAGGGGTGCTGTGTACATGACTGTGTGCCTCAGGGATTATGGAGGATGGTGGTGTCCAAATCTGCCTTCCCTTTTGAAGCAAAATGTCATTGAAATGGGGAGAATTGGTTAAGGCATTGATTTTATATGCTTTTTCAAAGGTTAGTACTCCATCAGCACTGTCAAAGACAAAGGAATACAATTTGACGCTTTCTTGCAACAATGTGTATTTGAAGAAGTGTGCATGCACACGAAAGCTTATACCAAGAACTAACTTAGTTGGTCTTTAAGGTGCTACAGGAAGGATTTTTTTATCTTGCAACAATGTAAGAGGTTCTGGCAATCGAAACCCGAAGAGATACGATTTACCAGCTTTCTCCATTATCGACACAGAAGCTGGTGCTCAGTCAACCGTGCAAAGGCTGATCTGCTGAGCGGCTGAAGGGTTTGCGCCATTCCCTGCTGCTAGGGGGCGCTGTTTGGTAATACCCGATTGGTTAGCTGTCAGAATTCAGAGCTCCCCGCTGGTCGATCTTTGGTAATTCTCAAAATAAAGAGTCCATTCATAAAACACAGGGTTCATTCATCAAGCAGTAACATAAGTTCAGTGTTATATATTTGTGGGATGTGAAAGACATAGCAGTCAAGCACAACATTCCTAGAGTGGACATGCAAGGGGATGTTTTGTACAAACTTCTTCTGCATGTGACTAGAGATGGGCGTGGCCTTACCTGGCCAGGTAACAAAAGAGCAAGGCAGGGAGCACACTTCCTCTCTTGGACTGTCTTCTCCATCTTGCTTGTATCGAAGAAGCAACAGCTCTTCAGCTAGAAACGACCTATTTCCTTCCAGCCCACAGAGCACCCCGTATGGGATAGTTCCTCTTGTATATATTTTGTAACCTAAGTCTGCCTTCAGGGATGCGATTGTGAACTGATGATACTGTGAGTAAACTTGTTTTTACTGACTTTAAATAAGATTGTCGTGTCTATTCTTTTTAAGAGGGACAAAAGGGAATTACCAGAAATCCTATATTTAGAAGCTCAAACGAGCTGGCAACAAGTTAACCGCTGTGCGTTTAAAGGGGGGATGTTTAAACTCTGCTAAGTTATTGAACTTGCTAAGGCAAGTTAGGAAGGATATTATTAAACAATATATGCTCTTCTGCCTCCCTGAACATTCCGACAATATGGATCGATTGAACGTGCTGGTTTACGGCCATGGTTAATGCAGTGCTTCTGCTACAGATAGGTAGCCGTGTTGGTCTGCCATAGTCAAAACAAAACAAAATTCCTTCCAGTAGCACCTTAAAGACCAACTAAGTTAGTTCTTGGTATGAGCTTTCGTGTGCATGCACACTTCTTCAGATACACTGAAACAGAAGTTGCCAGTGCTTCTGCGACTATGAACGAAGGTGGCTGGGCTCATCGTCCAGGGGTTTGGGAAGGAGGCGGAAAACTGCTCTCTAAGATGTGCCCCCCTTCATTTCCGTAACACGAGGGAGGGAGGGAGGGAGGGCAGATTAGAACCGCCCACCCCCCGAAAACTTCTCTGACTGCGCAGCGCACACGGCTTCTCCTGGGCTTCGCCTTCTGGAGGCGAAAAGGCAGAGAGGGAGAGAAGGGTGAGATGGGTGCACACGGGTTGCCAAGGGTTAAAAAGAGTTGAGCTAGTATTCCTAGAGAGGACAGGAAAATAAAAGTGTCGCGGGGGGGGGCAGGTCCTCCCTTCCCCCTCCCTTCCTGCAAGAGGGGGAGGGGGCTGTCGTCTCCTTTGCAAATGCTGCCTCGGCGGCGCCTTCTGCGCGCTGGTGAGTCTCCTCTCTCTTCCCCCCGGAGGGGCATTGGGGAGAAGAGGGGTCCCCTGCCCACAGAGCCCCAAATCAGGGAGCCCAGGGTCCTCCCCCTCCATCTCTGCAAAGCCAGGGCGGGGGCTCGTTCCCAGGAGGTTTGCAGCTACAGACCCATGGATGCCCCCTTGAGCTCATTGGAGGAAAAAAGGAGGGTAGAACTATGCCATGACTCAAGAGAGGGATCCCAGCCCATAATCTGGCCGCTGCGTTGTGGGCCCGTTTCCAGCTCGTCTTCCAGGGCATCTCCACAGAGACGGCATTGCAAGGATCCCCTCAGGTCCAGAGCCGGGAAGCTGAGCCCCCCCCCCCCCGGAGGGCGCCGTGTTCAGCTGATCCATCCAGGCAACAACACCCCCCCCCCCACGGAGCCGACTTTCTTTCCTCTACCTGCTCCTTAAATCAAGCGCAGCTTGGCCTGGACGTTGGCAGCAGCAGTGCTGGTTTATTGGGGGAGGGGGGGCTTCCCGAAATGGATTAACTGAATGGATTCTAGGCACTGACCAGATGAAAAGATCATAGCCGAGTTTCTGACACAGGAACAGAATATTGGAAAGTAGCTGAATGTAGAAAGTGTGTGTTTTTCTCTGGTGGGAAAATATTTGTAATAGGAAATGATAATATTATTGTTATTATGATTATTACTACTCCTGCTTCAGGCATCTGGCTGAACTGTTTGGCCCCTGAATGTGTATTTTGTAAATGCACATGGTTTTAGTCCACTCATACGTTGCTTTATATAATGAATAGGTGCCTAGAAATTCCAGTTATTGTTGTAGCAGTGATGGAGTTTTAACTTGGGTGGGTGCTGTTTTATTTGGGAGAGGGTTTATTTTAAATTGCTTTTGAATGTTGGATGTTAATTTCGATTTTTGGATTTCTTTTGTAAAAAGAGTTTTCTTCTGATCTCTTGCAGGCTTCCTGAGAGGTCAGATGGATGAGAGAGACTCAACTGGCCCTGAAGGAGGAAGAGGCCATGCCATGGAAACTGGGAGCAGTGGGAGATTATGGGAAAACTCAGTGCAGAAGCTCCTGGGAGAGGAGGACACCCTTCGCTCAGAGGCGCAGAGCCAGCAGTTCAGGCGGTTCTGCTCCCAGGAGGCCAAAGGACCCCGAGAAGTTTGCAGCCAACTCTACCACTTTTGCCACCATTGGCTGAAGCCAGAAAGGCACACGAAAGCTGAGATGCTGGACCTGGTGATCTTGGAGCAGTTCCTGGCTGTCCTTCCAGCAGAGATGGAGAGCTGGGTGAGGGAATGCGGAGCAGAGACCAGTTCCCAGGCAGTGGCCCTGGCCGAAGGTTTCCTCCTGAGTCAGGCAGAGGAGAGGAAGCAGGTGAGAGAGACTTTCCTCTGGATGCTCCCAAGGGGCTCCAAACAGGAGGGAGCGCATCCTAAAAACCTATACTAATTGCTCATCCTTTGGGGGGGGGAGCATCCAAGAAATGACATGAGATACCCCTAAAGATTTTGCCTCTCCCGTTCCTTCTCTAGCCTTTCTCTCCATTCTCTCCAGTTTTGAATCCTTGTTGCTCTTTCAGGAAAAGGATCTGGTTGCAGAAATGGGCTCCAATTACTCTGAGGCAGAGAGGACTACGTTGGACACCACAGATAGTTCACTAGGTAAGGAGGAAGGAGTTTCTTCTCCGTTTGGTCATTCTGTTGCTTTTGAAAGTAATCTGCGAGTTCTTTTGATTTTGGGGGGAAGACATTTGGGCCCAAGAGCCCAGAAGAGCACAACAAAACTGTGAAATTTGTACAACCGTCGAAATGTACATTTCAGAGAAGCATGCACTCCTGGCTTCCAACTAACCTTTGTCTCTCAGGTGAAAGAAGAATGTCAACAAGACCTCCTCACCCGTCTTTTCCTGCTGGTGGAGAGGAAGCAGCAGCTGCAGAAGCAGATCAGGTAGGAGGAAGGAGCCTTGTGGGGAAAGAGGCTCAGGAGTGGGGCAGCCAGGGTGTCTCTGGGAATGAAGAAATCCCTCTCTTCCTCTTTGGTTTCATCAAAGCTGTCCCAAACAAAGGCTGAAAGTGCCATTCAGTAAGGTCTATCTGCTGAAAATCAGGAACAGCCTCGCCTCCTTAACTAGCCTTCTGTATGTTGCTAGTATTATTTATCAATACTTGCAGTTTTATTTATATATTTATGATTGAGTGCTCCGATGGGCTTCTAAGCAGTTGACATATCATAGAAACAGTGGCCAAGATTCCCCAACACCCACTGCCCCCCTAAAAACAGACCATGGGGTGAAGAGTGAGGACGTCCTTTCATTTTTGCCTCCATATGGCCCGTTCATTTGACTTTTGGTCATTGTGAGGTTCCCCCACCCCAAAACAGAGCATGGGGAAAGTACAGAGTGGATCCTCATCCCCAGCCTTTCCCCAAAACAGGGTCCCAGTGCCATTTCAGAGACAGGGACCTTGACTTACCTCCATTTTGTCAATGGGGAACCCCATAGCCAACAAGCCCAACTGGGGCCATAACACTGATCATGGATCCTAGTGCCTGAAGATTATTAAGAAAACCATCCTAGATGCCATCAAACCTGCCAGTCAGCAGTGTAATGTCGTAAACCGTCATACAAGGACTACACAGATGAACATCCATCTGAATACTACGTCCGTCTGGTAGCCACCATAAAACATAGGCAGGGATTTATCTGGAAAACCTCCCAATATGAAGGGTGTTATAAATGGGTTCTTTAAGGACAAATCCATGTTTGACATCAGGAATGCCCTAAACCCGCGTATTGGTTATGATGGGGAAAGCATTAGCAAGTTATTTTCAATAGCCAAATCAGTGTTCAACACCTTAGATGAGAGAAGTCAAAGGAGACCCCCCGCAGATCCAGGCAAGTATTAGCCCATAATTATTAAATGCTTAAGTTTGAAGGGATAGTGCAGGAGGCTAAGCAGGAAGGAGAGTTTAGAGGCCTCCCCCTTGAGCTGAAGAACGAGACACCCCCTTGGTTGGGGGGGCTGGAATCTAATCCTGTGCAACTCTTGAAGACTGCCACAGCAGTCAAATTAAAATACAGCAAAGACCTGCCCTTTCCTTGTACCAAACAGTATCCTCTTCCAAAGGAAGCCATGATTGGACTCACATCCACGACAGAGGAATTATGGCCTATGTTTATGGGCAGCATGGCCTTGGGATAGAAAATTAACAGGGCCAGCTTCAACCAGCTGTACTCAGCTTCTCTGAAGGAGTAACCCAAATAGCAGGAACCTTCTGCTCGTTTCCAGGCAGGATGGGAAAAATTGCTGATCATCTATAGACTAGACGCTTGCAGCTTGTAGCAGCTTGTAGCTTGTGAGACCCAGACAAGTTTCCAGAACCTTCTTGAATCAATAGAATAGGAAAGATCTCGGCATATTAGACCGATACTTTCTGTCCCAAAAACTGCAAGCCATGTCAGTAATACCTATTCACAAGCCTTGAATTTTACTCCAGATCCTTTTTGGCTGGTCCAAGATTTAAGACTTGTGTACCATTTTGTGGTCCAAAAACACCCAGTGGTGCCCAACCCTCAGAGCGCCATCCCTGCAGGGACCAAGTGGTACAGCCTAGTGGACCTTTGCTCAGCATTTTTGAGTATCCCCGTTGCAAATAACACAACACAGAAATGAACAGGCAGGAAACACCACCGCAAAGTGTAGTAGATAATCTTTAGACTGCCTTAGAGAAGAACCCTTGTCTTTTTCCTTTCAGGGTCCTCTGTGCTTTGAAGATGTAGCTGTGCATTTCACGGAGGAGGAGTGGGCGTTGTTGGATCCTGACCAGAGAGCTTTGCATAAGGAAGTCATGGAGGAGAATCGTGGGATCATGGCTTCCCTCGGTAAGGCTCCCAGTTGGATGATAATATCTGCTTTGAAATTCCATAGATCGATCTATATATCATCTATCTATTTATATCTATCTATCATCTATCTATCTATATCTATCTATCATCTATCTATCTATCTATCTATCTATCTATCTATCTATCTAATCTATCTATCATCTATCTCAAAATGAGAAACCTGCCAGATGTTTTTGGAGCTCAACAGCACCACCTACAGCACCTGGGATTCTAACACTTCACAGGTCACCATAACTGGAGGGGTATGGATTGTTTCATCTGTGAAAATTCCTCCTCCAGTTACGACTTTTAAAAAGCCTGATCAGGCTGCTCTGAAGTGCCCAGGCCTTCATAAATTTAGTTTTCAGAATTTTTAGGAAAGTGAAAGTAGATTCTGTCAGGATTTGTGGTTTTTGTTTTTGCTTCTGTCTGTTTTTGGTTGACCAAAGAGACCTTGGGCCTTGGAAATGGAGCAACAAAGAGGTGAGTGACAATAGAGATGCAGAAAATTCCATGACTGGGCCAAACAAAATCCATTCAAGAAAAGAGCCAGGTTTTGCACATCTCAGGTTCCCACAAATAAGTCCATGAATGCCAGTCAACACAGGCAGTGAACCCTGTAGTAAGACCTCATGCCTAACCCTCTTCCGTTCTTCCACTATCACAAGACTTAATTTTCATTGTCCAATCATTTGGGGCTCCAATTATTTCTGAGGTTCTAATCCATTTCTCTCTTCATCGCAGGTGGTGTTGAATTGGAAATGAAGAACAAGGGAGAACATGACAAAATTCACACAGTAGAGAAACCATATGAATATTTGGAGTGTGGAGAGAACTCCATCTCCCTTTCCACTCCCTATCAAATAAATCCTATTGGGATGAAACCATATCAGTGTTTGGAATGTGGAAAGAAATTCAGTCAGAGCTCCAATCTCACTTCCCACCAAAGAATTCATACCGGGGAGAAACCATATCAGTGTTTGGAATGTGGAAAGAGATTCAGTCAGAGCTCCAATCTCACTTCCCACCAAAGAATTCATACTGGGGACAAACCCTATCAATGTTTGGAATGTGGAAAGAGATTCAGTCATAGCTCCGGTCTCACTTCCCATCAAAGAATTCATACAGGGGAGAAACCCTATCAGTGTTTGGAATGTGGAAAGAGCTTCAGTCAAAGCTCCAGTCTCACTTCCCATCAAAGAATTCATACAGGGGAGAAACCCTATCAGTGCTTCGAATGTGGAAAGAGCTTTAGTCACATGGCCATTCTCACTTCCCATCAAAGAATTCATACAGGGGAGAAACCTTATCAATGCTTCGAATGTGGAAATAGCTTCAGAAAAAGCATCCATCTCACGGTCCATCTAAGAATTCATTCAGGGCAGAAACCATATCAGTGCTTGGAATGCGGAAAGAGCTTCGGTACAAAGAATCATCTGACTATCCATCAAAGAATTCATACAGGGGAGAAACCCTATCAATGCTTTGAATGTGGAAAGAGCTTCATTCACAAGGTCAGTCTCACTTCCCATCAAAGAATCCATACAGGGGAGAAACCCTATCAGTGTCTGGAATGTGGAAAGATCTTCAGTCACAGTGGCTCTCTCAGTTTACATCAAAGAATTCATACAGGGCAAAAGCCATATCTGTGCTTAAAATGTGGAAAGAGATTCGATCGGAGCTCCACTCTCACCAACCATCAAATAACTCATACAGGGGAGAAATCATATCAGTGCTTGGAATGTGGAAAGAGCTTCACCCAGAAGCAAAGTCTCACTGCCCATCAGAGAATTCATACACTGGAGAAACCATTTCAATGTCAAGAGTGTGGAAAGAGCTTCAGTTGGAAGGAAAGTCTCAATTCCCATCAAAGAATTCATACAGGGGAGAAACCATATCAATGTTTGGAATGTGGAAAGAACTTCAATCATAGCTCCAATCTCACCTCCCATCAAAGAACCCATGCAGGGGAGAAACCCTATAAGTGTCTGGAATGTGGAAAGTGCTTCAGTCGGAAGGACAATCTCATTTCCCATCAAAGAATCCATGTGGGGAGAAACCATAACAGCGCTTGGAATGTGGAAAGAGCTTCAGAGGACCAAGCCCACTTTCCATCCAAGAACTCACAGCAGGGAGAATAGTTGAATTGTAGGATCATAGTGTTGGAAGATGCAGACAGCATCTTCAAAAGCAGAGACATCACCTTGCCGATAAAGGTCTGTAATGTTAAAGCTATGGTTTTTCCAGTAGTGATGTATGGAAGTGAGAGCTGGACCATAAAGGAGGCTGATCGCCAAAGAATGGATGCTTTTGAATTCTGGTGCTGGAGGAGACTTGAGAGTCCCATGGACTGCAAGAAGATCAAACGTATCCATTCTTAAGGAAATCAGCCCTGAGTGCTCACTGGAATTACAGATCCTGAAGCTGAGGCTCCAAGACTTTGGCCACCTCATGAGAAGAGAAGACTCCCTGGAAAAGACCCTGATGTTGGGAAAGGTGGAGGGCACAAGGAGAAGGGGATGACAGAGGACGAGATGGTGGGAAAGTGTTTTCGAAGCTACCAGCATGAGTTTGACCAAACTGCGGGAGGCAGTGGAAGACAGAAGTGCCTGGCGTGCTCTGGTCCAGGGGGTCACAAAGAGGCGGACACCACTAAACAACCAAAACAGTGTTGGAAGGTACTCTGAGGGTCATCTAATCTAACCCCATGCATTGCTCAACTAAAGCATCCATGACCAGGGCTGATATTTTTCATCTGGAGCTCACCAGACCTCTGCTCTGGCTCCTCTCAGGTGGGTGCCATTGCCATTCTAGGAAAACAAGGGAGAAGTTCATGGTGTTGTGGCACCTCTTTTTCTAGAAAAATAGCATTGTCTGTGACAGATCGTCATTCAGCCTCTCCAATCAAGAACAGTCCAGCACTTTCTGCTGAAGTCTGTTCTACAGTGATATCACTCTTTCTGTTAGAAAGTTATGCCTGCTATTCAGCTGGAATCTCCTTTCCTGTAACTTGAAGTCAATGGCCTCAGTCCTAACCTCTGTGGCAGGAGAAAACCATTTTGCTCCATCTTCCATGGCACAGCCCTTTAGTTATTAGAAGATGCCTCTCAAGGCTTCCTGTTTCTGGCAGTGGGAAATGGCAGACTCCCACAAGATCGGACCCCAGCCGTTCCAATAATTCAGGGCTGATATGGGGGTAATTAGCCCTGGCAGCCTCCGCAGGGTAGGGGAGGACTGTCTCAAAGACCCGCGGATTGTTCGAGATTGCCTGCGTGCACTAAAGGTGCAGCTGGCGGGACACTGGGTTAATGAACACAGAACGACTGGCGCTCCTTCGATGTCATTCTCATAGCCGGGAGCATCTGTTTGGGAATATTAATAGATTTGGACGATAAACAGACACGGCTGGATCGAAAGAGTGTGAGGAAAAGCCTGCAGAAGTGTACAGTTCCTGGGGGTTAAGTTCGGACTTCAAAGAGATTCTCATTATGGTGTTTGGATCACGTTTACTATGTTTTTCCCCCTCTCTCTACTCAACAATTATAATTGGTCTTTTATGCCAAGCCTCATTAAGAATTTAAACTTTTAAAAAATGAGTACAGATGGACTTTTATTTATAATTAGGCATTTAACCGCTCAGCTTCATTTCGGATTTGAGAGATCTGACAGAGATGCAGGAAGAGACACGATGGTTTCCACTACTTTCTACTAGTGACACAGCATGAAATTTTATATCTCTTCTTTTCTTTGAGACAAGAGGAGCTGTGTGTCGACTGACTTTGTGATGAACCAAGATAACTGCTTGGAACAATATACAGTGCAGCTGTTTGCAGAAGCTTTTTATCTTCATTATGAGCGACAGAAAAGGCTAAGGGATGTCTAGCAGCGCCCCCCCCCCAGGGCCCAGAGGGGGGAGAGTGCAGTTTCCAAAGGCCGATCAATCGCCAAGTGACTGATACTGTGGAACACAGTTTAATATTGCAAACAGTTTTGCCTAATAACTTAATTTGGAAGGTACTGGTTTAACAAAGTTCAAAAGGAAGGTTGGACAATTAAGGAGTTGCTGCCCCATCAAAGATAACAGATTTGGACAACATCCTGGAATTGGAACGGAATCAGACGAAGCTGAGCTGAGAAAAAGGCAGTTGGAAAAATTTTATATTAACAAAGTTTTATTTGGATGATGAAAGTACAGTGGTACCTCGGGTTAAGTACTTAATTCATTCCGGAGGTCCGTACTTAACCTGAAACTGTTCTTAACCTGAGGTACCACTTTAGCTAATGGGGCCTCCCGCTGCCGCCGCACGATTTCTGTTCTCATCCTGAAGCAAAGTTCTTAACCCGAGGTACTATTTCTGGGTTAGTGGAGTCTGTAACCTGAAGCGTATGTAACCCGAGGTACCACTGTATATGGTGTTTGACATGAATGAGAATCCTGGACCCAGGAACAAAAAAATACCAAGCGTTAATATCGAGATGTGGAAAATATGGAAACAACAAGGAGAAGCAGGACTAAGATCTGCTCCAGAGATCCAGACCATGGGGAGCCCCAAGAAATTAATAAATACAATTTGGACTATAATTTGATCTTTTTATTTTAGTTTTTTAGTTTTGAATTGAAGTATTATGATCAGATGTTTATTTGGATGTTTTCTATTGGAAAATAAATAAAAATGATTTTAAAAAAAGAAGAAGATGGCTCTCATATCTCCTCTTAGTCTCCTTTTCTATGATAAACACCCCATCTGGCTGGGTTTCCCAGCCACTCTGGGCGGCTTCCAACAAAATATTAAAATACAATAATACAATAATTAAAATACAATAATTCAAGACCCTTGATCCCCTTGGTCACCCTCCTCTGCACAGCCTTCAGATTCTCAATATCCTCCTTAAATTGTGGTGCCCATCAATGAACACAGAACTTGAGATGTGGTCTGATGAAGGCAGAATAGAGGGGTATTGTGACTTCCCTTGACCTGGACACTACACTTCTGTTGATAAAGCCTAGAATAGCATTAGCTTGCTTTTTTGCTGCTGCTGCTGCTGCTGCTGTATCACACTGTTGACTAATATTAAGCTTTTGGTCTACTAAAGACCCCTAGATCCTTTTCACATGTGCTACTAATAAGCAAGGTGCCCCCCATCTCATACTGATGCATTTGGTTCTTCCTGCCTAAGTGCAGAACCGCACATTTGTCCCTACTGCAATTCATTTGGTTTGTTTGGGTCCAGTTCTTGGATCTTTTAAGGTTATCTTGAATTCTGACCCTGAGGGTGTGCACCCCTCTAGAGTGAGCCCTTCTTCCTCCATCTCTGACTTTGGCTTAGAGAAAAGGAGGGAGGACCACCACCTGAGCCCTGTGGAAGATGGAGTTATCCTTCAGGGTGAAGATGGGGTCTCATCACAGCATGACAGGATCCCTCTGAATGATACCCAACTCCTTGCAGGTTAATGATCACCCATGAAAGAGCCTTCTAGCTCAGAAGCTTCAGGGGGACCTTCTGGAGGGGCTCCAAGGGGGGACCTGTGGGACCTTCAGTACTGTGTCGAGGGAAACCTGTGCCCTGTGGGCGGTTTTAGTTGTGCTGCCTCCTTGCAAGAAGCGTTGGACCAGGCAGTGGGAACCCAGAGGGACTCCTGCTCACCTGAGCCCAAGGCTGCCACGTGTGTGTGGAGGGTGTTGCAGGGGAACCTTTGATCCAGGGCATCCTTCAGGAAGGGCAGGAAGTCCAGTACCTGTCCTGCTAGGGGATCTGCCTTCTTTCTACCTGCCCACCTGAGGGAGGCTCACCAGGTGAATTTGTGGGTGCTCTGGGTGGGCTGTCTGTGGGAATATCGGGGGGCAGGTGGACGGTCAGTCAGTCCTAATTCCCTTAGGACCCAGAAGTCTGGAGGTTGGCACTCTCCCTGTGGCAGCAGGTCCCTCCCGTAGGGCAGAGGTTGAGGGTCTGCCCTGATACGGCCATGATTTCTGCAGACCCTCCTTGGTCAGAGTGGAGCTGCTACAATGATCTCTCCCCAGAGTAGATCTCCTTGCAGTTCCCAGAAGATTATGTTTTGCCCATAGAATTCATTGCTTCTCTCCTATCACCTTCCGCTTTAGCTATTTCATGCATCAGTCATTTTATATATGTGTCTCTTTGCTTTAATTCTCTTCTCTTCCACTCATGCAAGAGCTTGGCTGCTGGATCCGGCCAAAGGCCCATCTAGTCCAGCATTGTCTTCTCACAGGGACCGAACAGATGCCTGTGGGAAGCTGTTACAGAAACATTCTGGCTGCTGGTTTACTTCATTGCCCAGCTCATTGGATTGCCACTTCCTGTGGGTCTCCTGGTCAGCAAAAGAAGGAATTTCCAGCCAAGTAAGGAAGCAAATCAGCAGTCAGTAGAGCTGATCTTTATTGTTGCAACAAGGTTCAAATACACACGGAGTAGGAACCATGAGCATGGGGTTACATGGACTTTAAAGACACCCCCCCCATCCTCATGCTACATTTCCAGATACATCACCAATGTGTCACCAAGAAGGAGGGGATTGTGCACAGTAACATGAGTCAATCATTCATCCTTGTTATATTCAGTTCCAGTTCCAGGTAGGTAGCCGTGTTGGGACTGCCGTAGTCGAAACAAAATAAAAAATTTCCTTCCAGTAGCACCTTAGAGACCAATTCAGTTAGTTATTGGTATGAGCTTTCGTATCTGAAGAAGTGTGCATGCACATGAAGCTCATACCATTAACTAACTGAGTTGGTCTCTAAGGTGCTACTGGAAGGAAATTTTTTATATTCAGTTCCAGACACCTTCTAAGTACGCACCACCAAGAGGACAATAAAACTATTTACACCTATCCTTGCCCTCTGGGCTTTCCTGAAGATGGGCTTTGTGAATACCTGGCTTCTGCAAACTCCATCAAGGGATATCTGTCTGGTCCATTGTTATCTTTTCCCTTGGGAGGTGTAAGTGACTTGATGCCTTATGCAGTCAGGGGGATTCCTGAATCCTCCTCTTCCAGAGGAGTCATTTGCCATTGGAACCAAGGAAATGGGACAAACCGTTGAATTTTGGTGATTATTTGATTCCATACTGGATAGTCAGGATACTCAACAGCCCAGGTCGTTGGGATGCAAGTCCCCCGCAGGTCTCTGCTGTCAGTAAAAGAAGGAAGTTCCAGCCAAGGAATGGAGCAAAACAGCGATCAGTAGACCACGGCCTTAATTGTTGCTCAACAGTTCCCACAAGGAGTAAGAACCCCGAACATAGGTTACACGCTACCCAGAATACATTTCCAGCAGCATTATGGATACATTGCTGATACATCATCCACATGTCACAGAGGGGGGGGGTCATGAGGTTACCCAAGTTTGTCAAGTTCCTCCGCTTCTCAGATTAAAGATTCAGGTCGGTAGCCGTATTGGTCTGACACACTCGAAATAAATTAAAAAATTGTGCAGTAGCACCTTAGAGACCAACTAAGTTTTGTTCTGGGTATAAGCTTTCTTATCTGAAGAAGTGTGCATGCACATGAAAGCTTATACAGTGGTACCTCGGGTTAAGTACTTAATTCATTCCGGAGGTCCGTTCTTAACCTGAAACTGTACTTAACATGAAGCACCACTTTAGCTAATGGGGCCTCCTGCTGCCCCTGCACCACAGGAGCACGATTTCTGTTCTCATCCTGAAGCAAAGTTCTTAACCCAAGGTAATATTTCTGGGTTAGTGGAGTCTGTAACCTGAAGCGTATGTAACCCAAGGTACCACTTGTACCCAGAACAAACTTAGTTGGTCTCTAAGGTGCTACTGGACATTTTTTTAATTTTTAAATTTTATTTTATCAGATTAAGTTCCAGACACCTTAAATACCCACCACCTAGAACAATCAAACTATCTATGCATATCTCACTTCCCATCAAAGACTTCATACAGGGGAGAAACCATATCAGTGCTTGGAGTGTGGAAAGAGCTTCAGTCGAAAGGACAATCTCACTTCCCATAAAAAAATCCATACAGGGGAGAAACCATATCAGTGCTTGGAGTGTGGAAAGAGCTTCAGTCGAAAGGACAATCTCACTTCCCATCAAAGAATCCATACAGGGGAGAAACCATAACCATTTTCTCTCACATCCGTGGAGTGCACCCTCAATGCCCAGTATTTATTTAAACCACATACCCACATCTGGAGATGCAAGTCATTGGCCAAGGTGTTGAATTACCTTCCTCACCTCACATCTGGGAAGAGTTAACAAGGATTTGGCAACACTGAGGACCTTGCCCTCGATGCTGAGCTTTCTTTTGAAGATGTTGACAAGCTTGTCACATACTTCCACTTCAAGTGCATCAAAGCTGCAAATCTGTGGTGCTCCTGAATGCTATTGCCACACACTGGACATCTGCCAGAAAAGCCACAAGTTTCAGTCCTTCCTCTGGGAGAGGTGAGGCGGAGGAGTCCCTGGCTTCTGTCCTCCCTCTATCACAAGCACATTTCAGAGCAAAGAACGGTATCCACGAGAAAGACGAGGGTTCTCTGCTCATCCTACCTCAAAGTTGGTTGGGATCCTGACCAAGTACAGTTTCTCTGCTTCAGCCAACTCCAGTTCTCATCCGTAGACATCCAAAGCATGGAAGAAGGCTTAGATTGAGCTGAGACTCCAAACAACACAGCTCACCCCGCGGCAGCATCTGAGACTCTTTTCCACGCCAGGTGGACAGACGCTCTGCCAGATCTTGACCAGTGGGACATTTTTGTCAGTGCCTCGCATATATTCCTCAAACAGGTGACCCTGCTCTACCGGTATTTCCTCCTCATTGTTAACTGAGACTCTGCTGGATGAGGGATTTTTGAGACCACGCTGGGTGCCCATGTCTCCAGCCCAGGCCTTGCAACCCTCTTCACACGAGGCCTTGTGCCCCACAGGTTGTCAGGTATCACGTCCCCAATACGTCTTGCCCTTCTTTTCAAGATTTGGAAACCATTTCGTCCAGCATGTGACACTTGTTTATGTGTATCCTGCAGCCCTTCCCCTCAGCTATTACTGAATACAAATGTCTCTGTATTAAAATATATTGCAAAATCCATTGAAGGTTCTGGTTCTATATCATGTTTGTGTATTAAGGTGGGAAGCTGTCCAGCCACCCCACCTCTCCCGAGCATCCTCCAAAGGATGAGGTCTCCAGAGACACTGATGAGCCCTGATCTCAGAGTTCCCCTTCTTGTCAGGATAGGACCATGTCTGAACCGATATCCCTCTCCGCCTCGTGACTTGAGACAGGCCCCTTGGCTTCATTCTTTTTGGTGCCTGCTTAAAATACGTTTTTTCAGGCGAGCCTTTCCAGATGCAGAGATATTGATGTGCTTTAATCTTATGCTGCTATTCTTTCAATCTCTTTACTGTTTATTTTTCGATTTTGCTGCTTGATTGTGATGTTTTAAATGGTTTGCTACTGTTTTTAATTGACCGTATTAACATTTTTAGTAAACGGCTTAGATGTTTTGTTACCACCAAGTGGCATTTTACTCAATGGAAATAAATATATTCCACACCCACCCACCCTTGTGGGGCTTTTGAAACCTACGGGACTTTTTTGCAGAACGCTTGCAATTGTGACTTTTTGCCAAGCCAACGTATGTAAAAAATAAGGACTGCTTTCTTTGCCTATGTGTGCCTGTCCCCTGCCATAAGCACAGCAACTCATTGCAACCTCTTCCTTGGATCCTATCTTGTTTGGGGGTTGCCCTAAGCAGTGAAGCATGCTGGGATCAGCCTCTTCTTTTCACCCCGCCTCTTGTTTCTGGACATGAATTCAAAGGCCAAACTTCCTGACTCCCAAGTTGAAATGAAGCAAGAATGGATCATCACTGGCAGTACAGAGACTGACCACGTGAAGATCCCTGAGCCCATAACTGCCCCTCATTTTTTACATGCATTTCAGATTTGTTCAATAGCCAACTTCTGTTGCAATGCCAGGCCAACCCCCTAAGACGCATTGCTCTCAACTAAAGCATCCCTGATAGATGGCCTTCCAACCTCTGCTTTAAAACCCCCAAGGAAGGAGAGCCCACCACCTTTCATGGGAGCCATTTCCTTTGCCAAACAACTCCTACTGTCAGAATCTTCTTCCTGATGTTTAGTCAGAACCTCATTTCTTGTCATTTGAAGACCTTGGTCCGAGTCCTACCCTCTGCAGCAGGAGAAAACAAGCTTTCTCCATCCTCCATGTGGCAGCCCTTGAGATATTTGGAGATGGCCTTATCTCCTCTCAGTCTCCTCTTTTCCGGGCTTAACATACCCACCTCCCTTCCAGATGTTTTGGACCACAACTCCTCCCAGCCCCCCAAGCATCATCTGGCCATATTAGCTGGAGCTGGTGAGGCTGGCAGTCATAGAATCGTAGATTTGGGAGGGACCACAAGGACCATCTAGCCTGACCCCCTGCAAAGCAGGAGGCTCTTTGTCCAATGTGGGGCTCAAACCCAGGACCCTGAGAGTAAGAGTCTTGCACACTACCAAAATACCCAGAGGGCACCTGCTTGGGGAAAGCAGTTCATTCCCAGAGTGACGCTCCCTTTCTTGGCTCTTCATGGGGCACGGATTCCCAAATCCCAGAAGACCCTTAATCTTAACAATATGGATTGCTGGTAACTCAGTTGGCACAGCACGAGACCAGGGCCAGACTGAGGTTTGATGAGGCCCTAAGCTACTGAAGGTCATGGGGTCCTTTATATGTCCAGCGGTCCTTAACAACAAATTGTCACTGCTTTTTGTGTTAAATATATGCTACTGTATATGGTAATTGATGGACCTAATAGGTATCTAAAGCCATTTGGACATAACAAAATATGTACCGGTATTTTATCAAAGTAATTGTTAAACTGAAATGCAATTAAGAAGAAGTTTGTCTTATATTTTGGAAATGTACATCCAGGTTTTTTTCCTTTAATTTTTTTGGGCTCCCCCCCCCTCCCGAGAGTGGGGCCCTAAGCTATAGCTTGTTTAGCTTATAGGTACGTAAATCTGGCACTGCATGCGACTCTTCATCTCAGGGTTGTGGGTTTGAGCCTCACGTTGGGCAAAAGATTCCTGCATTGCAGGGGGTGAACTAGATGACCCTGGGGGGGGTCCAATCCAACTCTATGATAGCCAAGGGTTTGGGAAATTTTTGAAAAGATATCCCATAAATTAAATATATATAAAGGGAAGAGCTTGAATGACATATATCTATCTAGCAATATATATAGCATGATTTTATTTCTTATGCAAATATCAAAGCAGAGTCACGCAGTGGCACCAGTCTCACCCTGTGTGTGTGTGTGTGTGTGTATGTGTGTGCGCACGTGCACACACAGAGTATTTAAGCCTATTTAGCACCTTTATGAAGGGACGCAGGTGGTGCTGTGGTCTAAACCACTGAGCCTAGGGCTTGCTGATCAGAAGGTTGGTAGTTTGAATCCCTGTGACGGGGTAAGCTCACATTGCTCAGTCCCAGCTCCTGCCAACCTAGCAGTTCGAAGCACGCCAAACTGCAAGTAGATAAATAGGTACCGCTCTGGCGGGAAGGTAAACGGCGTTTTCGTGCGCTGCTCTGGTTCACCAGAAGCGGCTTAATCATGCTGGCCACATGATCTGGAAAAACTAACTGCGGACAAAGGCCAGCTCCCTCGGCCAGTAAAGTGAGATGAGCGCTGCAACCCCAGAGTCTTTGCGACTGGACTTAACTGTCAGGGCTCCTTTACATTTTTTGCACCTTTAAATTCAGCAACAATGGAGCCCACAGGTGAGGAATACTTTTATTTTTTATCAGTCTTCCGTATTTGCCCCTCAAACCTGGGCTTCTAGGCGGCGGAAGCGGAGCTTGCAGGTGCAGAGCTCCGAGCAGCCAGCAGAGGGAGCCACGAGCACCTAACTCCCCCTCTAAGGTCGTCCCCTTCACAAAAACATGTTGGCTTCATTCTGCTCCCTGGTCAGCAGCTGCATTAGGGGACTGAGCAAGGGCTGCGAGGCTGGCGCTTCCCGCCAAAACCCCCTCCCCCAGGCGTCCACCAAATAATCCTGGCACAGCAGAGTCGGGAGGGACCCCCAGGGGCCATCTAGTCCCACCCCCTACAATGCAGGCATCGCAGCTGAAGCATTCCTGGCAGGCGGCCCCCCAAGCTCTGCTCGAAACCTCCCAAGGAACCCTGGAGCCGGAAGGCAGTGCAGCGTCGCCTCGCCTGGCGCTCCCAGCCTTGGTCCCCCTGGGACTGGGCGCAGAGGCGCTGCCAGGGAAGGGACCCGCTGCTGCTGCTGCCCCCCCCCTTGGGGCCCCTCCTCTGGCGGCGCCGTCAGCCGAGGCCTCAGGGCAGCGCCAGCATCCCGTGCGCGGCATACAGCTCCTGGGTGGCGTTGTAGACGTGGGCGATGCTGCGGACGGTGTCCAGGAGCCTGCGGGGGCCCCTGCCCTCCTCGCCCCCTCCGGCGCTCAGGATGCGGTAGAGTTCGCGGCGGGAGGGCATGGCCAGGAAAGCCAGGGCGGCCGCCTGGCGCACCCACCAGCTGTGATAGGGCGCCAGGGCTTCCTGGTAGGCGTCGGCGCACATGCGGGAGGGGTCCGCGTCCACCGGGCTGGTCCCCAGCTTGCGCAGAAAGAGCTCCAGCCACTTCAAGGCCCGGTGGAGGCGCAGGAAGGTCCGGCAGCCGGATGGGGGCCGGCTGGCCGGCAGGGACTGGAAGCCCACCAGCCCCCGGGCCAGCTCGAAGCGCACCATGGACTGGAGGGTGCGGTAGTGGGCTCCGTGGGGGCCGCGCTGGTTCTCCTGCAGGATGGCGATCTTGGTGCGCGTCTCGCCGGAGATCAGGCCGAAGGCGGCGCCCAGCGAGTCCATGAGCCTGCGAGGAAGGAGAGAGCGGGCCGGAGTTTAACGAGAAAGAAGCGGCGGAAATTGTGGGTGTTAAGTCGTGGGTTGACATAGCAGCCGGCACAGCAATTTCTTCAAGTAGCTCTTTATTATGGTAAGCTGGAATACAACTGCCTGCGACAGCTCAGCCGGCCTGTATTTATAGGCAGCCGGCTGTCAACATTGTAACCACAACAGCCCAGAGTTCCCGCCTAAAATAACTGCCGCGGACCTGAGTGAAAACTATCTACAGACCTGAGTGAAACTATATACAGTATCCCCCTGTTGGCCCAGGGTGAAACTACACTACATAACACCCCTCCCCACCGAGATAAGGCGTTAGTTACAATCGTAATGGTTTCCTTATATACAGCACTACGCGTAATGGTTCCATTAAGCACAAAAGCATATCGGTTACATTTCCCATACTTAGACCAACAGTGATACCTGTCCAACAACATAGTCCTTTAAATAAGTTGGGCGCTTGGAAACTCTGCCAGACCGCCGGGGACTGGTAGCCAAGTCCGGAGGGCCACACAGTTCTCGCTGAGGCTGTGGTGCGACCCTAGGTGGCGTTGGAACCAACTCCCCTGGATCCGCTGCTGTGGGTGGAGCCTCCGCAAGTGGAGTGGTCTGAGTCTGTTCTGAAACGGCTTGGTTCGGCTCCACGCTGGCAGTTTGCGAGGGAGGTGTAGGTGGGGCCTCGCCATCTGTACGTGTCTCTTCTGGAGCCGCAAACGCAGTTGGGGGCACCTCGGTAGTGTCCAAGTCCCCAACCCTGCGCCTAAGCTGGTCTATGTGCCGTCGCCACAAGCGTCCGTCTTCGAGTGCCACCTGGTACGAGCGAGGTCCAGTGACTCCCACTACTGTGGCTGGCACCCAAGGGATGTCCCCCACATAGTTCCGGGCAAAGACCTGGTTTCCTGGGACAAATGACCGTGGTGCGTTGGCACAGCCTGGGGGTTCAGCCACGGCAAAGTCTGGGTGTAGCCGGTCGAGCGGTGACCTGAGGCGGCGGCCCATAAGCAGTTCAGCAGGACTCCTCCCTGTGGCCGCATGAGGGGTGATGTGTTGCACGAACAAGTATTCGGCGACCCGCTCATGCCAGTCTCCCCGGTCCAGGCGCGCCAGTGCCTCTTTTGTCGAGCGCACCATTCTTTCCGCTTGCCCGTTGCTGGATGGATGAAAGGGTGCCGTTAGGGCATGGCGGATGCCCAGTCCCAAAAGATACCGCTCAAACGTGCCTGACGTGAACTGCGGTCCGTTGTCAGAGACAAGGACATCAGGACACCCATGCGTTGCAAACAGGCCTCGCAGCACCCGGATGACAGCTTCGGTAGTGGTGGGGGCATCAGTGCGACCTCCAGCCATTTGGAATAGGCGTCCACCACTACCATAAAGGTCCGGCCGTGAAAGGGGCCAGCCAGATCGATGTGCACCCTCGACCAGGGTGTCTTTGGCGTCTCCCAGGTGTGTCCCTTAGCTGCCGGTGGTGCAGGCCTCGACTCCTGGCACGCTTGACAGGCGGACACCCAGGCAGTGATGGCATCGTCCATATTAGGCCACCAGACGTAACACTGAGCCAACGCCTTCATTTTGACAATTCCCGGGTGGCCAACGTGCAGAGCCTCCAGGACGCGCTGACGGAGTCCCTGGGGAATCACGACGCGGTCTCCCCACAGCAGGCAGCCACGATGAGCTGAGAGTTCATGTTGTCTGGTTGCGAAGGGCTGGAACTCCGATGCAAAAGGCCCTTGTGGCCACCCCCTCCACACCCAGTTGAGCACCCAGCTGATGGTGCGATTCTGGGCAGATGCGGAGGCCACAGTGGCAGCCGATACAGGCGCTGCCGGAAGATCCTCAATCAGAAGGAGAGATGAAGCTGGAGCCGGGTCTTCCACAAATGCTGGAAGAGGGCAACGGCTGAGGGCGTCGGCATGGCCCATCGATTTCCCCGGGCGATGGATGAGCCGGTAGTGGTAGGCAGCCAGGAAAACAGTCCATCGCAGCATGCGTGGTGAGAGGACCGGTGGAGTTGGACGATCACCGGCGAGGAGGCCCAGGAGTGGCTTGTGGTCAGTGATGAGGTCAAAAGTCCTGCCATAGAGGTATTCATGGAACCTCTTCACTCCAGCCACAAGTGCCAATGCCTCCTTGTCGAGCTGGCTGTAATTCCGTTCCGTCGGAGATAGTGTCCTGGAAAAGTAGGCGAGCGGTGCTTCTCTTCCATCTGGAAAACGGTGACTAAGGACAGCACCGATGCCAAAAGGTGAGGCGTCGCAGGCAAGGACCAGCGGCCTGGATTCACTGTACTGTACCAGCACACTGTCTGAAGAAAGGAGAGCCTTGACCGCGTTGAAGGCTGCCGTCTCCCGATGACCCCAGGCCCAAGGCGTCTTAGTGCTAAGGAGTCGGTGAAGAGGCTCAGCCACTGTGGCTTTGTGGGGCAGGAACATGTTATAAAAGTTCAGCAGCCCCAGGAATGCCTGCAACTCCGTTTTGTTCTTTGGGGTGGGGGCCTGCTGGATAGCGCGGATCTTGGATGTGGTTGGATGAAGACCGGAGGCATCGATAAGATAGCCCAGGAACTCTACCTGTGGAACGGCGATCTGGCACTTCTCCCTCTTTACCTTGAGCCCGGCCTCCTGGAACCTGGTCAGCACGGCACGGAGGCGCTCGAACAGCTGCTGGTGTGAGTCTGCAGACACCAAGACGTCATCAAAATATGGTACCACGCCCGGAAGCCCTTGCAGGAGATGCTCCATAAGGCTTTGGAAGATGCCAGGAGCCACACTCACCCCGAACTGCAACCGGCGGCAATGGAATGCCCCCCGGTGGGTGACGATCGTCTGGGCTTCAGCAGTGGCATCATCGACTGGCAGTTGTTGATAGGCTTGGGCAAGGTCCAGCTTAGCGAAGACCTTACCCTCACCCAGGGAATGCAGCAGGTGTTGGACAACAGGAACCGGATAAGCGTGCTGCTGAAGTGCCTTGTTGATCGTGCACTTGTAGTCAGCGCAGATTCTCACCGACCCATCTGGCTTGACAGGCGTGACGATGGGGGTTTCCCACTTTGCGTGGTCAACCGGCTCCAAAACTCCTTGGGCGATCAGTTTGTCCAGTTGTTCGTCCACCTTAGCCTTGAGAGCAAAGGGAACCCGGCGTGGCTTTAGCTTGATGGGGGCGACTTGTGGATCAAGGCTAAAGGAGATGGGCGTACCTGTATATTGGCCCAAGGTGCCGTCAAAAACCTCGGCAAAGTCTTTGACCAGACCCTCAGTCTCTGCGTTAGAGATGCAGTTGATGCCGGTGACTTCCAGGCCGAGGGCATCAAACCAGTCTAGCCCTAGGAGGCTTGGCCGCTGACCTTCGACCACCACCAACCGGAGCAGGCCCGAAAAATCCTTGAAAGCGATCCGGAACCGGCCAACGCCTACCACGGGAATGTCGTTTCCCTGGTAGTCTCTCAGGTGTACGTGGTGAGAGTCGAGTTGCCTTTTGGACACTCTGGGTACCAGTCTTTTGATGGTGCTCCATGACACGATGGACAGGGCAGACCCGGTGTCGATCTCCATGTCACATGGAGCTCCTTCAATGAGCACCGTGACGTTCAGCTTGCGTCGCGTAGGCGAGTCGGTTTGGCCAATCGTGGTTCCAGACGGGCAGCGGCAGTTGGTGAGAGCGAAACAACTTTCCTTGGCAGACTGGAGTGAAGACTTGGACTTGCGAGTCGATGAAGGGGGGGTGTCAGACGGAGCCGATCGGCAGACCTTAGCGATGTGGCCCCTTCTGGAACACTTCCTACAGATGGCGTCTCTGAATCGACACTTGGCACGGGAATGGTTGCCTCCGCAGCCAGCACATTCCGGTTGGCCCTTGGACTTCTGTTGGAACTTCCTGCGCTCCCGCTTTGTCTGGTGCACGTCATCGTCTTCACTGGAGGATGCCTCATCACTGCTGGCCTCTTCATGATGCACTGGAACTGGCTCCCTAGCAAGACGCGGGCTGCTGGACTTGCGGATCTCCTGGGCGGAGCGTTCAGCAGCTTCTGAGGCCACAGCCTCCTCAATGGCTTTCTGTAGCGTGAGGTCTGGCTTGGCTAGGAGGCGCCGTTGCAGATGGATGTCCCGGACCCCGCAGACGATTCGATCCATCAGGGCATCGTCTAAGTCTCGGAACTCACAGTGCATTGCAGCCTGTCGCAGGGCGGTGGTGTAGTTGTTGATTGACTCCCCCTCTGCCTGGTTCCGGTGGTAGAACGCATGGCGGGCAGCAATCTTGGACGGCTTTGGTGCGTAGTGGTTGCGGAGCTTCTCTTGGATCGTGTCCCATGGTGTTGCCTGGACTGCTTCAGGCGCAACCAACGCTCGGGCCGTCTCAAACACCTCAGGCCCACAGAGGCTGAGGAATAGGCCCCGCTTCCGATCCTTTGATACTGCTGTCAGCTCGTTGGCTTGGAGGTAGCAGTCGAACCGAGCGAGGTAGGAGTCCCACGATTCAGAGGCTGGCGCAAACGGCGGTAGAGGCACAAGTGAAGCCATGATTCCGATGCCGGCGTGAAGGGCGATGGATGGAACACAGTGCTCTAGCCAGAACAGTCAGCTCTGAATTGGTTCTGCCCAGTGATTTCGCTCAGTGATTTCGCTCTGTGATTCAGCTCAGTGATTCAGCTCAGTTCAGAGGCTGGCCGCATCTGGCTGTGCTCTGATGTCCATCCATCCCACCTTCGTCGCCAGTGTTAGGTCGTGGGTTGACATAGCAGCCGGCACAGCGATTTCTTCAAGTAGCTCTTTATTATGGTAAGCTGGAATACAACTGCCTGCGACAGCTCAGCCGGCCTGTATTTATAGGCAGCCGGCTGTCAACATTGTAACCACAACAGCCCAGAGTTCCCGCCTAAAATAACTGCCGCGGACCTGAGTGAAAACTATCTACAGACCTGAGTGAAACTATATACAGTATCCCCCTGTTGGCCCAGGGTGAAACTACACTACATAACACCGGGCTCCCACCCGCTTGTCTCGGGAGACAGCGGAGGGCTGAGCCTTTGGGGGGGGGGAGCTCGCAGCGCCTGCTGTGGAGATGCTGCTGCCTCTCGCGTTGTTCTTGCTGCATTTGCAGCACCAAAGTGAGCTCCCCGGGGGCGCAAGTCTGGGCAGTGTTTGGAGGTCCTGGGCTGCCCGGAGGACAAGATCTCCCTCTCCTCCGCCTCGCTCAAGTGGTCCAAAGGAAAACAGAGTAAGATGTTGGGCACCAGCTGGGCTGCAGGAGTTGCAGGAAAGAGGCGACGAGGCGCCACCCAACTGCCTCAGGGACTCCGCTTCAGATTTGTGGAGGGTTCGCCTGCCTGCCAATACCATAACGCCTTCATACCAATCTAGGGTGCCAGGAGGCCTTAGGAAAGGAACTGGGTTTTAACCACTCAGTGGTTAGAAATGAAAACTAATTTTAAAAAATTGGCAAAAAAAGAAAACAGGAAAGGGACTGAGAATAGAACAGCCAATGTCATAATGCCATTGTACAAATCTGTGGTGCGGCCACATTTGGAGTACTGTAACTGTGCCTAGTTCTGGTTGACTCATCTCAAAAGGTATATTGCAGTTTTGGAAAAGGTTCGGAAAAGAGCAACTGAAATGCTCAAGGGGTTGGAGCGACTCCTCTATGAAGCTTGGGACTTTTTAGTTTAGAGAGAAAAAGCAAGTAAATACTCACTCACGCTTCCCTTTCCCCCATGACTTCTAGTCAGGGGTCCAATAGGGGTTGGCTTGCGTGTTTGTCCTGCTGCTTTTCCTGGGAAAATGCTCTGTTTATTACTGAGGGCTCCGCACACTGAGAGAGGGAAAACTCAATAGGTGCAAACAGCAAATTTTTTTCCCTGTGGATTGCTGTTTGTTCTGATTTAGCACTAAAGAGCAGTTTTTCCCTGGGAAGGAGCGGGGCAAGGGGGAAACTACTTCAACCCATACTTTCTAGGCACGGAACAAACAGGTGGCTCCTAGCCACAATGACTGCGCTCTGCCCTGTGCAGTTGGAGGCAGCAATGCTTCTGAATAGTATTTGATGGAAACCAGAGGAGGGGAGAGGGCTGCTCTTTTCTTCACGTCATGCTTGTGGGTTTCCCATTTGGAACACCTGGCTGCCCCCTATGAGAAGAGGGTGCTGGGCTAGACGGGCCCCTTTTGGCCTCATCCAGCAGCCAGGCTCTTCTGGTGCTCTTCTGGAACCTCCAAGGCCCAGGCCCAGTCTATCTGGATTCCTCGGTTCCTGACTCCCTTCCAGCTCTAGGATTCTGCGCTGCTGCTTCATCGGTATCTGTTTCCTGTGGGACCTGGAAACCTCCTCGCTGCCTTTGCCAAGCCTGTCCCAGGAGCTTAGTATCTGGGCCAGAATCTCTCACCTGGGAAATGTGGCCCCTGCTTCTACGGAGCCCCCCTTGGCTTTTTTGGGGGGGGACACAGCTCTTACTCACTTGATCAGCTCTTTCCAGCCGCTGAGGTATTCCCGGATGAGGATTTGCCCGCTGGGTGTGAGGCTGGCAGCGAAGGCCCTCTGCAGACGCACGATTCGGAAGCCCTCACCCAGGTCCTGGGGCTCGGATAGGGTCTGCAGGAGGAGGGCGGCCCCGGTGGCGGCAGAAGGGGGCGAGGCGGAAGGAGGGGGCTGTGAGCAGAGCAGAAGGGCAGAGTCACTGGAGTGGGTGGGCTGGTGGGACTGGGGTGCCTTAGGGGCAGAAAAAGCAACCCTCCGACCCTCATGCTCCCCCCACCCCACCCCACCCCCCAAATCATCACTCCAAATGTAACAAAGAAGTGTTCACTTTTGGGGGGGGACAGCTGCATAGTTTAGCCTCTGGCAACTTAGAATCTAGAAAGGGACCCCCAGGGGCCATCTAGTCCAACCCCATGCAATGCAAGGATTGCAGCTAAAGCATCGCTTACAGGTGGCCACCCAGTGCTTGCTTAAAAACCTCCAATAGCAAGCAGGGAGGCTTAATTGCTTCCGTTAAGATCCCTGCATTACAGGGGGTTAGATGGGGTCCCTCCCAACTCTGCCATCTACAGTTCTAGGATTCTCTCCAGCTGGGATCTTGGTGTGGGAATGTTGTGGGTAACAGGAGAGGATATACGGATTAATATTATCCTTCCGAACTCGCGTTAGCAAGTTGCTTCACTTAGCAGAGTGCATTCCCCTATCACACAGCAGGAAGCTGGTTGCAGACTCCTTAGAATCTCTTAAGACAACAAGCAATTTAATCTGGCTTGCCCAGATAGAGACATGTTCTATTATTCCTGATAAGACCCCCCTGAATCCCTCCTAAAAGAATAAAGACACCACAGTCCTATTCATAAGTAACAAAAAGTAGTTGTGCTCACAATCAGGCAGAGCACAGTGTGATCCCTGAAGGCAGGCTTTAGGGTTAAAGTTACAAACATGTAGAAATAGGTTTACCCCCTATGGGAGATTCCCCAGGGACTGATGGCCGAGAGCCAGCAGTGCAGTCCAGGTGAACCAGAAAGCAGGCAGGATGGAAAAGAAGGGAGGTGGCTCAGTGACTGGACCTTTTACCAGGTCTGGAAAGGTCTCGCCCACCTACTTGGCTGTTGTCGTTTAGTCATGTCCGACTCTTCATGACCCCCTGGACCAGAGCACGCCCACCCACTAGTCACATGCAAAGGAAGGATGCTCCAGCCAGGAGTAGCAGGAAGTTCAACTGGCCGGGCCAACATCCCCTGCATGTCCACTCTAGCACAACAGGTAATGTTGCACTTGACTGCTCCAGTAGATTACATCGCACACCTAGTGGAAATCCAAGCACTGCAAAACTCTCGGCGTTTTATGATTTTAAAACATGAGCAAATTCCCACTGAACTCCATTCCAAAACTGGGAGCAGCTGAGTTGGGGGCGTTCCGGGTTCTCACCTTCCTCTCTGCATCCTCCTTGCTGGGCGGCGTCCCCCCAAACCAGCGGCACGGACGGACCCCCCAAACGCAGGTGGAGTTCGGCAGATCTGCTGCGGCACCGAGAGCAGGCAATGCGAGACCCACAAGGGCAGGGAGGCAGAGAAAACACACGGATTTGTTAGGTGAAGACTCAAAGCCAGAACAAAGCAATTGCAGGTGGGCGGCGGCAGGTCGGAAATGAGACCCCTGTTGGGTGGGGGGCTCCCCAGAGGCCTGTTTGCAATATTGACCTCCCTCACCCCTGGCAGCCAGGAAGAGCCCCAGTTTTAGCAGGAAAGCTTTTGTCTGCGCCCCCCTTTAAATAACAATTGCAAATGGGTGCAGAATGAATCTGAGAGTTGGAAAAGGAGATTCCAGGAGAAGCGAAAGGCCACAGCACGCCCCCCCCCGACCCCCGACCCTCGACTTACGGAGGCGGAGGCTGGAGAAGCAGAGGAGGAGGAGGAAGAAGACCCCCACGGGGCAGGCCAGGCGGCAGAGACGGGTGCGAGTCCACCCCGTGGCCCCCATGCCCGGCACCCTGGCGCTCCTGCAGCGGCCGCGTCCTTCCCCGGCCTCCCTTTGCACCCTGACCGGGGCTGTCTGCTCAGGTGGGGAGATAAGACTTCCTTATCAGTCGGGGACGAGAGGAGGGTGGAGGCAGCGACCTCTGCCCAGCCCCCGTCTCCAGGGACAGGGTCTCACGCAGGGACACCCGGCAGCACCCTGCCTTGGGGCTGACTTTGGCAAGGGCGCTTTGACATCTGTGCCGGGATGGGACTGGACCTGCCAAGCTCAGGATGGGGCGCGGATCCGTCTCGGGAGACACGTGGCAGCCGCCCCCGGAATGGAGCCAGGAGGCATAGCTGTCAGATTTTCCCTTTTATTGCGAGGAATCCTATTCGGAATAAGGGAATTTCCCTTAAAAAAGGGAAAACGTTGACAGCTATTGCCAGGAGGGAAAGACCCGAGCAGCATTGGAGAGTTGGGCGAAAGGGACGAGAACTTCAGGCACTTTGGGTACGATCCGGCGTTCCTGAATACAGCGGAAGAAGCATCGTTTTCAGGGCCAGCCTGGCAAACCTTGAACGAGAGCCGATCATCACCAGATCCCGCTGATATCCTCTCCTTGGACTTTTCGCCCACGTGCAGCCGGGCTCATCCTGCGGGACTGGCTTCAAAGTTTTCGTTTCTCGCCTTTAGATCTGTTGCTTTCTCTGTTCTCTTTGTTTTATATACGTTACAAAAGGAAGTCTTTGCACACGCGCCGCCACCACCGAAAAAAAGGACACAGGCAGCAATAATTGGGAAGGTTTCATATTTTCCTGTTTTTATATATGCTGGAAGCCGCTTAGAATAGTTGGGGCAACCCAGTCAATGGGCAGAGTACAAATAATAAAGTATTATTAATATTGTTGTTGTTGTTGTTGTTGCTCCTGAGCATGTCCGGAGTGCTTTTCCTTCCACACTGAGCAATAGCCACCAGCTTCTGCATTTTTCAGGGTTAGTGGAAGAAGATGCAAGTTTTGTGTCATTCCCTGACGTCACTCCCTGAGGCTGGCTTCATTCTGTGCTCTCGCTTTCTGTTTTCCGTCGCGTGTATTTGACTTTTACTTGTTAGCCACCCACACAATCTTTGCCATGAGGTGGCATATAAATATTGGAAATGAAGCGACATGAAACCAATTTGCCATGTGCTTCCCTCCCTCCACCCCCAACCTGGAGGAGCAAAACAGAGGTGCGCCTCGTTCCCTTTGGGGTTTACCTTGCAAACAGGCAGCCTGTGGGGTTGGGGTTAATGATTGACGTGCTGGGAGACCTTTGCTCCAGCGGAAAGCAAACAGGTCCCGGTCCGAGAATGGTCTCCCTGAATGGGGCAACTGTGCCCCTGAAGGACCAGGTGTGCAGGAGTCATTTTGGATTCGCAGCTCTCCATGGAGGAGCAGGTCAATTGTGTGTCCAGGGCAGCTGTCTCCCAGCTCCACCTGGTACGCAGGCTGAGACCCTCCCTGCCCACTGACTGTCTCGCCAGAGCGGTGCATGCTCTAGTTATCTCTCACTTGGACTACTGCCATGCGCTTTATGTGAGGCTACCTTTGAAGGTGACCCGGAAACTACAACTAATCCAGAATGCGGCAGCTAGACTGGGGACTGGGAGTGGCTGCCGAGACCACATCATAGCTGTCAACGTTTCCCTTTTTTTAAGGGAAATTCCCTTATTCTGAATAGGATTCCTTGCAAGAAAAGGGAAAAGTTAACAGCTATGGACCACATAACACCGGTTTTGAAAGATCTGCATTGGCTCCCAGTACGTTTCCAAGCACACTTCAAAGTGTTGGTGCTGACCTTGAAAGCCCTAAACAGCCTCGGCCCAGTATACCTGAAGGAGCGTCTCCACCTCCATCGTTCTATACGGACACTGAGGTCCAGCTCCGAGGGCCTTCTGGTGGTTCCCTCATGGTGAGAAGCCAAGTTACGGGGAAACAGGCAGAGGGCCTTCTCGGTAGTGGCACCTGCCCTGTGGAATGCCCGCCTACCAAATGTCAAAAGAAGAACAACTACCAGACTTTTAGAAGATATCTGAAGGCAGCCCTGTTTAGAGAAGCTTTTAATGTTTAACAGAACACTGTATTTTAATAATTTGCTGGAAGCGGCCCAGAGCGGCTGGGGAAGAAATAAATTATTATTATTATTATTATTATTATTATTATTATTATTATTATTATTAATTGGGACTATGGTTGCCCTTGTTGTCCATGTGTCTGGCATGGATCCAGTCTTATCCAACTCTTTGCTGATTAGCCAGCAAAAGGGTCCACCAGAGAGGGTTTAATTTCAGTTCTTTGGAACCTATCACATCTGGTCCAGGTGCTTTCCCTTGATTTGGCTAGCCTATAAGTCCTTTTATTTCATCAGGTGACACTAGTATAGGAGACCATGCCTTGCTTGAGGATTTCCACGCTTTTCTTTTTACTCTGTTGTTTATGAGGCCACATGGTCTGTGCCTTTCCTGGTTGTGTTGGAGACTGTGGCATGTAGGGAGGGTGCTGTGGGGGGCAGCCTCTCCCCTCCCCACTGCACTGAAATTGTGCTTCCTTATCCTGTTAGCAATTGGGAAAGGTGGTCAAGCCTCTTCCTCACCATGACCATGAGGACCCAGGTTTTCCATGTCCCCAGGAAGTGTGGGATGTGCTACATAAATAGCAGTCAAGTACAACATTCCTTGTTTTCCTAGAGTGGGCATGCAAGGGGACATTTGGTTCAGCCACTGGTTCAGGAAACTTCCTGTTTCCTCCTGGCTGGGGCATACTTCCTTTTGCATGCGACTCGCTGCAGTGTTTCCCAACCTTGTGCCTCCAGATGTTTTTGGCCTACAACTCCCATCATCCCTGACTAGCAAGACCAGTGGCAAGGGATGATGGGAATTGTAGGCCAAAAACAGCTGGAGGCACAAGGTTGGGAAACACTGGACTAGAGGTGGGTGTGACCTTACCTGTCCAGGTAACAAAAGGGACAGGGCACGCAGCCCCCCCCTCTTTTTGACTTCCTCCATCATTGGAGCAGCAGCTTTTAGCTAGAAATGCTCTGTTGGCTTCCAGCCAACATAGGACACTGGGACTATCTCCATATGGGATAGATCCACATGTATATCCTTTGTAACTGAGTCTGCCTTCAGGGATCCAACTGTGAACTGAATGAGTAAACTACTTTTATATAGTTCACGGTGTTGGGCAGAAAACAAGCCTGCCCCATTACAAGTTCGTGGTGTGTTTATTCTTTTAAGAGGAATATAAGGGAACTTACCAGGAACCTAATAGTGAGAGGCTTAAACAAGCCTGCAACCAGCTATCCGCTGTGCATTTAAAAGGGGAATGTAAAACTCTGCTAAGAGTTTGCTAGCGGAAGTTTAAAAAAAGGTAAAGGTAAAGGTACCCCTGCCCGTCCGGGCCAGTCTTGCCAGACTCTAGGGTTGTGCGCTCATCTCACTCTAGAGGCCGGGGGCCAGCGCTGTCCGAAGACACTTCCGGGTCACGTGGCCAGCGTGACATCGCTGCTCTGGCGGGCCAGAGCCGCACACGGAAACGCCGTTTACCTTCCCTCTGGTAAGCGGTCCCTATGTATCTACTTGCACCCGGGGGTGCTTTCGAACTGCTAGGTTGGCAGGCGCTGGGACCGAACGACGAATGACGGAAGCGCACCCTGCCACGGGGATTCAAACCGCCAACCATGCGATCGGCAAGTCCTAGGCGCTGAGGCTTTTATCCACAGCGCCACCCGCGTCCCTATCGGAAGTTAGGAAGCATATTAATAAACAAGATTTCCTCTCCTGCCACCCTGAACATTCCAACAGGATGTCGATGGAGAAAACCAACCACCCTCAAACAGAATTACAACATAGCTGCTTTAATAGGTTGAGATGCCGGAGGAGCTTTTAACTGCCCCCCCCCCACTCCCCAGGAGAAAGGTCTTGGCAAGCACTGGGTCACAATCCACTGGGCTAAGTCGGGTGAAGCAGAAGGCAAGCATAGTGTGACATTCCCCTTGAAGGCTGCAGCACAGCTCCTTCGCCCTGAAGGGCCAGCACCACCCCACTCAGGCTATGTTCTCAATAATGGCCTCATCCTGATCCAGAGGGGCCACATCCGGGTCCCCGACGGCACCAGAGTCTGCACTGCTTGCCTGCAAAGCAAGGGGGAGAGGAGAAAGAAGTGTGAGGGGGCAGTTTGGGGGAAGGAGAGAAAAGTCCTGTGGCTGAGAGAATGAAACTCCCAACTCTCCAAATTGTAGCAGGAACCCCCCCACCCCAATCATTCTATTTGTACAAACTACACACACACACACAGACACTCACACACTACATACGCCACATTTCTGTTATAAATTCATAGAAAATCAACCATACATTGGATTTGCACTGTTCCATTTTTATTTTACTCCATATGACAAGAACTGGCAAAGGGGGGTGGTTTGACCCTGGTCAGCCAAAATCCCTTCACCGTCTCAGCACATCTGCAGGAGCCCTGCCCTGATGATCCCAGACAGAAGACAATCAAGATCACAAAGAACATGCATATGGGAGTGGATTCAGCATGGACTGAAACAAAGGACAATGATCAGATCTTCCCTCAGGGGGCAGGAAACTGCAAACTCCCCTTTGTCTCCTGGAAGTAACTCATGGGGAGGGGGGAAAGGAGGAACCAGCCAGGTGACAAGATACTCAGGTTACCACCAACTCCTCCTCACCCTCTTTCTGTTGTTGCATGATGTTCTGGCTTGACTAGAGGGGGAATTTCAAAGATTTATAAGACTTGGCCCTATTTTTCTGGGTCTTTCCTTCTCCTGCGAGTGAGGAACACCTGTCATAAGGCTGCTACAGCTGCTGTTTGCTCCATTATCTGTTGGTGTCTTGTTTTTGTCAAGAGAGCCTGATTTTCCGGTAACAATCCAGCTCCCTCCTCCATTCCACAGCAACAGGTGAGGCACCACAAGCAGGAAGGATGCCCCCTCCCTAAGAGGTTTGTCCCCCCCCCTTCTCCTTTCGTTTCCTGGGGCGTTGGAAGGTGCCAGGAGCCCAAATCCCCAGAGGCTTCTTTGCCCCTGAGTCACATCCCAGGTATCAAAGCTCTGCCCCCTCTGCCAGAGAATCCCAGAAGGACCACCAGGGGACATCAGGTCTGAGGGAATCCATTCAAGTGTTGAGCAGCTCTTCCCGTCAGAAAGTTCTTCCCGATGCTTTGTCAGAATCTCCTTCTTTGCCATTTGAATCCGTTGGGCAGAAAACAAGCCTGCCCCATCTCTCATGCGACGGCTCTTTCCACCAAGCAGTCAAAGTTGGAGCTCACTCTTCATTAGCAAAAGCAGGATCTTCAGAGACTTGGCTGAGCGTCATGCCTAATGGGCGCAGCAGTTCGACCCTGGTGGGTCTTGCCCCAAGAATCAGTTGTTGTTGTTGTTGTTTAGTCGTTTAGTCGTGTCCGACTCTTCGTGACCCCCTGGACCAGAGCACGCCAGGCCCTCCTGTCTTCCACCGCCTCCCGCAGTTTGGTCAGGCTCATGTTTGTAGCTTCGAGAACACTGTCCAACCATCTCGTCCTCTGTCGCCCCCTTCTCCTTGTGCCCTCCATCTTTCCCAGCATCAGGGTCTTTTCCAGGGAGTGTTCTCTTCTCATGAGGTGGCCAAAGTATTGGAGCCTCAACTTCACGATCTGTCCTTCCAGTGAGCACTCAGGGCTGATTTCCTTAAGAATGGATGCGTTTGATCTTCTTGCAGTCCATGGGACTCTCAAGAGTCTCCTCCAGCACCAGAATTCAAAAGCATCAAGAATCAGTTGCTGGGAATGAAAGCTCCCAGCTCCCCACAGCCCCACGTTTCTTCCTCTCCAGGGCTTTCTCAAAGCAATCCGAGACTGCACTTGGCCTGCACTTGGCCTGCCGCTGCTTCGCCCATTTCAGCTCTCTTCTCACCCCCCCCCAATTCCCCAAGGTTATAAACCAACAGTAGGCAAGGTTATTCCCTAGCTCTACTGAACATCACAGGTGTTGCTGAATTCTGGAAGGAAGTGTGAGATACCTTTTAAAGACTACAGTGGTACCTCGGGTTACAGACGCTTCAGGTTACAGACGCTTCAGGTTACAGACTCCGCTAACCCATAAATATTACTTCGGGTTAAGAACTTTGCTTCAGGATGAGAACAGATATCGCGTGGCGGGGGGAGGCCCCATTAGCTAAAGTGGTGCTTCAGGTTAAGAACAGTTTCAGCTTGAGAAAGGACCTCCGGAACAAAGTAAGTACTTAACCCGAGGTGCCACTGTAGTTATCTCTCTGTCTTATGGTAGGGCATTCCACAGGAGTAGAGGTAGACTGGTCTGCCCCAGGGAGGTTCCATAAGAAGACCCTGATGGACCAGCCCAGTGGCCCACCTAGTCCCGCCTCCTGGCCTCGCAGTGGCCAACCAGATGCCCCTTATGGGAAACCAGCAAGCTGAGGAGGAGGAGGAGGAGGAGGAGGAGGAGGAGGAGGAGGGTATCAGTGGCTACCAGCCAGGATGGCTCTGTTCTGCCCTCCCCAGTCGGAGGCAGGAAATGCTTCTGAATCCCAGTTGCTGAAAACCAAGGAGTGGAGAGTTCCTCCTGGGCTCAGATCCTGCTTGCTGCTTTCCCTTTGAGGCCACTGTGAGAACAGGATGGCGGACTAGATGAGCCACTTTGGTCTGATCCAGCAGCCAGGCTCTTCCTCTGTTCTTATGGAACCTCTGGGGCCTGAGGCAGTCTATCTCTACTCCTAGGTTCTTAGGGTTACTTGGCCACTGTGAGAACAGGAGGTTGGACTAGACTGGCCTCATCTTCTGTTCTTGTGGAAGGTGGGCTGGCCTGTCAGCTGCAGCCGGCAGCCTCCTCCTCCTTTTTCCCAGGGTCTCTCTGCCCGGGCATCACCTCATCCGGAATGAAGGCCAAGGGCCTTCCCCACTGGGCTGGGATAAGAGGGAGGAAATGAGATGAGAAATGCCGCCAGGCAGCCTAAGGGATTATCCCTTGATAAGGGGAAAGATGCAGGCTGTTTACTCAGGGAGCCCAGAGGAAGTAAAGGGCTGGGGGATTTCAGCAGCTGAGATGGCCAGGCTACCCAGAAAAGGCAATTGATAAGGCATGATCAGGTATCCTGGCAGACAGGAGAGAAGCAACACGCTCAAATTTCTGCTGGGGACCACCTCTTTCTGTGATGTATGGATGATGTTTTTTTGGGGGGGTCTTGAGCTACAGGGGAGGCAATCTCAAAAGTCTATATATAAGAGCTTGCACACCATTGTTCGGGGTCCCTCCTGCGTGTGGCTGTGAGCACCCTGTGGCAACAGTTTAATAAAGATCAGACTTACTAGATGCTTTGCTTCTCAATATTCTCTTGTTGGCCTCTGTTATTTTCTCCTGCTGATAGAGAACCTACATAAGGACTCTATACAGGCTCTTGGATAAGGGGGAAAGGAGCTGTTTTCCCTTATAACAGAATGAAGCTGAATGTTGGACAGATAAAAGGAGGCGGGCCATAGTTAAGCTGTGGAACTCCCTCCCACAGGAAACAGCGATGGTTGCCCACCTGTGGGGCCTTTAAAGGGGGGGTGTGCATGTTCCTGGCGGAGGAGAGGGCTGTGGGTTTCCGTTTGGATCCTTTGCCTGTTTTACGTGCACAGAAAACAACAGATCTAGCCGAGATCTGTCCTGAGCGTTGCAGGGCGTCCCTGGCTATTATTTCTGTGCAATTATAAGATTACTGGGTAACCTTAGACGGTTGCATAACACTGGAAGGGGCGTGGCTGTGTCTCTCTCGACAAGGGATCCTGCCCTTCGAAGGCTTCCCCCTTCACCTCCATGCTGGGCAACGGTGAATACATTGGTTTGGGAGGTGAGACAAAGCTTTCAGGGTGAAGAGTTCGATTTCAGGGCATGGTCCCAATCCAGCTCAGCTAAGAGCCAGGGTGGGTAGCCTACCATGCTGGGACAAATCCCCGCTCAGCCAGTTGCGATCTGTTAACTTCCCCTCCCTTGCAGGGCTGTTGTTGCAAGGATTGGTTGAAAAGTGGGAAGAGCGTAAGATAGATAAAACTTCATTTGCATTAGCCAATGGCCCTGGCAACATAAAACATGCAATATATACAAATAAAAAGACAGCAATGGGTGAAAAGGGCAGTCAAATGACCAAGATTAACGTTCAGATAGTGGCTCTTAATCTCACTGAACCCTTGATACACCCAGCGACCTTTGCTGTTGTCTGATCATTTTGATCTAATAAAAGAAAGACCAATGTGGCCTCAAATGGGCGGCCTGGGATGGTAAGTAAGAGTGGGGTGATGAGCTCATTCCTCAGATCTTTATAAAGGGGAGAGGACAGGAGAACGTGAGAGCGTAAGAACATCAGAACAGCCTGCTGGATGAGGCCTGGCCAGGACATGAGAAGAGCTCTGCAGGATCAGTCCAGCATCGTGTTCTCACGGTGGCCAACCAGAGGCCCCTTATGCGAAGCCTGCAAGCAGTGTCCGAGCACAAGAGCAACGCTCTCCCCTCCGGTGGCTGCTTGTGAAGCACTGCAGCTTCTGACTGGGGAGGCAGAGCAGAGCCGTCCTGGACAGCAGCCACCAAAGGCCCTCTCCTCCTCCATGAAATGGGCTGGTCCTCTTCTGAAGCCATCCAAGTTCATGGCCACCATTGCCTCCTGTGGCAGGGAGTTCCACAGATTAACTCTGCCACATGAAGGAGGACTTTAGTTTATCTGCCCTGAATCTTCCAGCATTCAGCTTTGCTGGCTGCTCCTGAGTTCGAGTGTCAGGAGAGAGGGAGGAAAACTTCTCTCCATCCACTTTCTCCATGCCAGGCGTAATCTTACAGTATTCTATCCTCCTCTCACCATTCCTCTAAACTAAAAAGTCCTACCGTAAATGCTGCATGACTTTCCTCCTGGGGAGCCCCCCCCCCATTCCCTGGATCATTGCACTGGCTCTCCTCTGAACGTTCTCCAGCTCTGCAATATCCTTTTCTAGATGAGGCGACCAGAACGTCACACAGTATTCAAAGCGTGGTTGTGCCACAGATTTGTATAATGGCATTACGATATGGGCAGTTTTATTTCCAACGCCTTCCCTCATGATCACTGGCATGAAATCCACATTTTTTTGCCGCCGCCACATCCCAGCTCAGCCAGTTAGTTGCACTCCCTGCCCCTCCCTCGCAGGGTTGTTGTTGTGAGGATAAAATGGAAGGAACTTGCTGGCCACTTTGAGCCTCACAGAGGATGAAACTGGAATCAAAGGCCAACAGTAAGAACGAAGGAGGAGAGAGGGGCTCAGAAAGGAGGCCACAAATTGCCCTTTCTCAGGTGGCTTCCTTCCGGGCAGAGTTCTGGTTTCCCCTTTTGTCCTGAGATAATCCGAACTGGATGGACCGGTCCTCCTGCTGCGGCAGCACCCGTGGGTGCCTCGGAACAAGCTGCCGCCACCCGGCCTGCACCCTCCACCCCCCGGAGGGAGCCAATCCCTGGGCAAGGAGGAGGCCCACCCCACAGCCACAGCCCAGGGGATAAAAACCCAAGGGGCACATCCACCAACAGGCACCTCCCGAGCATTGCGATGTGGTCAGCGGGGTGCACAGGCCTGGTAGCCGTCTTGCTGGCTGCAGCCGTGGCGACGGAGGCCAAAGAGGTCCTGGAATTCAAGCCTGAAATTGGGGTGTCCAACGGAGGCCTCTGGGGCGCCTGGGCCTGGCAGGAGATGTGCCCGGAGGAGACCTACGCCACGGGGTTCAGCCTCAAGGTAACACCCCCTCCCCACCCAAAATAAAAGCCCCACCCCTCCTTTGTGCCTGGTCTGGCTCGCCCAAACAGAGGGGTCAACCCAGCTGAGCCCAGAGATGCACGAAGGAGCAGGGGTGGACATACACTGGGGGATCATGAAGCCTGAACTGTCATGGGGGCCCCTTCACAAGCAGCAACGAGGTTTGGGTCCCCACCGCCATCATCTTGAAGGGGGCTGTTTACAACCTTCCCAACATCTGGGCTACTGACTCTCAGACTTGGAGATTGTTGAAATATATGAATAAACAGTAATCAATTTGAGTCACGCAGCTCCAACTGGGTCTACTAGAGCCATTTTTTAAAAGCAATGTGACATGAAGTCACTTCTGGGGCTCCTCTGGGATTAGGGGAAGATGATGCTTTGTTCGTTCCATAGTAGATCCGACCCTATGGAGGAGTGAAATTTGGGCAGTGCTCCTGAGCATGTACAAAGCGCCTTTCTTCCTGACAGCCTCCCGTGCTCCCCTAGTGACCAAACAGCAAAAATGGAATGAATTCATTTCCCCCCTCCATTTATTAACACTTTTATACAGCTTGATTAGGGGGGAAGAACCCCCCTCCATTTCCAAGATGTTTTGTGATGACGCACCTTGGAGAGGGAGTGATGGCGCTCCCAACGGGAAGCCAGCAAGCAGGATTCGCACACAAGACTCCCTCCCCTCCTTCAGCTTGCAGCTTCTTCTTCTTCTTTAGCAATCACTTGTAAGATTGTCTTGCATATCAAAGGGTGCCTTGGCTTCCAGCAACTGGTGTTCGGAGAGGCAGAGCGTGACTGTCATGGCTAGTTGCCATCCATATCCCCCTCTTCCTCTGTGAATTTGTCCCATCTAGGTTGGTGGCCCTCACTGTCTCCTGTGGCAGGGAGTTCCACAGTTTAACTGCGACACCCTTCCTTTCACCTGCCCTGAATCTCCCAATATTCATTATTTCCCTGGATGCCCTCGAGTTCCCCTGTGTCATGAGAGAGGGAGGTGACTTATCTCTAGATGTTTTCTCCAGGTCGAAATGATTTTATACATAATAATATAATAATAATTTATTACTTATACCCCGCCCATCTGGCTGGGTTTCCCCATCCACTCTGGGCGGCTCCCAAGAGAATATTAGAAGCAGGAGAAAACATCAAGTATTAAAAACTTCCCTAAGCAGCACGTTTGTTATAGCAGGTTGCTCTGCCTGCGTAATTCCAGAGTGGAGCCCCCGAGATGCTTGGGTGGCGCCTCGTCCGCCTCCTTCCGGCATCTCCGTCCTGCAGCCAAGCCGGTGCCAAACCTCTTGCTCTGCTTTCCTTTGGCGTCCCATCAGCGAGGCTGGGGGGGGGGGGGGCTGGTCGTCTGGGAAGCCCAGGACCTCCAGGCAGACGGCCTAGACTTGCGCCCTGGCGAGGTCCGAGGTGCGCTCCGCGGTCTCTCTCCGGACAGAGGCGGGTGCCCGTCTCTCCTCCGCCTTTTCTCTACCTTGAAAAGCCCCGCACGCCGAAACCTCTCCCCCCATTGTGGGGGTGTCGCTCCATCTCCGGGACCTTTTTGGCCGACCACCCTTCTCCCTCGCCGCCCCAGGTGGAAGCCTATCGGGGCCCGATGGACGACGACACGGCGCTGAACGGCATCCGGCTCTTCTGCACTCGGGGCGGCCGGGGCGACAAGCACGAAGCGCACACCGTGGAGTCCCAGAGCGGCCCGTGAGTGGCTCCCTCTCCCTCTGCCTGGCCCCCGCGCCCCACACCCCCGCCCCCAAGCTCGACCCAAAGGATTGCGCAGCCGCCCTGGTCTTTAGGGCACTTTGCTGGGCTGGGGTCTGGGTTCGAATCCCCGCACTCGGTCTTGAAGCTCTTACTGGGTGACCGGGGAGGGCAGTGACTGCCTTCTCTCATCCTGGCCTACCTCGCAGGGTTGTGGTGGCGGTCCCTTGGTTCGTGACCGAGTGGGGATTCAAACTCTGGTCTCTCCAAGATCCTAGTCCTCATTTAATCCCGGCAACATGAAAGGGGGCGGATTCTCCTTCCTTGGAGGGCCACCTGCCGGAGATGCTTCAGCTGAGATGCCTGCATTGCCGAGGGTTGGGCTGGATGACCCCTGGGGATCCCTCCCAACTCCGCAATTCCATGATTGCGTGACTCCACCTGTCTGCATCTCCCATCCGCCCCAGAGAGCACAACTATTTGTGACCTCACGGCGTGCCTCGCAGGGGGCTGGACTAGATGGCCCTCGAGGGCCCTCCCAACGCCGCCGCAATTCTAGGATTCTAACAACCCGCCCTCAAAGTCACCCAGCGAGAGGGGATTCGAAGCCTGGTCTCCGCCAGGTCCTGGTCCGGCGCTCCAACCACTGCGCCGCACTGCCCGGCCTGACTCTCTCTCTCTCCCGCCCCCTTTCTCCCCCAGGTGGGGCCAGTGGTCGCCGCCCAGCTGGTGCCCCGAGGGCAGCTACCTGACGAGGTTCTCGCTGAGGGTGGAGCAGACCCGGCGCGGGATCCACGACGACATGGGCGCCACCAACGCGCGCTTCGCCTGCTCCGGGGGCGCCCACCTGGAGGGGCGCGGCCTGAGCTGGGGGGAGTACGGCGAGTGGAGCCCGCCCTGCCGGAAGGGCCTGTGCGGCATCCAGACCAAGCTGGACCCCGTGCGCGGAGCCCTCCGGGACGACACCGCCCTCAACGACGCGCGCTTCTTCTGCTGCAGCCGCTGAGGACCCCGGCGCCGACCCCCGGCCCTGCCCGGGCTTGGCCACAAAACATGCCCCCCGCCCCCCACATCCAGGAGACCCCGGGGGAGTCCTCAAGGGGGCTTTCTGGGCTGCTGGGGGTCGGGCTCGATGGCCCGGGGGGTGCCTTGTTTTTTTAGTCGAGATTCCGGCATTGCAAAGGGCTGGACTAGATGACCCTCGGGGGTCCCTTCCAACTCTACAATCCTATAATACTTCCCTCTCCCACACCTGTCCCGCCAGGTCCCCATCAGCGACTGACACGCCCCCTCCTTCTGAACCCAGGCTTTCTCCCAGAATGCATTAACAATAAAGATGGCCTCTGAGTACGTGCAAAGTGCTTGCTTGCTTGCTTTGACAGCCCACCTTCTTCTCTCCAAGGAGCTCAAGGGGGCGCAAATTGTTCACTTTTCTTCATTCCATCCCTGCGAGGTAGGGTAGGCAGCGACCAGCCCCTCAAGGGCGCCCAGGGGGGTGGGAATTGTACCCTGGTCTCCCAGGTCTGACCCTACCCACTACTCCACATGGCTCACTCATCTCCTGCCCCCTCCCTGCTGGCTGTCCACCAGGTATATGAGCAAAGTGCCTCTGAGCCTAGGAGGAGTGCCTTTTGAAGGCACTGTCCATCCTTTGCCACCACCTCCAGTCCACCCTGAGCACTGCTCCTCTTCCTCCTCCTTTGACGACCGCAGAACTTGGAATTGCCAAGCGATGCTCCAGCCCTTGGGGCTGAATGGAACCTCCCTTCTCAGAGGCACTCTATCCCCAAAGGCCACTTGCTGAGGAATCTCCTAAGAACGCAAGACGAGCCCCACCGGATGAGGGCAAAGCGAGCCCAGCATCCCGTCCTCACGGGAGCCAGATACCCCCGACGGACCTGGGAATCTAAATGGACTGCCTCTGCACCTGGAGGCTCCATTAGGACACCAGCAGAGTCTGCTGAGCTGCCCAGTCCGCCCAGAGCCCTTGCCTTCTCCGTAGGTCTGACTAGCCCTCTTTCAAAGCCACCGCTGGTTCCTGCGGGAGGGAGTTCCGCAGTTTAACGCGGCGCTGCAGCCCCAAAGTGTACGAGAATCTTCTCCCCTTGCAGCGCCCCCCCCCCCGCGCGCAGCAGATCCCGATCCTTATCCCTCTCTTCTCCAGGGTCCCTCGCCCAGCCCCCCCTCCCAAAATATCCGCCCCGCCCCCTCCACACAGCAGCCCTGCAGAGCCGGACTCAACAACCGGGAGAGAGCTGGTTTATTCCGACTTTTGCAAACCGTAGAGATGAGAAGTGGGTGGGGATGGGCTGCGGTTGTGGGGGGGGGGCGCTTGGACGGAGTGTGCGCGTTGCGGGTGGGGGTCCAGCCCTGCCGGGTCCCTCAAAGGCCCCCGTCGCCCTACGAGAAAAAGAGAGAGAGAAATTGGCCAGTGAGGCGGCGGGCTCGCAGCGGCCGTGGCTTGTAGCACCTGGACTTAGTGCCCGACCGGGGGGCCAAGAGAGGGCGCGACCCCCGGGGGTGAGCCTGCTTTGCCGGGCGGGGGGCACTGACCCTCCTTCCCGCCGCCCCCCTCCCCACGCTCCCCCCATTTCTCAGGCCCCCTTACCGCCCGGTCCTCGTCTTTGCGGCAGTCTCCACACACGGTGCCCACCAGCCCGTTGACCACCTGAAGTCCGCACAGCGCCAGCTCCACCAGCCCCAGGCCCAGCAGGATGGCGAAGAGGACCACGTGCCACATCACCACGTTGGGGGGGTTCAGGCACTCCTCCCACAGCGTCCGGTTGCCCAGGTAGCTCTCACTGCGGGGGAGACAGCCGCCATCAGTGGGGGGGGGCGCTACTTCTTTCATGGCATTGACCGCCCTCTTCTCCAAGGAGCTCAGGGAAGATGGCCGGCCTGGGTCTCTTCCAACTTCTTTGGAGGTTTTTAAGCAGAGCTTGGATGGTCCTCTGCCAGGGACGCTCCAGTTGTGGTTCCTGCATTGCAGGGGGTTGGGCTGGATGACCTCGGGGTGCCCCTCCACAGCCCTGCCAGGTATCCTAGGCTGAGAGGCGGTCATGCCCACAGACAGGGCCGGATTGAGGTTTGAAGAGGCCCTCAGCTCCTGAAGGTCATGGGACCCTTTCTATGTCCAGCTGTCCTTTGTCAACAACAAATTGCAGCTGCTTTTTGTGTTGAATATATGCTACAGGGCAATTTATAGACCTAATAGGTATTTAAAGCCATTTGCACATAACATAATGTGTATTTTATCAAAGTAACTGTTGAACTGAAATACAGTGGTACCTTGGGTTAAGTACTTAATTTGTTTTGGAGGTCAATTCTTAACCTGAAACTGTTCTTAACCTGAGGTACCACTTTAGCTAATGGGGCCTCCCGCTGCCGCCGCACGATTTCTGTTCTCAACCTGAAGCAAAGTTCTTAACCCGAAGGTACTACTTCCGGGTTAGCGGAGTCTGTAACCTGAACTGTATGTAATCTGAAGCATCTGTAACCCAAGGTACCACTGTATTATTAAGAAGTATATTAATAGTGAAATACAATTAAGAAGAAGTGTATTCATAGTGAAATACAATTAAGAAGAAGTATATTCATAGTGAAATACAATTAAGAAGAAGTATATTTTTTGGGGCGCCCAAGAGAGTGGGGCCCTGAGCTATAGCTTGTTTAGCTTATACGTAAATCCGGCACTGACCACAGAGCTTCCTGGCCAAGTGCCGAGATTTGAAGGCAGGTCTCTCCAAACCTGGATCTTTCCCACCCATGGCCAGGATCCGAGCGCAGGAGTGCTTCCTGCCCTCCTGAGGTTTCCAGCAACTGGGATTCAGAAGCATTTGTCTCCCAGGGGGTGGGGGCTGTCCCTCCCTCTCTACTGCAGGCCCCCCCCCGGCTCCTCACCTGAGGTCCTTGAAGGGCGACCCCCACGTCCCGTCCTTCGCCTCGCACCAGGGTCCCTCGGCCAGGGCAGTGGACGACACCACCAGGCAGTAGAAGCCCCCCAGCCCCCCAAAGATGGAGCAGAAGACGGAGCGCAGCATCTGTGGGGGAGGAGAAAGTGAGGGGGGGCCTGCTGCCGCCCCACACATGCCCCACTTGCTCAGCCCCTCTTCTGCTCTCAGGACTCCAGCCCAGAGCCCTCTTGGCACAGACTCCATAGGAAGCCCCCCACCTTCTCTCCCCTCGGTGGGACAAGGTGGGAGCCCCCAGTCTCCCTCCCTAGAAACAGGACTCTGCGCCCCCAAACCTCTACCATACCCCAGGCTCTGTTTGCGAAAACATCATGGGGGGCATGTGCAGAGGGTCTCCGTGTTGCTACTTCCGGGCCGGGCAAAAGAGTCCTGGCGATGCACATGCCTCTGTGCCTGGGCAGAGTGCCTTTGCCTCACTCCTGGGCCGGGTGGGGAGAGGAACCCAAAAGTGTGTGTTTGTGTGGAACTGGGGGGTCCTCCAGGGCAGATAAAATAAGCAACAGTTTGTGACCTGCTTGATCCCCCCCTCCTTTGCCAGAGCTGAAAACAGAAATAAAGGGTTCAGGGTGCAAGGTGTCCATATTCACAAAGGAGCAGCTCACCCGTCCTAAGCCTGGATCAGATTACTAGGGGGTTTTTTAAAAGGGGGAATATTCAGGACTGAGGGCCAGGAATGAAAATACCCTCCAACCCCAAAGATCAGGCCCAGCCACAGCTGAGTTGCTGGCTTGTTCTCACTTTCACACACACACACACACACCCTGCCAGGCCCTTCCAGCAATGAGCCTCTGCCAACCTGGAGTCCTCTAGAGCAGTGTTTCCCAACCTTTTTTGGGCAAAGGCACACTTCTTTCATGAAAAAAATCTCGAGGCACACCACCATTAGAAAATGTTAAAAAATTTAACTCTGTGCCTATATTGACTATATAAAAAGTACAGTGGTGCCTCGCAAGACGAAATTAATTCGTTCCGCAAGTCTCTTCGTCTTGCGAGTTTTTCGTCTTGCGATGCACGGTTTCCCATAGGAATGCATTGAAAATCAATTAATGCGTTCCTAGGGAAACCGCCTTCAGACCAGGTCCGGGGACAGTCTGTCCCCCGACCTCTTCTGAAGGCTGGGGGGGGGGGACAAGGGCTTTTCTTCCCATTGCCAGCCTTCAGAAGGCTGTTCTGAAGGCTGGCGGTGGGAAGAAAAGCCCTTCTTCCCACCTCCCGCCCCGCAAGCTCCGGGGACAGGAGGGCTTTGCTGCCGACCGCCAGCATTTTAAAAGCCCCTGCTGTCCCGGGGCGATTTTAAAATGCTGGCGGGCGGGAGCGAAGTCTCCGCTGCCCCGAGGAGATTTTGAAATGCTGGGGGTCGGCAGCGAACGCTTCGCTCCCGCCCGCCAGCATTTTAAGATAGCCCGGGGCAGCGGAGAAGTCTCCGCTGTCCCGGGAAGGCAGGCGGGGGAGCAAAGACTTTTGCCCCCGCCTGCCTTCAGAAGAGGTCCAGGACCTCGTTCCGATGCCCGGCGGCGGGGTGCGAGGTTCCCGCTCCACCGCCCGGCATCGGGGCATCGTTCCGATGCCCGGCGGCGGGGTGCGAGGTTCCCGCCCCGCTTCGGAGCAGCGCTCCGAAGCGGGGCGGCTGGGGCAGGTGTTCCCGCCCCCCCGCCCCGCTTCGGAGCAGCGTTCCGAAGCGGGGCGGCTGGGGCAGGTGTTCCCGCCCCCCCGCCCCGCTTCGGAGCACCGGGAGAAGCGATCTCCCCGCAGCCCCTTGCTTCAAAAGAGGTCCGGGGGCAGCGGGGAAGAAGCGCTGCGCTTCCCGCTGCCCCCGGACCTCTTTTGTAGCAAGTGGCGGTGGGGAGAAGCGATCTCGGGCGCCGCGGCGCGCAGGCGCACTGCTCGCTCCTCTTTCCGCGCAGGCGCCTTCTCTCGCTCTTTCGCCTCCTTTTCTTTCTCTCTCGATGGTCCGCCTACAAAGGAGCGAGGGAGGCGCCCGCCATGTTTGGATTTGCATCCAGCAGGAGATGCCGCCGCCGCCCCGCCTCTCCCGCCTCCCTCCCACGGCACACCAGGCAAGGTCTCACGGCACACTGCTCTAGAGGTTTCCATAGAATCAAAGGAATATAGAGTTGGAAGAGACCCCCAGCGGTCATCCATCCCAACCCGCTTCAATGCAGGAATCTTTTGCTCAAACCCACAATCCTGTCTCATGCTCTACCAATTATTATTTTTGGGGGGTGGGGCACTACCGTTCCCACTAGCCCCTAGCAGGATGTGCTGGCTGGCTGGGAACTTTTAGTTCCAGAGACCTGGCTGCCTCTAGCAGGCGCCTTGCAGGTGGTGGCTCAAGGGGCCGAGAGAGTGCTGGGCCCCCTGGCAGATGAGGCAGAGGAAGAGACGGGGAGGAGGGCCCAAGGATCCGTACCTGGCACCTGTTCCCGCAGCATCCGTATCCGCAGCAGCCTTTCCCTCCGGCCCTCACAGCAGAGCACCCGGTGCAGAGGACCTGGGGGAGGCGGAAAGGGAGGAGGGGGAGGTCAGAGAGTTGCTGGATCAGACCCAAGGAAGACACCCCCCACACACACACACACTCCCAGATTCAGCCTCCTGTCCTCACAGCAGCCAAGTGCCCCAGAGAACCTAGGAAGCAGATAGACTGCCTCTGGCTCAGGAAGCTCCACAAGGATGTAAGACGAGGCCGGATGCTGGATGAGGCCGTCTTGCCCAGAATCCTGCTCCTGCCGTGGCTGAAAGGGGAAACCCAGCAAACAGGAACTTGCCCAACCCTCTTTTCAAGAGATCCAAGCGGGTGGCGGCCACTCATTCCTGCGGCAGTGAGTTCCAGAGGTCAACTCCTCCACGGTGGCCCCTGGATTGGCCTGGCTACCCACACCATTAATAACAACGACAACAATTTGATGGTTTATATGCCGCCCCTCTGGATGGGTTTCCCCAGCAGATCTGGGCGGCTTCCAACAGATATAAAAACAGAATGGAACACCAGACATTAAAAACTTCCCTAAAGAGGGCTGCCTTCTGTTGTCTTCTAAAAGTCAGATACAGTGGTACCTCGGGTTGAGAACTGAATTCGTTCCGGAGGTCCGTTTTTAACCTGAAACTGTTCTTAACCTGAAGCACCACTTTAGCTAATGGGGCCTCCTGCTGCCGGAGCACAATTTCTGTTCTCATCCTGAAGCAAAGTTCTTAACCCGAGGTACTATTTCTGGGTTAGCAGAGTCTGAAGCGTATGTAACCTGAAGTGTCTGTAACCCGAGGTACCACTGTAGTTGTTTATTTCCTTGACATCTGATGGGAGGGCGTTCCACAGGGCGGGGGCCACCACCGAGTAGGCCCTCTGCCTGGTTCCCTGTAATCTCACTTCTTGCCACTGCCCCCCCCGGTCCTCCCCACCTGATGCCACTGGGCTGGGCTTCTCGAACTCAGGACCTGCCTTTACCTGAGCAGCTCTCAGGCTGCAGAATGCCAGAAGCACACACCTGTCATTTGACAGAAAAGGCAGGTGGATCTGAAGGTGCCCCCCCGAAACATGGGCAGTGGCACCCCCCCCCGCGGCAAGAGCGGTGACCCCCCCCATCAGGTCCCTCCAGCAACCCTTTGCCACTCCTGCCTTCTCCCCTGATGCGCCTCATTTCCCCTTTCGGGGGGCAGAGATCACCTTGTTTTATTGACCCCCCATGCCAAGCCAGCTGTCTCCCTTGCAGATAAGGGCGCTGTTATCTCCCACAGAGTGTGCGTGAGGGGGAGGTTTGCACAAAGTTCACCATGAGAGAAACCAAGGCTGCCTATGGGAAGAAAGGGCTGGGGTGGGGGCCAGACCGGGTGATGGGGTTCCTCTGGGTTCTCCAATGGCACCCCCAATCCCTTGGGGAATGTGCTTGGCACCCCGTTGCCAGGAGAGAGAGCCGGGGGCCTGCTGTGGGTCAGGGCTGTCAACCTCCCCAGACCAGTGCCAGATTTACGTATAGCTTAGGGCCCCACTCTCTTGGGGGCCCCCAAAAAATTAAAGGAAAAAGAAACTGGATGTACATTTCCCAAATATAAGATAAAAAACAAATAAAATACAGTGGTACCTCGGGTTAAGAACTTAATTCATTCTGGAGGTCTGTTCTTAACCTGAAACTGTTCTTAACCTGAAGCACCACTTTAGCTAATGGGGCCTCCCGCTGCAGTCGTGCTGCCAGAGCACAATTTCTGTTCTCATCCTGAAGCAAAGTTCTTAACCCGAGGTACTATTTCTGGGTTAGCGGAGTCTGTAACTTGAAGCATCTGTAACCTGAAGCGTCTGTAACCCGAGGTACCACTGTAAAACCTACATACAGCAGCAGTGTTTTAGATACCTAATTAGGTCTATAAATTGCCCTATAGCATATATTCAACACAAAAAGCAGCGGCAATTTGTTGTTGGCAAAGGACATCTGGACATATAAAGGGCCCCGTTCCCTTCAGGAGCCGAGGGCCTCATCAAACCCCAATCCGGCCCTGCCAGAGTCGCTCTGCTCCTGAGCATCCAATGCAATCAGGCCATGCTAGGGGGGGGGGACTGTGGTTGGTACCAGAGACGTCCCTGGGCAGACAACTCAAGGAAGTGAGTCAGGCTGCACAAGGCAGGAGGAAGCAGCGTCTCTCCCACCCCCGACATGTCCCCAAGCCATGAAGCCGGCTGCAAGTCCTGAGAATCACAGGGATGGAGGGCACCCTCAGGGTCATCTAGCCCAACCCCCTGCAATGCAGGAATCTCAGCTGATGAACCCCTGGCAGGCAGCCACCCAAGCCCTGCTTAAACGCCTCCAGTGGAGGAGAACCCACCCCCTCCCTTGGAATCACAGAACTGGGTCCCCGAGGGTCATCTAGCCCCACCCACCAGCCCTGGGCACTCACCATCAGCCCCCCGCCGACGAGGCCCCCCATGAGCCACACTTGGGTGGTGATGTTCTGGGGGGTCCAGTCCCGCTGCATGTTGGGGAACATCAGGAGGATGTTGGCCACAATGCAGGCCAGGCCGGCGGTCACCAGGCTGAGGCCCACCAGGCGGGCGCACTTGCCGGTGCACATGGTGGGAGACGAGGCCCCGGGGGGAGACGGGCGCAGGCAGGTGCGGCGGAAGCGGAGGAGGAGGCTGCTGCTGCTGCTGCTGCTGCCGTGCGGAGGAGCCAGAGCAGGAAACTGTTTGCTCCCAGATAAGGAGGGCAAAGGGCTGGCCAGAGGAGAGGGAAAACACCTCCTCCCTCCTAGCCATTTCCCAGCCTGGCATCCCTGCCACCTCCACCTCCTCACAGAAACTCTCCCTCCCTCCCTCCCTGGAGGGGTTTAAGCAGAGGTCGGGGGGGGCATCTATCATGGATTGCAGGGGGTTGGACTAGATGACCCTTGGGGTCCCTCCAAGCTCTGCAGTTCTAGAATTCTATTTATTTATTTATTTAATTCATATACTGCCCTGTTCCCGGAGGCCTCAAGCCAGGTCACAAAGCAAAATCAGAATATGAAACCACAAAATATATAATCAAAATAGAAACAAGAACCCCTTCCCAAAAAAGAACCACATTTTAAAAAGGCATAGGATGGCAACCAAAGCAACCAGTGTTTTTGTCTGGTGCCTCAAGGTGTATAATGAAGGCGCTAGGTGGATTTCCTTGGGGAGAGCAGACGGGGAGCCACTGCAGAGAAGGCCTGTTTCTTTTTCGGAAGCCAAATGTCCAGGCATAAATCTAAACTGCAATGAAGGAATCACAGCTCCAGAATCCCCAGGAGACGGCCACCCAACCTCTGCTTGAAAACCTTTGGCGAAGGAGAGTCCACCACCTTACAAGGAATTGCAGAGTTGGAAGGGACCCCATGAGTAATCTAGTCCAGCCCCCTGCAATGCAGGAATCTCAGCTCAAGCATCCCTGGCAGGTGGCCAGCCAACCTCTGCTTGAAAACCTCCAAAGAAGGGGAGTCTACAACCTCCACTGCCAAACTGCTGGGAGGAGCCCAGAGAGAGGAAACGCCCTGGTGCATCTGCAGCAGCCCAACCAAACACCTTCCTCTGCGCCAGCTGCAACAAAACATGTCTCTCTTGCATCGGTCTCTGCAGCCACAGCAGGTGCTGCAGCCTCCCCACTGCCTGGCCTCACCCCCAAAGGGATGCTCCTCCAGGGTCTCCCGAGGCTAAAAGGGCCTGAAATGGCAGAGGTGGAGGCAGGGGGCAAGGAGATGCTAAAGGGGGGGGGGGAGGAAATCCCAGGAGCGAGAGGGCAAGGGAGGTGGAAAGTGGGGGTCCCTGAAGTGGATGGTCGCTGAAGGCAAAGAGTTGCGCACACTTCAGTTTATGATATGGAAAATTCAGTGCATGACCTCCTGCGGCCCAGTTGGACTGAGAGCTTGGACCGCCCTGATATACATAAGTAAAGGTACCCCTGCCCATACGGGTCAGTCGTGTCCTACTCTAGGGTTGTGCGCCCATCTCACTTAAAAGGCCGGGGGCCAGCGCTGTCTGGAGACACTTCCGGGTCACGTGGCCAGCGTGACAAAGCTGCTCTGGCGAACCGGCACCAGCACAGCACACGGAAACGCCGTTTATCTTCCCACTATAAAGCGGTACCTATTTATCTACTTGCACTTAAGGGTGCTTTTGAACTGCTAGGTGGCAGGAGCTGGGACCGAAAGATGGGAGCTCACCCCGCCGCGGGGATTCGAACCGCCGACCATACGATCGGCAAGTCCTAGGCACTGAGGTTTAACCCACAGCGCCACCCGCGTCCCGGTCCTGATATACATAGATGGATACAAAATGGCTACCTACCTGTAAATAGATGGATACAGTGGTGTTTTTTTCTAGGGGGTACGCAGGGGTACACGTACCCCTAAACATTTTGTGAATCTTTGTACTTTTGTCCACTTACTGTACTTATTTTCCCCAATTTGAACTATAAAACAGTGATTTTCTTGAGTCAAAATGAGAGAACCCCTAAACATTTTTTATATAAAAAAGCCACTGGATAGAGATCCATAGATAGATAGATAGATAGATAGATAGATAGATAGATAGATAGATATGAGAGAGTGAGAGTGTATTATGCTTCCCCTATTCTCACACATCTTCTTTCTGTGTTTATCAGCTGCCACCATTTGTAGGCAGTGATACCAATAAGTATCTCGCCTTTAATTTACTTGTGACGTTGACTCTTTTTCTGGTTTTGCACTCCTTCTTTTCCAGAACTGAACCCAGAAATGAGTCTTTCAGAACTTGATGCCTTTGCCATGTTCTCTGCTAATTGTATTTTTATAGCTTGTTTTATATCTTACATCTCGTACTATATCATACTCCACAGGATACAAACTGCAATGCAATATAGTAGAGCGAAGAAGGGCAGGAACTAAAATGCCATTAAAAATCACTAGGAATATTTCCTGGGAAGGATCTACCGCCTCCTCTCTTCTGTCCCAGAAAAGGCAGGAACCGTGTGCCTCCTCACTCATCCCTCAGCTGAGACCCAATATCTCAGATGGGGGAAGTTTGCTTTCTCCTGCTCAGGAGGGGAGAACGGGAACCAAAGGATTAGATTCCAAGCAAACACCAGGAGAAAAAACATTAGGATGGGAGGAAGGTGGTGGACTCTCCTTTCCTGGAGGCTTCAAGCAGAGGTTGGATGGCCGTCTCTCGTGGATGCTTGAGTTGAGTTCCCTGCATTGCAGGGGGTTGGACTGGATGACCCTCAGGAGCCCCTTCCAACTCCACAATTCTATGGTTCCAGGATGGGGCTTCCTGCTTCTTGCATGCTGCTCCTCCAGTTTCTGGCTAAGGAAGGAAACAGCTCAGAAACCTGCCAGCCAAGAGGCCACCCCGATGGAGGTGGGGGGGGGGGGTAGCTGCCCCTCCCACGAATCAAATAAATAAATAATACTTACCCAAAACTACAAATCGTAGAAAAAATTTTCTGAGCACTTGGGATCAAATGAAAGGAATTTGAAGCAACTGTTGCTGACCCACGTCATTCCGAATCTGCTGGACAGAGCCAGACAGAGGATGGTGACAGGTGAGACACCTGACCCCCAAAAAACCCCATAAATCCTGGCTACTCCCATGGCGCCCCTTCCCCACAAAAAATGAAGCAGCTCTGGGTGCTCAACACACGTGTCTCCTGCTCTGCAAAGGGAGGGCTGAGTGTGCCTGGCTTTGCCAGGGTTAAAAGGAGCTGAGCTGGATTCCTAGAGAGGAAAGGCAATGAAGGTGGGGGGGCAGTCCTCCAGATCGGAAGCCCCGCCTCCCTGCCACTGACGTCCCTTCCTGCAGGAGAGGGGGAGGGGGAGGGGGTTGCTGTCTTTCTGCTTTGCAGCTCCTGCAACCTGGTGAGTCTCCCTTGTCTTCCGCCATGGGGTGCATTGGGGAGAAGCGGGGGGGGGATGCATCAGGGGGTCCTGTTCAGCTCATGCAGGCGGGGAGCCCCCAACCAGCCCCCTCCACACCCCAAGACACAACCACCCAACTGGCCCTGCAATGCAGCTGCTTTGAAACAGGAATTGATGGTGTTCTCAAGGGCTGCTGTGGGGATTAAAGGACAGCAGGGAGACCCCTCAGATGCCCCCTTGAGCCCCTGGGAGAGAAGGGGGGGTGGAAATGCAATGAATGAGGAGAGGGAGCCCAGCCCATCATCTGGCTGTGGGATTTGGGAGCTGCACATACGTCAGCTCCACATACATAGCAGGCATTGCAATAATCCCGGAGCATGGAGTGCCCTGTCCACGTCCTCTCCATCCCAAAGGGACTGGGGCTAGCAGCCTAGGCGAGATGGAAATGGGGTGGTAGAGAAGGGGCAGTATCTGCGGTGGGGAAATGACGGGCTCCTTCTGGCTAGTTCCGCCACCTTTGTTCTCACATGTGGTTCCTAAAAGCTGTCAGCATTTGACAGTGGCTGCACCCTGGGAGCAGATTTGAATGGCTGGCTGAACCAGATGAGGGTGGCCAATGGGTCTCAAACCCTCAGAGAGTTAGGGACTCCCTCTGCATGCGAAGACAGGCTCTGGTGGATTGAGCGGACGAGACCCACAGTGGGTTCAACGGTTAAGAAGGGATTTCTGCAGGTCTTGTCATCTGGTCAGTCCAGGACTTCCAGACACACTGCCCAGGCTTGCACCCCAGGGCAGTGACTTTGGGGCTGCAAATGCAGCCAAAACTATGTGAGAGGCAGCAGTTATTAGTCATTGACACGATCTGAGCCTCCAGTGACCATGTTGGATCCAGGAGTATTCCCAACATTTTTGATCCGTGTGGGAGTTGTTGTTGCTGTTGCTGCTCCTGCTGTTAATTACCTGCCCTTTGCCCTAAGTTCCCACGGTAGATGGCAGCAGTAAAGTACAATATTAAAGATGTTTAAAACCAGTACAAGCATAGAAAGATTTATGGTACTTGCTTTTTAGCGCTGTCCTTTGAACCCACCCAAATGAACTTTGATTTTGCCCATTTGACCCTCGGGGGGTTGGCCAGATAATGATTTGGGCCCTCAGAAAAAAGAAAAAGGTTCCCTACCCCAGTAATTTGCCTTGAGAACCTTGGAGCTTCCAAGTGCTAGAAAACAAAACAGAAGCAGGGAAGAAATTTGTCCTGAAGTGGGGGTGGGAGAGAGCAACTCTTGAGAACCCTGGAATTAGGACCCCCACTGTTAGCCTAGTGTGTACATTACATTTGGTATAACTGACACACCTGTCAGTCACAGGTCTGACTTTGTTCCTCGTCTGCAAACACTGAAAGACAGGCTCAACCAGACTGATTCATCTCACAGTTTGGTATGGTTACTTTCCTTCTAGGAGGGCTGGAGGCTTACCTTTTCTTAAAGAAAGCTGAAAATCTGGCCTGTGGTAGAGTCCAATCCTGCTTCCTAGCAGGACTCATCCAATAAATTGACTGTCAGTTTAATAACGGAACAATGCATTTGCTTTGTAGATTTTGCTAGCACCTCTTTTCGGACACACAGAACTGGGCAAGAGGGGGGGAAAGGATTCCTTCCGGTCTCTTAGAGGCTTCCTGAGAGCACAGATGGATGAACAAGACTCAGCTGACCCTGAAGTAGGAAGAGGCCATGGCATTGACACTGGGAGCAGTGGGGGATTCTGGGAAAACTCCATACAGAAGCTCCTGGGAGAGGAGGACACCCTTCGCTCAGAGGTGCAGAGCCAGCAGTTCAGGCAGTTCTGCTGCCAGGAGGCCAAAGGACCCCGAGAAGTTTGCAGCCAACTCTACCGCTTTGACCGTCAATGGCTGAAGCCAGAAAGGCACACGAAAGCTGAGATGCTGGACCTGGTGATCTTGGAGCAGTTCCTGGCTGTCCTTCCAGTGGAGATGGAGAGCTGGGTGAGGGAATGCGGAGCAGAGACCAGTTCCCAGGCAGTGGCCCTGGCCGAAGGTTTCCTCCTGAGTCAGGCAGAGGAGAGGAAGCAGGTGGAGAAGCAGGTGAGAGAGACTTTCCTCTGGATGCTCCCAAGGGGCTCCGAACAGGAGGGAGAACAAACCCAAATGCTCTACTCATGGCCTATTAGTGGAGCATTTTCGGATATTCTAAAATTATTGCCTCTCATTCCATTTCTATAATTCTATGAATTCTTTTCATTCTTTCAGGGAAAGGATCTGTTTGCAGCAATGGGCCCAGATTACTCTGAGGAAGAGAGGACTCCGCTGGACACAAAAGAGAGGTCACTGGGTCAGGAGGAAGGAGTCTTTTGTCCCTTTGATCCCATTCTGTTGGTTTTGAAACTAATCTTTTCATCTTTTTGTGGAAGACATTTGGGGCCAAGAGCCTCAAGGAGGGGAAATGTATTTTTGCACGGCTGAAATAGGCAATGGGTACAAATGCTAAAATGCACTCAGCATGTGAGGCTGGTTATAAGTAGATTAATTTCAATCGGGGTTTAGGCCCGGTTTTGGATCAGAAACTGATTTGATCACCCTGTGTAATGACCTTTGCCGAGAGAGAGATGGGGAAAGATGCCCCTGTTGATTCTGCTGGACCTCTCAGCAGCTTTTGATACCATCGATCACGCCCTCCTTCTGGAGCAGCTGGCTGAGTCGGGAGTAGGTTGCACAGCTTTGCAGTGGTTCTGGTCCTCCTTGGATGGGGGTTCCCAGAGGGTGATGCTTGGGGAGTGGTTTTTAGCCCCGTGGAGCCTTAAGCAAGGAATTCCTCAGGGCTCTGTTTTATCCCATATGTTACTTAATATCTACATGAAACCGCTGAGTAGGGACATCCAGTTTGGGAGGACATTGCCAGCAATATACTGATGACACACAATTCTACTTCTCTGTTACATCCGCAGGTGAAGCAGTGGATGTGGAGGCGCTGCTTCACCTCTGAGAGAGGCAGGCACTCCTGTCTCCCCACTTACCTTTGTCTCTTGCAGGTGACAGAACGATGCCAGCAAAACCTCCCAATCCATCTTTTCTTGGTGGCGGAGGGGAAACAGCGGCTGTGGAAGCAGATCAGGTAGGGGGAAGGAGCCTTGTGGGGAAAGAGGCGGAGGGGTGGGGCATCTCTGGGTGCAAATGAATCTCTCTCCTGTTCCTCTTTGCTTCTGTCAAAGCTGCCCTTAGTGAACACTGAAAATGCCATTGGAGAAGGCTTCTCTGCTGAGAGTAATGAACAGCTGCCTCACCTTAACTCTCCTCCTGAATGTCGCTAGCGTTATTTATCAGTTGTTGCAGTTCGTTTTTACAGTATGTTTATTGGTGAATGCTAAAATATAAGGAACTTTTAAAAAACCAGTGGTGAGAATTTGCCTGCCCAGCCCCTCCAGTTGAGGGCTCCCCCCTCTTCTCCACCTCCCTATGCAGCCCTTGGAGTTGGCTTTAGGGAATGAGGAGAGTTGTCTCTCTGCACCCTCCCAAAATACCACATAGGGAGAGGAGAGAGGGGAGCCTTCCATCCCAGAAGTTAAAATGTTTGTTCAGACATACGGATCTAAAGAGCACCATGTGGAGTTTCACCCCTTTGCACAAAGATTAATACCCAGTTTTAAAAATACAGAATAAAATAATTCCATTAAGGTGCTTAGATATGCATCCATCATTAAAATGTACAGTGAAACATTCCCCTGAAAACTGCACAGCAATTAACAGACAGGAAACAACAGAGCAATGTGTGCTAGATAATCTTTATGCTTTCTGAAAGGAAGACCTTTTCTTTCAGAGTCTAGTGTGCTTTGAGGATATAGCTGTGTATTTCACGGAGGAGGAGTGGGCGTTGCTAGATCCTGCCCAGAGAGCTCTGCATCAGGAAGTCATGGAGGAGAATCGTACTATCATGGCCTCTCTCGGTAAGGCTCCCTGTTGGATCACAATATCTGTCCTGAAATTACATTAATCTACGTGATGAACCTCTCAGATTTTTATGGAGCTCAACAGCGCCACCTACAGCATCTCAGATTCTAACACACACACCCTCAGCTCACCTTGAATAGAGGGCTAACAACTGTTTTGTCTGTGTGAACATTTCTTTCTCTGGTTATGCCTTTTGATTAGGCTGTCAGTTTTTTTGTTCTTGATTCTGTCAGATTCTGGTTGACCAAAATGATGACTGACATTAGAGATGGAGCGGATTCTGTGATTAGGCCAAACATAACCTAAGAAAGGGCTGGAACACAGCAGGAGGGGCCCCTTCTCAGGAGGAGAGTCCTTTTTCTGGGAAATAGATCTCTTGGCTGACTCCTCAGAGGAGTCTATGGGAACCCATGCCGACTGGGCAAGGGGCCTTCTTGAATTTAGCAGCAGCCCAGGCCGAGGAGGTTTTGGTCAACCTGCAAAGGCCTGATCCAGCAGCTCCAGCACGTCCGGAAGGTCTGGAAAACCAGGAAAGGGGGGTAGGGGGACCACCCTTGCCTCCCCCACCCTCTGAGAGGCCTCCATTCGCTCTTGAGTGAGTCACCTGGCTAGGACAGGCTCTGAGCCTTCCCACAGTCCCCCCGGCCCCATTCAGTCAGGGGCAGCAGCGGGGAGGGGGTCTCAGGAAAGCACCCATGGTTCCGGTTCAAGCAGGGCTAGGAACCAGCACGATGGCCAGGGTGCCAGTGAGGATGAGAAGGAGAGCTGATCCCTCCCCTTCCCCCTCAGACCATTCCTCATCTTGGAGCAGCCTCTCGCCCCCTCACAGGGGAAGGGCTCAGAGGCAGGGGACCCAGCACAGGAGGCGCCGGGTGCTGCTGAGCAGGGGAGGAAGGGGCCCTGGCAGAAGGGCTTCCAGAAGAGCTGAGCCTTCCCTTTCCCCATGGGCAGCCAGCTCAGAGGATGCCTCAGGCTCTCACACCCCCTTCCTCAACGTCCAGGCCTGTCCCCCCCCTCCTCAGACTGGGAGGACAGTGAGCTTTTTCCAGGTGAGGAGGAAGGGAAGGAGGACGAGGGGGAGCATTCCCCCAGACTCTTTATGAGCCTAGACACCGAGCAGCTCCTGGGAAAGGCTGTGAGGACAGTCCATGTCCCTGAGCAGGCCCAGGCAGCAGGGAATGCCTCCATGGCCTTTCCCAAGCGCAAGGCCTGCAAGAGGGTTTCCCCTTATCGAGAAGAGTTTAAGGAGACCATCTTTCAGGAATGGTGGATTCCTGGGGCTGCTAAGGCAGCAAGCTTCCCCATGAGGCAACTAAATCCATTTGATAAGCCTGCAATGGGATTTCTTAGTGTTCCTCCCGTAGATGCCCCTATATGTTCCCTCACTCATGGATCCGTGGTTTCCAGAGATGGGCAGGATCACCCCAGGAACCCTGAAGACAAAAGGGCTCAGGTTTTGTTGCTCAGATCACATGAAGCTTGTGCACAAGCCATTGAGGTCTTGGCTGCAGCTTCTTTCATGGCCAGAGCAACCTACATCTGAGCCCAGGCCCTTCTGGCAGAGGTTGGACCAGGGTTCGTCCATATCCAGCAGGGAATAGCAAAGCAAGCTAGGCCTCTGCCCATGTGGCTGATGCCTCGTCAGATGCTTTTCAATTCACAGCAGGGATCCAGTCCTCTCAGGTACCTCAGTGTGCATGGGGGAGGCTATCAAATTTCAGAGGGTTGCCTGGAGGGACATGGGACACCTTCCCCCAAGGTCCAGGGGGCTCTCCTATCTTTCCATCCCAGCCTTTCTCTTCAGCACATATCAGAGTTCCCCCTCCTTCACCTGTGCTAGTTACAGGGGCCAGTAGGAATTTTCATTCAGTGAAGAGAGCGGCATGCCCCACTGAAATCACTGTTCTGTTCCTATTCTTTAGTTGTTATGTTGTGACTATACAGTTACTTGCTTAAGCCTGAGTTGAACTGGAGATAGGATGTATTCCTCAAAGCTTTAACTTCTTTTCAATGGTGAGATGGGCAGAGACCAATTCTCCCTACAGAGAAGGAATTTATCTCGATAAGTACCAATGTTCACTTCTCTCTTCATTGCAGGTGATGAATTGGAAATGAAGAAAATTGGAGACCATGACAAAGTCAAAACAGAGGAGAAGCCATATCAATATTCGGAATGCAGAGAGAGCTTGAGCCAGAGCTCCAGTTCCACTTCCTATCAAAGAAATTCCACTGGAAAGAAACGCTATCAGTGCTTTGAATGCGGAAAGAGTTTCGCTTGGCACGACTCTCTCAATTTCCATCAAAGAATTCATACAGGCAAGAAACCATATCAGTGCTTGGAATGTGGAAAGATCTTCAGTTACAAGAACAATCTTGTTTCTCATCAAAGAATTCATACAGGGGAGAAGCCATATCAGTGCTTGGAATGTGGGAAGAGTTTCAGTTACAGAGCCAGTCTCACTTCCCATCAAAGAATTCATACAGGGGAGAAACCATACAATTGCTTGGCATGTGGGAAGACTTTCCGTCACAGCTGTCATCTCAAGTCCCATCTCAGAATTCATACAGGGGAGAAACCCTATCAGTGTATGGAATGTGGAAAGAGCTTCAGTAAGAGTTCTGTGCTCACTTCCCATCAAAGAATTCATACAGGGGAGAAACCATATCAGTGCTTGGAATGTGGAAAGATCTTCAGTTATAAGAACAATCTTACTTCCCATCAACGAATTCATACAGGGGAGAAGCCATATCAGTGCTTGGAATGTGGAGAAAATTTCAGTTACAGAGCCAGTCTCACTTTCCATCAAAGAATTCATACAGGGGAAAAACCATATAATTGCTTGGCATGTGGGAAGAGTTTCCGTCACAGCTGTCATCTCAAGTCCCATCTTAGAATTCATACAGGGGAGAAACCATATGAGTGCATGGAATGTGGAAAGAGCTTCAGTCAGAGGTCCAATCTCACTTCCCATCAAAGAATTCATACAGGGGAGAAACCTTTTCAGTGTCTGGAATGTGGAAAGAGCTTCAGTCAGAGTTCTGCTCTCACTTCCCATCAACGAATTCATACAGGGGAGAAGCCTTTTGAGTGCTTGGAATGTGGAAAGAGCTTCAGTCAGAAGGGCAATCTCACTTTCCATCAAAAAATCCACAGTGAGGAGAATGGGAGAAGCTAGTCCAACCCACTGCAGGGCAGAAATCTTAACTGAAGCATGCATGACAGATGGCCACCAAGCCCATGCTTGAGATCTTCCAAGAAAGGAGAGTCCACCACCTTCCAAGGGACTTGCTTCCACTGTGGAAGCAAGGCCTTGTGAACATTAGAAAGGTCTTCCTGATGTTTAATTGGAGTCAACTTTCTTGTAACTTGAAGCCATTGGTTCAGGTCCTCCTCTACAGACCAGGAAGAAACAAGCTTGCTCCATCCCCCATGGGACAGCCGTTAGATATTTAGAGGTCACTATCCTATCTCCTCTAAGTCTACAATTTTGCGGACTAAACACTCCCAGTTTCCTCAGCTGTTCCTCCTAAGTCTTGATTTCCAGACCCTTGATCATTTCGGTCACCCACCTCTGCACACGTTCCAACTTGTCAATATCCTTCTTGAATTGTGGTGCCAAGAACTGGACACAAGACTCCAGGTGTGCTCTGACCAGGGAAGAATAGAGCAGTGGTATGACTGCCCTTGATCTGGACTATGTGGAGATTCATTTGCCCCTTTTGAGATTACTTTGCAGTGTTGAGATTCATTTTGCCCTACTCACAGCCACAGTTTGCTTGGCCCTTCACCCAGCTCACAGTTGTGCCAGTGAGGAAACTGAGGCACATTTTGCCCATTCCTGTTAATTATTCCACCTTGCCCCCTCTCTCCTGTGCTCCCACCTCCCGTTACTTGCACCGCCGTCACTGCCTGGATCTGCCTCTTCTCCCTGCACCAGCTCCAGACTGCCTCCAGGGGGTCAGTGTTCCTAGTGAGGGGCAGGGGCTACAGCGGAGGGGAGGGGAGGGGTCTGCTGGTGGTTTCTGGCCAAGGACGCCTTGTAGATCGGGTGGAAGATGAAGGCGTTGGGAGCTCCAGATGGGCGGGGCAGGTGGGTCAGTGGGAGAACTCCTCCTAACATTCCTCCTCCCCCTAAAATCTGTGTGTCTTGAGCTAGCATGATTACTTGTTAATACAGTGGTACCTTGGTTCTCAAGCGCCTTGGTACTCAAACAGCTTGGAACCCAAACACTGCAAACCCAGAAGTAAGTGTTCTGATTTGCAAACATTTTTCATAAGCCGAACGTGCTCCGTTTTGAGTGCCACACTCCCTTTTTGAGTGTTACGCTGAGATCTGTCTGTTTTTGCTCTTTATTTTGCGTTTTTGTTTCTGCAGCTTTTTTGTTTTGTTTTTGTGACTGTGTGAAACCCAGTTCAGCTACTGATTGACTGATTGCATGACTGCAGTACATTGTTTATTGCTTTCATTTTATGAATCAATGGTCTCGTTAGATAGCAAAATTCATGTTAAATTGCTGTTTTAGGGGTTGTTTTTAAATGTCTGGAACAGAATAATCCATTTTGCATTACTTTCTATGGGAAAGTGCGTCTTGGTTTTGGAACAGACTTCCAGAATAGATTAAGTCTGAGAACCAAGGTACTACTGTACTAATATTAGCATTAAGAACAAAAAGCTTCAAAGGCTTCCAATCAACACGCCATGCTGATTGTAAATAATGTGCTAACAGAAAAATGTAATATAACAAAGGGGACAAGACAGGGTTGTCCCTTGTCACCATTATTGTTTATACTAGTATTAGAGGTTTTGGCTAGCAGAATCAGATTGGATGTCAAGATTGAAGGGATAACAGTGGGACACAGGACATATAAACTTCACGCATTTGCTGATGATGTGGTGATATTGGTAGAGGAGCCTCTGGTCAGTGTTCCAAAGGCTCTGGAACAGATTCATAAATTTGGAGAGGTAGCAGGCTTTAAACTTAATCGGTGAAAAAAATAAATATGAGAAATGACTGGGTAACTTACCAAGAACTATTAAAAGAGGTAGATCAAGACTTAAAATTAAGGAGTTATGAAGAAGTAAGAGGACTAATAACCAATTGGTTGCAATATCACCAGCTTAATGAAGCATTTAAGTTGGATAAAAAGAAAGGTTTTTCACATAAAACCTCCCAATTTGAAAGAGTTGCTGGAAAATAAAAACTAAATGTATCAACTTTTATCGAATTGGTAAACAAAAGATGGACCAGTTCAAAGCAGTAGTGATACACTGAGCAAGGGATTTTGGTTATAATATTGAGTTAGCAGCGTGGGAGAAATTATTGATTACCGATCTGAAATTTACAGTATGTTATACTTTGAAAGAAAACTATATGAAAATGATGTCCCATTGGTACTTAATTAGCTAAAATGTATCAGTCAAATTCTAACGTGCTAGAAATGTAAAGAGAAAGAGTGCATCTTTTATCATATGTGGTAGTTATGTAAAAAAAGCTTGATGGGAAATGATATATAATGAGTTTTTTTTAATGGTGAAAATAATGTTTACTAAGCAACCAGAAGCTTTTCTTATAGGAATTTTAGGTGCAGAGATCCTGAAGGACCAGAAGAAATTGTTCATGTATGCAACCACAGTTGCCCGTACGTTGCTGGCCCAGGGATGGAAAGAAAATACGTTCCGACCAAGGAAGAGCGGCTGTTAAAATTAATGAACTGTGCTGGATTGGCAAAACTTACAGGAAGAATCAGGAGGCAGAAAGAATCCAATTTTAATAAAGAATGGGGGAAGTATATAATGTATTTGAAAAATTACTGTAAACAATTACATTCATTAGTAGGTTTGACAGAAAACTTGTAAAAATCTGAACCATGGATTGATTAAGGATTTACAATAATTGGAGTTGGTGATAAGATGTAGAATGAAAATGAAAATATAAGGATCCACAAGGGGGGGGAGTTAAATGGGATATGATGTCTGAATTTTGTTTCGTTTTTGTTGTTATGGTTTGTAAAATGGAAAATGCAAAAATAAAACGGAAAAGCTTCAAAGGCTTCCTATCTGGACCTTCCTGTCTTTCTTTGGTTACAGCTCAGTCGGAGAGCACGCAACTCTCAATCTCGGGGTCCTGGGTATGAGCCCCACGCTGGGGAGAAGATTCCTGCATTGCAGGGGGCTGGACTAGATGACCCTTGTGGTCCCTCCCAACTCTACAATGCCATGATCCGTTGAGTCTAGGAATCAGTGCTAGGCTGCTACGTTTGCTGCCTGTTGAGAAGAGGGTCCATGGAGCTTTTGATGAACAGATGCCTGGGGGAAAGGCTGTGGATTCGGGGGTGGGGGTGCAGAAACAGGGGGGTGCAGTCTTTGGAAAGGGGGAAGAGCAACCATAGTTGGAAAGGACCCCAAAGGTCATCTAGCCCAATGCCTGGCAATGCAGGAGGAGGGAGGTGCCATAAAGATGGAGGCAGAAAGACAAAGGTGGTTGGGAAGCCTTTCCCATAATGGAGAAAAACTGACCAGGCTGGGGGTCAGCTGGACACTGGTCAGAAGTCAACAGGTCATCCCCTCAGGGATGTCATAAGACAGTGATGGCCAAACTTGGCCCTCCAGCTGTTTTGGGAATACAACTCCCATCATCCCTAGCTAACAGGACCAGTGGTCAGGGATGGTGGGAATTGTAGTCCCCAAACAGCTGGAGGGCTGAGTTTGGCCATCACTGCCATAAGAGTCCTCTATATTCTGTGGGTGGGGGCCATCCAAAGTTAGCTATTGGGGGCAGAGTGGAGGGTTTCTGAGAGTGGGGGAGGTCACCCTATAATGGTCCATGACAGGGGTCAGCAAACTTTTTCAGCAGGGGGCCGGTCCACTGTCCCTCAGACCTTGTGGGGGGCTGGACTATATTTGGGGGGGAGGACAATGAATGAATTCCTATGCCCCACAAATAACCCAGAGATGCATTTTAAATGAAAGGATACATTCTACTCATGTAAAAACACGCTTATTCCCGGACTGTCTGCGGGCTGGATTGAGAAGGCAATTGGGCCGGATCTGGCCCCCCGGCCTTAGATTGCCTACCCATGGTCTATGATTAAGCCTTTCTGCTAATTTTTCTGCTCATTTCTTGGCAGGGGGTAATGTTATGAATCTCAGGATGCCAGAAACCCAGAAATCCTGGGACCAAGAGGTGCTAGAATTTAGTTAACATTTGGGGCATCAGAGTCATGAGTCTCTATGATAGAACCAAGTGAGACGTTCCCAAACCCTCTGAAATTAGCGTGATCAGGGCTGATTAAGGCAGGCTGGTGCTAATTAACATGGACTCATTTCCTTTGCGGTATTAAGCACCAGGTAAGGCTGCTGTGCACCCGGGGTTTCCTGGACATATCCGGGATTCATCTGATGCTATAGCATCCGAGGGGAAGTTCTGGCAAGCATGAAAATGTCCAGGATAACATGGCAACCCATTCCAGAAGTGCTGATTTTTCATTTTTTTAAAAAAGCTGAAAAACATCAAATTTCTTGGCAAAAAAAAAAAGTTCAACAACAGCAAAGACAACAAAGAAAGACAAACAGCTAAACAACTCTGATTTTCACTTTTTGAAATATGGCAGCCCTGGCACCAGGCCAAAACATTCCTCACATGCAGCCCTTTGGCCATTAAATAATCTTTGCAGTGTTAAAGGGGGGGGAGGGGTGGCAATTGTTATTAGGATTGTCTTTATTCTTATGCTGTCAATCACTATGCTTTGTTTTATGTTTTCATTGTCATGCCCTGTAAAATATGTTATTAATGTGACACACTGCTCTTTTGATAATGGGTGGTGCATAAGTCAAAGAAGTACCGGTAATAATAACAAAAATGCCCCTAGAGTTCATTGCTTCTTTGTTTATGAGCTTCCCCTTTATCTATTCCACACACATATTTTTTTACCTTTACCTTTATATTTTTTACCTTTACCTTTATATTTTTTTACCTTTACCTTTATTCCATGTATCCATCCTTTTATATGTGTTGCAGTTTCTCTTCAGTTCTCTTCATCTTCCACCTTTATACACACAGAGAAAGACGTGCTCAGCATCTGGCCCTTGTGGCCCCTTCCAGGCCGGCCCTGAGTTGGGGGGAGAAGGGGAGGCTCCGGAGACAGGGCTCGATGTGGGCAAAACCCCCAATTTAAAAATGTCCCTTCAAGTTAACTGAAATGAACACTGTTGCCAAGCAAAGGAGAGGGAGGGAGATGCCTGAGATTTGGCAGAAAAGGAGAAGCTGAGGTAAAAAGTGGAGGAGAGAGGAAGGAAGGAAGGAAGGAAGGAAGGAAGGAAGGAAGGAAGGAAAAAGAAAGAAAGAAAGAAAGAAAGAAAGAAAGAAAGAAAGAAAGAAAGAAAGAGAAAAGAGACGCCTGACATTTGGCAGGAAAGGAGAAGCTGAGGTTAGGAAGGCCCAACAGAGACTCCATTTCCTCAGGGTCTTGGGAAAGAACAATGTTAAAAGACCAATTGATGACCTCCTTCTACCAGTCCAGTGTGGTGCGTTGGCTTGAGAGCCACGGACGGAAAGTCTCTACCGAGGGTGGTGAAGACAGCACAGGATATGATGGGCTGCCCCTGAGCCGCTAGATGTTGCCTCAGTTCTCAGGCCAGCACCTCTTTCATCTTCCAGCCTCGGGCAGGAGATACAGAGGTATCATCAGTCGTACCAACAGGCGAAAAAAACAGTTTCTACCCATGGGCTGTTAGGCTGCTGAAGGGAAAAGAATACAGTGGTACCTCAGGTTAAGTACTTAATTCGTTCCGGAGGTCCGTTCTTAACCTGAAACTGTTCTTAACCTGAGTTACCACTTTAGCTAATAGGCCTTCTGCTGTTCTCATCCTGAAGCAAAGTTCTTAACCTGAAGCACTATTTCTGGGTTAGTGGAGTCTGTAACCTGAAGCGTCTGTAACCAGAGGTACCACTCTATAGTGCGACTGACTTTCAGGGTTGGTGTGTTGTGCGAAAAGCACAGAGTGCAGTGAGATTGAGTGTTTGGAGAGGGGAGGCTGGGTTAATTTCATTGTACACAGGTTGTACATTGACAATAAAGGTATTATTATTATTATTATTATTATTATTATTATTATTATTATTATTATTAAAAAGTGGAGGAAAGAAAGAAAGAAGGAGGGAGAGGGAGACGCCTGAGATTTGGTAGGAAAGGAGAGGCTGAGGTAAAAAGTGGAGGAGAGAGAGAGAGGAAGGAAGAAAGGGAGAGAGAGGGAGAGAGGCCTGAGATTTGGCGGGAAAGGAGAAGCTGAGGTAAAAAGTGGAGAAGCTGAGGAGAAAGAGAGCGGGAAATAGAACTATAAACGGGGCACATAAACAAGGGCGAAGGCTGAGGTGGGGGAGAAAGAAGAAGAGGGAGGAGGGAGCCCAGAGATGAGGAAAAGGGGCTGAAATGGCGGAGTCTGAGGGAAAGAGAAGCGCCCGAGGAAGAGAAGAAATGGCGGGGGGGGGGGGAGGCTAAAAGAAAGGGAAAAGAGAAAGAAATCCCCGGAGCGAGAGGGCGAGGGAGGTGGGAAGGGGAGGCAAAGCTCAGAGGCGTCTCTTGTCCTCGCGGAAAAAGGTGTCGGCCATGAAACAGGCATCTTGGCATCCCAGATTATTACTTCCTTTTAAATCCGAGGTGTCGCTTGATAGTTTTGCGCTTTCTCTCTGTAAGCAGTTCATACTCATTCGTTCGTTGCGTATTTGATTATATGTACTGCATACCCAATTAAATATATTCTTTGTGTACATTAGTCTTAGCTCTACTGCGGCCCACACTTCAATTTACTTCAGGTTAATCGGCAGCTTCTGTGTCCAGGGGCTCCTGTGGCCCCACATGGACTGCCCTGGGGTGGAGGGGGCCTTGGGTGCGATGCTTCCCCGTCCTCGCCCCTTTTGTGGGGCATCAGGGGCAACTGCCAGGAGAGGGTGCTGGCCCAGGTGGGCCACTGGCCTGTACAGGGAAGTTTTCACTCTTTGAGGTTTTATCGTGTTTTTAATATTTTGTTGGAAGCAACCCAGAGTGGCTGGGGGAACCCAGCCAGATGGGCAGGGTATAAATATTATTATTATTATTATTATTATTATTATTATTATTATTATTATCCAGCAGCCAGGCTCTCCCAAGGTTTTAGGTTTGGCTAAGATTCCTGTCCTCAAGGTTCTGCAGAGGGTTGGTTTCAGTAAAAAGAGGCCTTCTGCCAGACTGGGGCATGGGAGGGGGGCAACTACCCCACCCTCAGCCAAGTAGGTAAATAAAAGCACTTAACTAAAAGTAGAAATTGTAGAAAGATTTCGACATATTTTTCTGAGCACTTGGGGTCAAACGAAAGGAATTTAAAACAATGGTTGCTGTCACATTTCATTTTGAATCTGCTAGACAGAGCTAGAGAGAGGACTTCAGAGCATGGGAAGTCGTCCAAAGATAGATAATTCAGCATTGAATATTTGGCTTTTCCGATTGTATCATCATTTGCAGTGTTTTAATGTCTTTATTGGACTGTTAAAATGGAAAATATAATAAATATTATTTTTAAAAAAAACAGAGAGAGGATGGGGACAGGTCCTGCCCCCCCAAAACCATAAATCCTGGCTACTCCCATGGCTCCCTCCCCCCCCCAAATGAAGCAGCTCTGGGTGCTCAACACACATGTCTCCTGCTCTGCAGAGGGAGAGCTGAGTGTGCGTGGCTTTGCCAGGGTTAAAAGGAGCTCAGCTGGATTCCTAGAGAGGAAAGGCAATGAAGGTGGGGGGGGGCAGTCCTCCAGATCGGAAGCCCCGCCTCCCTGCCACTGACGTCCCTTCCTGCAGGAGAGGGGGAGGGGGAGTTGCTGTCTTTCTGCTTTGCAGCTCCTGCAACCTGGTGAGTCTCCCTTGTCTTCCGCCATGGGGTGCATTGGGGAGAAGCGGGGGGGGATGCATCAGGGGGTCCTGTTCAGCTCATGCAGGTGGGGAGCCCCCAACCAGCCCCCTCCACACCCCAAGACACAACCACCCAACTGGCCCTGCAATGCAGCTGCTTTGAAACAGGAATTGATGGTGTTCTCAAGGGCTGCTGTGGGGATTAAAGGACAGCAGGGAGACCCCTCAGATGCCCCCTTGAGCCCCTGGGAGAGAAGGGGGGGTGGAAATGCAATGAATGAGGAGAGGGAGCCCAGCCCATCATCTGGCTGTGGGATTTGGGAGCTGATTCTGATTCATCGTCAAGGTCAGCTCCACATACGTAGCAGGCATTGCAATAATCCCGGAGCATGGAGTGCCCTGTCCACGTCCTCTCCATCCCAAAGGGACTGGGGCTAGCAGCCTAGGCGAGATGGAAATGGGGTGGTAGAGAAGGGGCAGTATCTGTGGTGGGGAAATGACGGGCTCCTTCTGGCTAGTTCCGCCACCTTTGTTCTCACATGTGGTTCCTAAAAGCTGTCAGCATTTGACAGTGGCCACACCCCGAGAATGGCTTTCTCTAGCCAGCTACACCAGGTGATGATAGCCCTAGGTGAGTTCTGTTGCATGTGAAGACTGCCTCTAGTGGACTGAGTGAATGAGACCCATCCGTGGCTTCAACAGTTAAGAAGGCAATTTCTTCAGATACTGTAGAGGGAGACGTGCAGCAGATTGGGCTCATCCATTGGGCAAGGTAGCCTGTCAAAGGAAAACTCTGAATCCAAACCTCTGCTGCCTTGAGGGACATTTTCTGGAGAGTAAAAGGCTAAGGAGTAAACCCTACAAAAATCTGGAGTGGATCTGGCCCTCAGAAGAAAGAAAAAGGGACCTCACCCCCGTAATCTGCCTTGAGAACATTGGAGCTTCCAAGTGCTAGAAAACGGGACAGAAGCGGGAATGTAATGTGGGAAGGAGAGCAAGCCCTGAGGATCACTCCAGCCTAGCATCCATATTAAACTTGGTACAAATGACTCACTTATATTCCCTGTTCTGAATTCATTCCTTGACTGAAAGGCAGGAGCCACCAGGCTGATTCATGTCACAGAAACCCCTTCAGTTGCCTCCACTTTTGGCCTGGGCACTTTCCTTCTAAGAGGGCAAGAGGCTTACTTCTCTTTTTTTTTCTTAGAGAAAGCTCTGTGGTGCCAGTGGTGTAGCGTGGGTTGTCAGCACCCGGGGCAAGGCAAGTAATTTGCGCCCCCTAACCCGTGGATTTGCGCCCCCTAACCCGTGGATTTGCACCCCCTAATCCGTGGATTTGCCCTAACCCCAGATGTTGCGCCCGGTGCGGCCGGCCCCCCCTGCACCCCCCACGCTATGCCACTGTGTGGTGCAGTCCAATCCTGGTTCCTACCAAAACTCATATACGTTTACTCAGAAAACCTTTTTCTTCTCCTGATAGTGTGTCAGATTTATGGGGGGGAGAATGCATTTGCTTTAGGATTTCCTAGTACCTCTTTTCAGACACACAGAACATGGCAGAAGAAGCAAAAGGGGATCCCTCCCAATCTCTTGGAGGCTTCCTGAGAGCACAGATGGATGAGCAAGGCTCAGCTGACCCTGAAGCAGGAAGAGGCCCGGAAACGGGGAGCAGTGGGGGATTCTGGGAATACCCTGAGCATAAGATCCTGGGAGAGGAGGACCCCCTTCGCTCAGAGGCGCAGAGCCAGCAGTTCAGGTGGTTCTGCTACCAGGAGACTGAAGGACCACGAGAGGTTTGCAGCTGGTTCTGCTGCCTTGACCATCAGTGGCTGAAGCCAGAAAGGCACACGAAAGCTGAGATGCTGGACCTGGTGATCTTGGAGCAGTTCCTGGCTGTCCTTCCAGCGGAGATGGAGAGCTGGGTGAGGGAATGCGGAGCAGAGACCAGTTCCCAGGCAGTGGCCCTGGCCGAAGGTTTCCTCCTGAGTCAGGCGGAGGAGAGGAAGCAGGTGAGAGAGACTTTCCTCCGGATGCTCCCAAGGGGCTCAATAGATAAGGGACAGTATCCCAAATGCTCTACTAATGGCCCCTCTTTTTTGGAAAGCATCCAGATAATGATATGGGCTACCTCTAAAGTTTTTGCCTCTGTCATTCCTTTTCTATGACTCTAACACTTCTCCCCATTCTCTGTTTGGAATCATTTTTGTTCTTTAAGGGGAAGAATCTGCTTTCAGGAATGGGCCCAGATTACCCTGAGGAAGAAAGGACTCCGCTCAACGCAAGAGAGAGGCCATTGGGTAAGGAGGAAGGAGTCCTTTGTCCGTTTGGTCCCCTTGTGTTGGTTTTCAAATTAATCCATGGTTTCTTTTCATCTTTTTGTGGAAGATATTTGGGACCAAGAGCCCAAGGAGGGGAGATGTCTTTTTGCACTAGTAAAATAATCATTTGGTTAAAATGCCAAAATGCACCCAGCATGTGATGCTTATTATAGGTCCATCTGTAGATTCATTTCAATCAGGGTTTAGTCCTGGTTTAGGCATAGAAAATGATTTGGTTGCCCTGTGTGATGACCTTTGCCGAGAGGCAGACAGGGGAAATATGCCCCCATTAATTCTCTTTGACCTCTCTGCAGCTTTCGATACCATCGACCAAGAGCCCCAAGGAGGGAAGATGGACTTTTCCATTATTAAAATACGCATTAGCTACAAATGACAAAATGCACTCGGCTCGTGAGGTAATGGCCTGGATGAGAGCCAACAAACTGAAGCTCAGTCCAGATAAGACTAAGGCACTGTGGGGGGGGTCCTCAGACTGGCTTGGGGTTGCCTGCTCTTTATGGGGTAACATTCCCTCTGAAGAAGCAGGTGTGTAGTTTGGGAATACTTCTGGATCCGCTGCCGTCCCTTGAGGCTCCGGTGGCCTCTGTGTCTTGGAGCATCAGCTTCGGCTGGTGGCCTGGCTGTGTCTCTATCTGGATAGGGACAGCCTAACTTACTTTGTCTAACCTGTAGTGTAGATTACTGCCACACATTCTACGTAGGGCTGCCTCTGAAATCGGTTTGGAAGCTTCAGCTGCTGCAGCATCCGGCACCCAGCTCGCTCACTGGGACAAGACTGATTGGGCATAAGAACTGATCCTGGCCTGACGGCACTAACTCCAAATTAGCTTCTGGGCCCAATCCAAAGTGCTGGTGCTGACTTAAAATGCCTTAAATGGCTCTTGACTTCAATATTTCAAGGACCACTTTTCCCCATATAAGCCACCCCAGACCTGAGATCATCATCTGAGCCATTCTTCATGTGCTCCCGCCATGTGAGGTCTGGAGCACGGCAACACAAGAACGGGCCTTTTCTGTACTGGTTCCCCATTTTATGGAATGCACTTCCCAGAGAGGTTTGCCTGGTACCTTCATGATACATATTTAGGCATTAGGCGAAAACGTTCCTCTTCAACCAGGCCTTGGGCTGATTAATATGCTACGTAGAGCCTTTTAATTTGTGACTGCAGGAAGAGGGGCTATTGCTTCACTCTTTGGTTTTACAGTGGTACCTCAGGTTAAGACGCTTCAGGTTACAGACTCCGCTAACCCAGAAATAGTACCTCGGGTTAAGAACTTCGCTTCAGGATGAGAACGGAAATCACATGGCGGCAGCAGGAAGCCCCATTAGCTGACGTGGTACCTCAGGTTAAGAACAGTTTCATGTTAAGAATGGACCTCCAGAAGGAATTCAGTTCTTAACGTGAGGTACCACTGTAATTTTTATTGTATTTTTATCTTGTGTTTTATTCTGTGAACTGCCCTAAGACCTTATGATGAAGGGCGGAATATAAATTTAATAAATAAATAATAATAAGTCTGGTGCTGGAGAAGCAGCGCTTCGTCTCTGAGAGAGGCAGGCACTCCTGTCTCCCCGCTTACCTTTGTCTCTTGCAGGTGACAGAATGATGCCAGCAAAACCTCCCAATCCATCTTTTCTTGGTGGCGGAGGGGAAACAGCGGCTGTGGAAGCAGATCAGGTAGGGGGAAGGAGCCTTGTGGGGAAGGAGGCTGAGGGGTGGGGCAGCCAGGGCATCTCTGGGCGCAAATGAATCTCTCTCCTGTTCCTCTTTGCTTCTGTCAAAGCTGCCCTTAATGAACACTGAAAATGCCATTGGAGAAGGCTTCTCTGCTGAGAGTAATGAACAGCCGCCTCACCTTAACTCTCCTCCTGAATGTCGCTAGCGTTAATTATCAGTTGTTGCAGTTCTGTTTCTATGGTTATTGGTCAATGCTAAAATAGGCTTTAAATCAGCTAAGAAACTTTAAAAACTAGTGGTGTGAATTCGCCTGCCCAGCCCCTCCAGTTGAGGGCTCCCCCCTCTTCTCCACCTCCCCAAGCCCCCGTGCAACAGAACAAGGTGTGATAGATAATCTTTATGCTTTCTGAAAGGAAGACCTTTTCTTTCAGAGCCTAGTATGCTTTGAGGATATAGCTGTGCATTTCACGGAGGAGGAGTGGGCATTGCTGGATCCTGACCAGAGAGCTCTGCATCAGGAAGTCATGGAGGAGAATCGTGCAATCATGGCCTCTCTCGGTAAAGCTCCCTGTTGGATCATAATATCTGTTTGAAATTCTTTACATTAATCTGTGTGCCGAATCTCCCAGATTCTGATGGAGCTTAACAGCGCCACCTACAGCATCTGGGATTCTAACAGCCCCACAGCTCACATTGAATCAGGTGCTGTGCCTTGCGCCTGCGATTGCACTTTGCGGGGCATGCTGATGTGTCATATGGGGCCACCGCAGAACTTTGGAGGGGCTCAGACCCTTCATTGAAAATTGGGGGGAAGCCTTGACCACCATGGCCCCACATAGATGGCACACCTGCCTTGAGTGGAGGGCTATCTACTGTTTTGTCTGCAGACATTTTTCTCTGGTTATACCTTTTTAAACTATGATCAGGTTGTCAGCATTTTTCCTCTTGATTCTGTTGCAATTTCATTGAGCAGAAAGAGGACTGGCATTTGAGGTGGATTCTGTGATTGGGCCAAACAAAATCACAGGTTCTCATAAATATGTTTGTGAACACTAGTCAACAAAGGCAGTGTACACTGTAGGAAGACACTTAACTCCCTTCCATTCTTCCACTATCAATGTTACTATCAGTGTTAATTAGAATTGTTCAATCATTTGGGTCTCCCATTTCTTCCTGAGGCTCTAATCCAATTCTCTCTCCATTGTAGGAGATGAATTTGAAATGAAGAACGAGGGAGACCATGACAATATCCACATACTGGAGAAGTCCAGAGAGGACCTGAGCCAGAGCTCCCATTCCACTTTCCATCCAAGGAATTCCATTGGGAAGAAAGCCTATCAGAGCTTGAAATGTGGAACAAGTTTCAGTAAGAAGGCTCATTTCACTTACCATCAAATAATTCATACAGGGGCGAAACCCTATCAGTGCTTGGAATGCGGGAAGAGCTTCAATCGTAAAGATCATCTCACTTCCCATCAAAGAATTCATAAAAGGGAGAAACCACACCATTGCTGGGAATGTGGAAAGAGCTTCAGTCATAGCTCCGATCTCACTTCCCATCAAAGAATTCACAAAGGCGAGAAACCCTACCAGTGCTTGGAATGCGGAAAGAGTTTCAGTCGGAAAGATTACCTCACTTCCCATCAAAGAATTCACACAGGCGAGAAACCCTATCAGTGCTTGGAATGTGGAAAGAGCTTCATTTACAGGGCAAGTCTCATTCACCATCAAAGAACTCATAGTGGGGAGAAGCTATATCAGTGCTTGGAATGTGGAAAGAGCTTCATTCACAGGACAAGTCTCACTCCCCATAAAAGAATTCATACAGGGGAGAAGCCATATCAGTGTTTGGAATGTGGAAAGAGTTTCAGCTACAGAGTCAGTCTCACTTCACATCAAAGAACTCATAGTGGGGAGAAACCATATAATTGCTTGGTGTGCGGGAAGACCTTCCGTGACAGCTGCCATCTCACGTCCCATCATAGAATTCATACAGGGGAGAAACCATATCAGTGCCTGGAATGTGGAAAGAGCTTCAGGCAGAGGTCCAGTCTCATTTCCCATCAAAGAACTCATAGTTGGGAGAAACCATATCAATGCTTGAAATGAGGAAAGGGCTTCAGTCCGAACTCCCCGAACTCCCTTTCAAAGAGCTAGCTGGAAGAATTGTAGAATCTAGTCCAGCCACTTGCATTGCAAAAATCTCAACTGAAACCCATGACACATGACCACCTGCTTCAGATCTTCCAAGGAAGGAGAGTCCACTACCTTTCTAGGCAGTCCTTTCCACAGCTGAACTGTTCCTACCATTAGAAAGTTCTTCCAGATGCTCAATTGGAATCAACTTTCTTCTAACTTGAAGCTTGCTCCATCCTCCATGTGAAGATACTTGAAGATCACTATCCTATCTCCTCTAAGTCAAAGATTGTGCAGTCTAAACATCCCCAACTCCCCCCACTGCTGCTCCTAAGTCTTAGTTTCCAGACCTTTGATCATCTTGGTCACCTCCTCTGCTCACATTCCACCTTGTCAACATCCTTCTCGATTGATGGTGCCCAGAACTAGACACAAGACTCCAGGTGAGGTCTGGCCAAGGCAGAATCATGTGGGACTATTACTTACACTTATTTGGACGCTATACTTTTGTTGATGCAGCCTAGCTAGCAGCAACGATCTCTTTTTTTTTTTTTTTGCTGCTGCTGCTGCTGCTGCTGCATCACACTGTGGACTCATGTTAAGCTTGTGTTCACGAGACCCCTAAATCCTTTTCACATGTACTGCTAGTAAGCCAGGTGTCCCCACCCTACATTGGTGCATCTGGTTCATCCCGCCTAAGTGCAAAAGTTCACATCTGCCCCTATTGAAATTCATTTCTCCCTTCTGAAATTCCTTTGCCCGTTTGAGAATCATTTGCCTCTATTCTTAGCCACATTATAGGAACCAGAAGGCGCTTGGGGGCTCTTGCAAAACTGATTCGAAGCCTTGGAAGACGCAGCACGTGCAGGGATCATGGCCTCCCCCCCAAATGGCAGCCGTGCTGCTTTTGAAGCACAGAGGGAGGTGACCCCCAGATCTCTCAAAGGCGCCACCCTTTCTGCAGGCCCCTCACCCAGAGGGTAGTTGTGCCAGAGAAGAAACGGAAGCCCCTTTGCCCATTCCTCTTTATTATTTTGCCCGCCTTGCCCTCTCCCTTCTGTGCTCCACACCCCTGTCACTTGCGCCGCCGCCCTGCCGCCCGGATCTGCCTCTTCTCCTTGCGCCTGCTCCGGGCTGCCTCGGGGGGGTCAGCGTTCCCGCTGGGTGGCAGGGCCTGGGGCAGAGGGGCGGGGGTCTGCCGGTGGTTGCTGGCTGAGGAGGCCTTGTAGATCAGGTGGAAGATGAAGGCGTTGGAGTACCTGGCGGCAAGAGGCGGAGGAGGGGTGAATGGGAGAGCAGGGCCCTCTCGGTGGTGGCCACACATTTCTGGAATTTTGAGGCAGGACTTGCACCACTTTGGGAGAGGATTAGGCAATTTCATGGACTGGAGGAAGTGGCTATCAACCATTATGAGCCACACTGGTCTCCTCTGCCAGAGGTTATCATAGAATTTATCACCGAGTTGGAAGGGACTGTGAAGATCACCCAGTCCAACCCCCTCCAATGCAGGAATATGCAGCTGTCCCTTGCGGGAATTGAACCGGCAACCCCTGGCATTATCAGCCCTACGCTCTTAAAGGATGAGCTATCCAGTTTTGTTGGGAACTGTTAGGAAAGCAAAGAGCTGTTGCGCTCAAATCCCGCTTGTGGGCTTCTTCCCTTTGGGGCGCCTTCTTGGCTGCTATGGGGACAGAATGCTGGCCGGGGGGGGCGGTCCCCTGGGGCCTGAGGCAACAGTCCTCCTGGAACCTCCAGGCACAGAGGTAGTCTATCCGGATTCCTCAGTTCCTGAGGGTATTTGGCCACTGCGAGGACAGGCTGGTCTGGTCCAGGGGGGCCCCCTTGGGCCTGATCCTGACCTTCTTCCTCCCCCTTGAAATCTGTGTGTCTTGAGCCAGCATGGTTACTTGTTAATACTAATATGAATTAGCACTAAGCATAAAAAAGCTTCAGAGGCTTCCTTATCGGGAACTGCGTGTCTTTCTTGGGTTACAGCTCAGTCAGAAGCCAGGCGACTCTCAATCTCAGGGTCAGGGGTTTGGGCCCCACGTTGGGAAAAGATTCCTCCATTGCAGGGGGCTGGACTAGATGACCCTCCCGGCCCCTTCCAACTCTATGGTTCCAGGATTCTGTGAGTCTAGGAATCCCTGCTGTTCATTTCAAAAGGTGCTGTTGGACGGGGGATTTCTAGTCTGCTACCCTAGAGGGTCCGGGGAACTTTCGATGAATGGATGGATGTCAGCAAAGGGTGCAAATTTAGGGGAGTTGCAGAACCAGAGAGTGCAGTTCCTGGAAAGGAGGAGGAAGAACCATAGTTGGAAGGGTCCCCCAAGGGTCATCTAGCCCAACCCCCAGCATTGCTGGAGGTGGGGGGGGGAGTGCCATAAAGATGGAGCCAGAAAGACAAAGGTGGTTGGGAAGCCTTTCCCATGATGGACAAAACTGACCAGGCCAGGAGTCAGCAGGACATTGGTCAGAGGTTAAGAGGTCGCCCCTTTCAATCGCTTTATGGACTGGGGTCAGGGGCATCCAAAATTACCTTCTGGGGCAGGGGGGGGTCAGAAGTGACAGGCTTTGCCAGAACCGCAACTGGGGTACCCACCAGGGCATGGCGTTGTCGATTCCGGCCTGGCGGAAAGGCGAGCGGAAAGGGTTGATCTGGGCAGGGCTGGTGCTGCCCCCCGTCGCCATGGAGACGGCAGCCTCATCCACGGCACAGCTGTACTCGCTGCATTCGGTGAAGTAGGCCGGCACCCGAAGGGACTGCAAGGCGGAAAGAGGGAGGAAGAGAGAAGTGAGGGGACCAGGACCTGGCAGCTCCATCGCTCAAGAGGGGGGGGGTCTCCCTTGCCTATATAATGGTCTACACTTACTGCATTGATGTCCCTGCTGCATTTACAGCCTGGCTCTCCCTTCAAGGGGCTGAGGGTGGCTGGTTCTCCTGCCCTGTGAGGTCGGCTAGGCTAGCAGGTGGCGCCTCAAGGTCACACCCAGGGAGCTTCATGGGGGGATTTGAACACTGGTTTCTGCCAGCAGTCTAACCAGTACACCCTACTGCCCCTGCCATGGCTTCTGCTGCCCCAGGAGATATTTTGTACAAAGCTGTTATGTCCCAGAAACCATGAATTTTCTGTGCTGAGACCAGGAGCTCTCAAACATCAGTTTTGAAAAGGAAATGGGTGTTTTTGTACGTGTGCCTTCCGTTTCCCAAATAACTCTGCAGTTCTGCTGATAAACAGCCAGAGCTGACCATTTACTTCTCTTTTCTCTGAATCTTCTAAATTCAACTGCATTCCTAATTTGGAATTCTGCGAGATTTTCAATGCCTACATTTCTAGAATCAAAATTCAGCCTGGAAGACAAATGCCTGTGAATTGCCACCAACCCTGGGGCAATTATTTCACCAGCTCTGAGGCGGTTACTTGGTGTCAGTTGGTCACAGCATCATAGCAAAGGCCTGATGACATCACAACTGGAGAATTGGGCTCAGGAGACGGGAGACGCCGTCACTTCAGAAGCAGAGCAAAGGCATGTCTGACGTCACAACGCTGTACGCTGGGCCAAAGTACTGTATCCAGCAGCCGTGATGTCAAGAGATGATGTCACAGTGATGTCATTCCACAGGATGGAGGGAGGAGTTTTGAGGGGGAGACCCCTTTTCTAAGTACTGCGTGATGAGTGGGCTTGGCTTACCTGAAGTCGCGGCAGAGAACTCCGCCAAGTCTCCTTGAGGGCAAATCCAGAGTTGAACCCTGGACAAAAGGGGTGTGTTAACATGGGGAACTCTCCGCATCAGATAGAGACAGCCTCCTCACCCCATTCTTCAGCTGGATTCTTTCTTACCCCCCCCCCGCCATTGCTTCATTCTCTGGCCAAGCGGCCCAGCCCATCCCTGCACCCCCTCCCCAATTTCCCGTCCTCTCCTGGCCCCTTCCCCCTTTACTCTCACCAATGACCAGATCCGGCTTGGGCGCCTGCAGGAGGTGGTAGGGGCGGGCGCTGAACCCAAACTGCAGTTCACGCCGCCCCCCCTTGCATCTGGGGGCCAGGCCAGGCCGGACAGAGACGCCTTGCTCCTCCTGGAAGGGGGGGAGAGAAGGAGGGGATTCACAAAGTGCTTCTGTCAGATGGAGGGAGCCCCTAATTCAGTGCAGAGTTAGCCATGGGAACCACAGGAGGCAGCGGTGGCCACCAACTGGGATGGTTTTCATTAGGAAAAGGGATGCTAACAACAACCAGGAGGAGAAGCTTCCTGCCCTCTCTGGTGACATGGGAATCTGTGGACACCCAAAGAAGCTGCATGTTGGAAGATTTAGAGAAGATTAAAGAAAGACCTTATTTATTGGAGCTTTTGATACGGGATGGCAAATATGACACCTAGTTACTTTAAATGAATTCTAATCTCCAGGGCCTGAAGAGCTGCATTTAAGGGTAATAAAGGAGCTTGAGGGTGTAATTTCAGAGCCTTTGTCTATGATCTTTGAGAATTCTTGGAGAACAGGTGAGGTTCCTACAGACTGGAGGTGGGCAAATGTTGCCCCCATCGTTAGAACCTAAGACCAAGGTACTTTCAAAAATGTATAACTTGCTGTTAAAATGGAATACACAGGATGAAACGGTTAAGTCAGCTATGATAAAATGGGCACAGGACATTGGGTACAATATTATGTTTGCTGACTGGGAAAGGTTATGGACCACCGGTGTGAGGTTCACGGCATGTAATGCCCTAAAAGAAAATATTATGAAAATGATATATAGGTGGTACATGACCCCAGTCAAGCTTGCAAAAATATATCACCTGCCTGATAATAAATGTTGGAAATGTAAAGAAACTGAAGGAACGTTCTTTCACCTCTGGTGGACCTGCCCTAGGGTTAAGGCTTTCTGGGAAATGATATATAACGAGTTGAAAAAGGTATTTAAATATACCTTTCCTAAGAAACCAGAGGCCTTCCTTTTGGGCATTGTTGACCAGAGGGTGTTAAAGAAGGACCGAACATTTTTTATGTATGCAACAACTGCAGCAAGGATACTCATCGCTAAACACTGGAAGACCCAAGATCTACCCACGCTGGAAGAATGGCAGATGCAGCTGATAGACTATATGGAACTGGCAGAAATGACTGGCAGAATCCGAGACCTGGGAGAAGAAGCAGTGGAAGAGGATTGGAATAAATTTAAGGACTACTTACAAAAATACTGTAAAGTGTACGAATGCTAGGAAGGATGCAAGATTGAAAATAACAGGGCACCAGCAAACTAGCTGAAAGGAATATGAGAATAGGTGAGACTAGAGAAGAAGATAAATTTTGGAGTAATGTAACGTCCAAATTAAGTATTTAAGTTTTTGATAAAAGTATTCAAAATTAGAGATAGAATATTGGAAGAATATAAAATAAGAACTGAAACAAGGTGATAATTTGCTGTTTAAAATTTTACAAACCAGGAACGCAGGAACGAGAGATGTGAGGAAGTGCAAAAAGTAAAGAAAATATGGTTATGTTCTTTGTATTATGTGTTAACTTTTTCTTTTTTATGTCTTTTTTTGTTTATTGTTGTCAGGGGCTCAGGAGCAGAGGCACAGGGGAGAGAGGGGATGGAGAGCGAAGGGGAAGAATCTGAGGGCAGCGTAGGGGAGTATGAAACTGGCCCGAGAGATTCCATGAGTCTCTCCAGCGAATCAGAAGATTCCCAGAGGGGGGCGCCGATGGCCAGGGCAAGGGGGGTCCCAGGGGGGACACACCAGAAGCAAGGGGCCAGCGGGGACTCCCAAAGCAGCAGCGGGAGAGCAGGACCAGCTCCTCCACCAGAGCGTAGTGAGGGGGAGGAGTCACATGTATCAGGACCAGCTTCTCCTCCAGCAGGGAGAGAGGATGAGTCAGAGGTGGCCACGCCTCCATCGCAGAGTGAGGGAACGGAGGGAGAGTCAGGTGCAGCTAGCCTCCCCGAAGGGGGAAGCAGTGACAGGAGCAGTGTAACGGTCAGGAGGAAGGTGGCCGGCTGGGCGCGCACGCCAAGTTCGAATGTACAGGCGCGCGGCACAGCAGGAAACCCGGATGGGGAACCAGGTCCTAAAGCCCGCCGGAGGGAGGGGGAGGACTCAGGAGACTCAGCGTCAGAAGAGTCTAGGAGAGGCGAGACCCCAGCGGACAGGCGGGCCCAGAGGAGAAGAGAGCAGAGGAAGAGGTGGAGCAAGGCTAGAGTCTTAAACTGGTGTCTGGGGGGAGGAGACTCAGACGGAGCTTCGGCGGTCTAGAGTTTGAGACGTAGAGCTGCGCGCTGCAGCTGTGAAAGCAAAACTGAGCTTCAATAAAGACTGTTTTATATTACAACGAACTGGCGTTGGTCCTTTGTGAGCTGGGACCTAGGGCAGCTCTGACAGTAAGCTCCGTCTCCCTTTTTAACCCTCGCAGCGTGAGTTGGCGCAGCGAGGGGCAAAACTTGGTGTTTTGCGAGCTCACGAAGATCGGCAAAGATGACTACAGAAGACAAAGTGAAAGAGCTGCAAGCAGCAGTCACGACGCTTTACGCAGAGGTAGCAGCATCCAAACAGAGGGAGGAAGAAGCAGTAGCGCTCTGCCGGGATCTGCAAACCAGGTGGGAACGTTTGGGCAAAGAGGGGCAGCCAGGACCCAAGCCGGAGGGGGTTGGCCTCGGGAAGAGGGGTGGCAGCATCGTAGCCCACTTCGACGGGAACCTGCAGCAGTATCCTAACTTCAGAGCAGACATAGTTTTCGCGCTCAATTTGCTTCGGAAAGACTTTAGAGATGAGGAGGAGAAAGTAGGCTTCATAATAACTCATCTGCATGGGGAAGCGAAATCGTGGCTGCGCAATTTATGGCGCGAAAATGATCCCACCCTCAAAGATTCAAACGCCTTTATCAAGGCTATGGACGATTGTTTTAAATCAACAGGAGATGTGGATGTGGCCAGGAGGGAAATGCATGGGCTGAAGCAGGGCAAAGCCACTGTGAGACAATATCACTCCCGCTTTTTTGCGTTAGTAAATGTGCTGGGCTGGGAGAAGGACTCCGTTGTCGTCAGGGATCTGTTCTGGGAGGGGCTAAATGGACCAGTGAAAGATGAGCTGGCGAGGGGGGAGAGACCTAACAGCACCACAGAAGTCGTGCAGAAAGCGCTGGCGATAGGCGTGCGCCTGGAAGAACGCCCTTGGAGCAGGAATGAGGGAAGTATGGGGCGCACACCAGCCAGAACAACTCCCTTCCTACCCAGAGAGACAGGGCGCGCGCAATCCACGCCTCCACTGGGGAGGGGAGAAGAGCCGATGGAGATAGGTGGTGCCAGGGCTCAGACAGCGACCAGAGCCCAAACACCAGGAGCAGTCAAGGCGAAGGCTCCTAGAGGGAACAGGAAGTGCTATATCTGCGACAGTCCACAGCACATGGCCAAAGAGTGTCCCCAGAGGATCCAGAGGCACACTGCAGCCTCAGCAACAGTAAGGGGAGCAGTTCAGCAGGGGGAACAGCTGCAGGGAAACGACGAAGCCTGGTTGGAGGCAGAGGCACTGGGGCCCAGCCAGGCGAGTCAGTGAAGCAGTCCCCAGAGATTTTACAGCCCACAGACCCCCTCCCACCCAAACCAGTGGTGCAACTCACCGCATCGCTCCAGCTGCCCAATGGACTCACCCTGGAAGTTCCTATTACCATTGACTCTGGCAGTAATGCAGACTTTGTAGGAGTGGACTTCATCAGGCAACATTGCATAGCGCTCCTACCAGCCACGATGCCCCTAAACGTAGTCACGGTCGATGGCAGAGAGCTACTGGGAGGACAGGTGGTACAGCAAACACCCCCTATGGTACTGCAAATTGGAAATCACCGCGAAGTCATCAGCTTCAACGTCACCCACCTGTCGGACACGCCCATAGTGTTGGGCATGAGTTGGCTGGATAGGCACAGCCCAGCTTTAGCATGGTACCAGCGTCAATTGACCTTCTGCTCCTCCTACTGCGCGGAACACTGCATCCGGACCAGCCAGGAAGAGGAGGGGCAAGGGGATGAACCACAGCTACATCTGGGCATGGTGCAAGCGGTACCTAACAAGTACAAGGCGTTTTTGGAGGTCTTCTGCGAAAAGGAAGCGGACAAGCTGCCTCCCCACAGGCCCTACGACTGCAAGATTGACCTCCTGCCGGGGGCGACGCTGCCAACTGGAAAACTGTATTCCATGTCTGAAGACGAACTGCAAGAACTCAGGGAGTTCATAGAGCACAACTTGAAGCGGGGATTCATCCAAGAATCCAAAGCAGTGGGGGGCAGTCCCGTGTTTTTCATGAAGAAGAAAGACACGCCCCAACGCAGGTTGGTAGTTGATTACCGGATCATAAATTCCAGGACAAAGCCCACAGCATTCCCCATGCCCAAGATCGACGACCTGCTCGCGACGGTGAGGAAGGGACGAAGCTTCACCAAGTTGGATTTACAAGGAGCGTACAACCTTATACGCATGCGGGAGGGCGATGAGTGGAAGACGGCCATGTTTACGCCGCTAGGCACCTATGAATATCAAGTTATGCCGTTCGGTCTCCAAAATGGCTCCCATTGTTTCCAAGCATTTATGCACCACGTGTTAGCGGGACTCCTCTACAAGAAGTGCGTCTGCTTCCTAGACGACATCCTGATCTTCTCGGAATCACAGGAGGCTCACGAGGGAGACGTCAAGGAGGTCCTGCAGAGACTACGGGAGCACAGACTTTACGCCAAACTGGAGAAGTGCCAGTTCGACATGACGGAGGTGGATTTCCTGGGCTACAAGCTATCCGACAAGGGACTCGCCATGGACAGCGCCAAGGTCCGCTCGGTGTTGGACTGGAAGAGCCCGCGCAATCGGAAGGAAGTCCAGAAGTTCGTCGGATTCGCCAACTTCTATCGCAAGTTCATCAAGGGATTCGCGATGGAGACGGCGGCCATCACGGACACCCTCAGCTCCAAAAAGAAGAAGTTGACCTGGACGGACCAGGCAGAGCAGTCCTTTCGGAGACTCAAGCGCCTCTTCGCGTCCGAAGAACAGCTGCTGCACGTAAACCCCAGCAAACCAATGAGGGTCGAAACGGACGCCTCAGACAGAGCGGTGGGGGCGGTCCTGTTGCAGCAAGATCCGCAAGGGAACTGGAGGCCGTGCGCATTCTACTCCAGGAAACTCAGCAAGTCGGAACAGAACTACACCATCTGGGACAGGGAGTTGCTGGCCATTCATGCAGCCTTCAAGGCGTGGCGGCACTTCCTCATTGGAGCCAGACACACAGTGCAGGTCCGCACGGACCATAAGAACCTGGAGTACTGGCGCACGGCGAGGTTCCTGAACCAGAGACACATCCGCTGGGCGGAGTTCTTCGCGGATTTCGACTTCCGGATAGAATACATCCCGGGAGACAACAACGTCATGGCGGATGCACTGTCCAGGAAGCCGCAGTACCTCGAGGAAGCGGCACCGGTGGCGGCCAAACACATTTTCGCACCGAAAGCGTGGGCGTGCGCTTCAGCCACCGTGGACCTGGACGCGGTACGTCGCGCGCTGCAGACGGATTCGTTCGCACAATCCAAGATGGAGGAGGTGCGAAGAGGCGCAGCGAAGGACGGCGAGTTCCAGATACGCGACGGACTGCTCATCCGCAAGGGGGCCCTCTACGTGCCGGGAGACGACCTCCGCGCGAAAGTACTGCAGCAGTTACACGACGCGCCCAGCGCTGGGCACTTCGGGAAGGACAAAACAGCGGAATTAGTAGCCAGAGACTTTTGGTGGCCCAAGATGAGGGGTGAAGTTGAGGATTACGTCACTAGGTGTGACACCTGCCAAAGGGCCAAACCAGTACACAGGCCGCCGGCGGGACTGCTGGAACCGCTACAGACGCCGCTCGCGCCGTGGGAGAAAGTGGCCCTGGACTTTGTCACAGATCTGCCCAGTTCGTGAGGCAAAACAGCGGTACTCGTGGTCGTAGACCTGTTCACCAAGATGGCGCACTTCATTCCTTGCGCGAAGGTGGCCACAGCGGAACAGACCGCCAAGCTGTTCATAGACCACGTGTTCAAGGTTCACGGCTTGCCGCGGTCCATCCTGTCCGACCGGGGTCGCCAATTCATCTCGAGCTTCTGGCACAAGCTGCTGGGCATCCTCCTGAACGTCAAGATCAACTTAGCGTCGGCACGACACCCGCAGACCAACGGACAAGCGGAGAGGGTCAACGCCATCATGCAGCAGTACCTGAGATGCTACGCGAATCAACAGCCCGCGACCTGGGTGGACTACCTACCGCTGGCCGAGTTTGCCTACAACAACACGAAGCACGTGTCTACGGGGGTGACACCGTTCTTCGCCAACAATGGGCGGCATCCCAGAACCTTCCCGGGGTTGGAGACAAAGGGGGAGGGGGAGCCACGGGGAGCAGAGCACTTGGCAGCAGAGTTACAGGAGGTCCATGAGCAACTCCGAAGGCACTTGGAACTAGCAAAACACGCCTACAAAATGCAGGCAGACAGGCACAGGAGAGTCGGGGAAGACATCCAGGTGGGGGACTGGGTCTAGTTAGCAGCCCAGGCAGTGCCGGCCAGGACGTTGGCTAAGAAGAAGCTCGGACACAAGCAGCTAGGGCCTTACCAAGTCGAGGCACAAATCAATCCAGTGGCCTTCCGGTTAGCACTCCCGGAGGGCTCCAGAATGCACCCGGTCTTTCATAGATCAGTGCTCACACCCTACAAGGAACCCCACAGGTTTCAGGCGCCAGGGGCAGCACCAGACCCACTCAGCACATCGCCAACAGGGGAGGGGTCACCGAGGGCGGCGCTACTCAACGAGGTCACGGAGATTTTAGACTCGAGATGGGGGGAAGAGGGAGTTGAATATCTCCTCGCCAGGGAAGGTACCCCGGCCAGCGCCAACAGGTGGGTGCCGTACTATGCAGTGGAGGAGCACTACCTCAAAGACGAGTTCCATGCACTCTTCCCACACAGACCTATGCCGGCAGATTATTTCGACGACTGGCTTTTCACACCCACACTCTCAGCCAGCACGTTCCAGGGGTTCTCATCAGATGAGGAGCCGGCGCCAGACACACGATCCCCGGAGGGATCACTCTCGGGGTTTGCCACAGACCGCTCTTATTGGTGGGACAATCAACTGGAGGTGGGGTGGAGCAGGGAACTGCTGAGGGGGCCCTTACACGCAGCATCGCCCGAGGCAACAGGGGGACAGACGGACATGGACGTGTTGGGGGAGGATCCTGGGTTCGAGCACAGCTGCAGAGAGATAGAAGCAGAGGAGATCGACGTCGACGAACCCATCACGGACTGGCCGGCTCCAGCTGGCGAGCTCCACACCAGGGGGGAAGAACTGTACCCCGCACTCACCCCCACAGCACTGGAGCACCCGGAACCCGCACCCGAAGAAGGGGAGGGGGAAGGGGGGGCTTTGAGGGGGGGATGGATGTCAGGGGCTCAGGAGCAGAGACACAGGGGAGAGAGGGGATGGAGAGCGAAGGGGAAGAATCTGAGGGCAGCATAGGGGAGTATGAAAGCGGCCCGAGAGATTCCATGAGTCTCTCCAGCGAATCAGAAGATTCCCAGAGGGGGGCGCCGATGGCCAGGGCAAGGGGGGTCCCAGGGGGGACACACCAGAAGCAAGGGGCCAGCGGGGACTCCCAAAGCAGCAGCGGGAGAGCAGGACCAGCTACTCCACCAGAGCGTAGTGAGGGGGAAGAGTCACATGTATCAGGGCCAGCTTCTCCTCCAGCAGGGAGAGAGGATGAGTCAGAGGTGGCCACGCCTCCATCGCAGAGTGAGGGAACGGAGGGAGAGTCAGACCCAGCTAGCATCCCCGAAGGGGGAAGCAGTGACAGGAGCAGTGTAACGGTCAGGAGGAAGGTGGCCGGCTGGGCGCGCGCGCCAAGTTCGAATGTACAGGCGCGCGGCACAGCAGGAAACCCGGATGGGGAACCAGGTCCTAAAGCCCGCCAGAGGGAGGGGGAGGACTCAGGAGACTCAGCGTCAGAAGAGTCTAGGAGAGGCGAGACCCCAGCGGACAGGCGGAACCAGAGGAGGAAAGAGCAGAGGAAGAGGTGGAGCAAGGCTAGAGTCTTAAACTGGTGTCTGGGGGGAGGAGACTCAGACGGAGCTTCGGCGGTCTAGAGTTTGAGACATAGAGCTGCGCGCTGCGGCTGTGAAAGCGAAACTGAGCTTCAATAAAGACTGTTTTATATAACAACGAACTGGCGTTGGTCCTTTGTGAGCTGGGACCTAGGGCAGCTCTGACAATTGTATTTTGGTGATGGGTTTATATGTATTGGGTGATTATAATGTTTAAAATTTCTAATAAATATTTTATAAAAAAAAAACAAATGTTGCCCCCATCTTCAAAAGGGGGAGGGGGAATAAGTCCCAGGTAACTACCAACCAGTGAACTTGACATAGAACAGATAATTCAGTGGTCTGTGAACACTTAGAAAACAATGCTGTGATTACTAAGGCCCAGCATGGGTTTCTCAAAAACAAGTCAGGCCTCACTGTGAGAAGCAAAGTTACAGGGAACCAGGCAGAGGGCCTTCTCGGTAGTGGCACCTGCCCACCAGATGTCAAAGGAAAAAACAACTACCAGACTTTTAGAAGACGTCTGAAGGCAGCCCTGTTTAGGGAAGCTTTTAATATCTGAAAGACTATTGTATTTTAATATTTTGTTGGAAGCCGCCCAGAGTGGCTGGGGAAACCCAGCCAGATGGGCAGGGTATAAATAATAATAATAAATTATTTTTATTTTGTTTGTTTGTTTGTTTTTAATGGAGTTACAAGCCTGTTTGATCAGGGGAATACTGTGGGGATGTCACAAGACAGATCCTCACATAAAATAAACTACTACACCTAAGATTTGGATTAAAATGGCTGTAATGGATTATCTCACATGTCCAAAGTCCCTGGTGTGAATAAAAAATTCCTCTGCCTTACCGTTTTTGATTTGTGCGACTCAAATATGGACTACTAGACCTAAAAAATTTAAGCAATGTGGTCTAAAGTTACTTTGGGAGGGGATCAGGGTCCCTGAAGCTGAAGCCTCATTGGTTGCATAGTAGATCTGCCCCTGGCTGTTCCTTCCTCCCTCTCCCCAGAGACAGACTCACATCCCTCTGAAGAAGAAACTGCTGGCCGTCCAACTGGGGGGGCAGGGCGTCCCCCACAAACAGAAGCTCCAGAGAGACATGGGGCAGCAGCACTGACAACTCCTGCAGGGGGGAAGGGGGGTCAGAAATGAGAAAATGAATGGATGTTAGCAACCTTCCTGTAATTCCTGTTATATATAATTGGTTTAATTCACACTGAAATGGGAATGTCTGTGGATCTTCCGTGAAGCTTTAGAAAAGCATGAAGAGCTCTCTGAGCTTTTTGCTGGCTGATTGTTCTTTACTCTAAACCAGTGATGGCCAAACTTGCAGAAAGTCTATGAGAGGTTTCCAATATTTAGTAAATGTTGGCAATGATTTTTCTCAGATTAAACATGTCAATTTTGCCCTCTCGGCTAAGTTAATAACCATTCCTCCAGTCTTGGCAACGGTGAGTCTTTCCACCTTTGTGCATATTAAAAGTCTTGATGCCGTAATCATATATTAGAACAAAGATGCATGATGTTTTTTCCAATTGTGTATCCGTAAGTTTCAATAAGAAATAGATAGAAAGGAATTCCTGCCCAGAGAACCCTTGGTCTTCAAAACCAGTGGTACCAGTTTGCCCAGCTCTCCCTCGACCCTCCCCTCCCTCACACCCAGTTGCACCTCTGCCCCACTGGGGAGACCCTTCACGTACCCAGAAGACCATCAGAACCCCAAATTCTTTGCCTGCCTCTACCACGTGGATCTTGAGAGACTGCTTGTTCAGGATGTTCAGCTCAGGAACTGGAGGGAGAAGAAAAGGAGGGGAGAGGCCACGAGTCATAAAGGACCTTTGGAAAGTGTTTTTTGACTTGAAGAACATCAGGAGAACCTGCTCCACCAGGCCTGTGGCCCACCTGGCCCATCACCCTCCTCTCACGGGGACCAAACGCCCCTGAGAAATAGAGGATTCTCAATAGGGCCCATTATGGGAAGACCAGGAGCAGGTTCTGAACTCAAGAGCAGCTCCCCCTTACAACTGGGATTCAGAAGCATCGCTGCCTCTGACCTTTCGGCAGGGCAGAGCCATCATGGCTGGGAGCCACCGACAACCCTCTCTTCCTCCATGAATTTGTCCCATTCTCTTTTAAAGCCATCCCTGCCTCCTGTGGGAGGGAGTTCCACAGGCTAACTCTGAACTGCACAAAGAAGGTTAGGCTGAGAGAGGCAGTGGCTGGCCCCCAAGGTCACCCACGGAGCTTCATGGCCAGGTGGGGATTTTGACCGGGAGGATAAGTATTACGAAAGAAACTATGGTTTGCTGTCCAAAATTAATGCTACTGAATATTTTCGATGATGTCGACGTTGGTATAAAGTCAAAAGAATTGGCCTTATCTACAGTCTTGGCAGAACAAATAGCAATTGCAAGTCAATGGGGAACAGCGTGCGAATCTTACAGCTTAGTCGCCGGAACAGAAGTACCATGGAGAGAATCAAACGTAATTTGGGATATCGATGAGGACTAGAACCGCCAGACACCTTTTGTATGACCTGGAATTCCCTTTACAGCATATATGACAGAACTGCCCTTTTCAAGACAAGCCTGGAAGACCTGGAACCAGACCTGATAATGCTGATAATTCTCTTTACTTGTTCCTTTGACTTCTGTGTGGACGCGCTTATTCCATGCGCCCATTTTACAGCTTTACTTTTTGTCTTTTAATTCCCTCCTCGTCTTACACTCATTCTCTCTCTGTTTCATGTATGTTACAAACCCTGTAGGAAGGCTGGGGGGCTACCCCCCCCCCGATACTCACAGTGCTGAGGGGCCAGTTGGGTGATGATGTAGTAGGCAGTGAGGGGGTAGCTGAGGAGGACGGCCAGAGGGGCTCCAAGGGGCAGCCCCCGCCACTGGTAATACTCCTTCCAGGACCCTGTGGGGAGGGGAGGCAGCAGCGAGTCAGAGAAGTGGGCCCGTCCCCTTTCCCCAGATAGTAAGGTAAAGGGTAAAGGGACCCCTGACCATGAGGTCCAGTCGTGGCCAACTATGGGGTTGCGACGCTCATCTCGCTTTATTGGCCAAGGGAGCTGGCGTACAGCTTCCAGGTCATGTGGCCAGCAGGACTAAGCCGCTTCTGGCGAACCAGAGCAGCGCACGGAAACGCCGTTTACCTTCCCGGCGGAGCGGTACCTATTTATCTACTTGCACTTTGACGTGCTTTCGAACTGCTAGGTTGGCAGGAGCAGGGACCGAGCAACGGGAGCTCACCCCGTCGCAGGGATTCGAACCACTGACCTTCTGATCGGCAAGTCCTAGGCTCTGTGGTTTAACCCACAGCGCCACCCACATCCCACCCACAATAGTAGGATTGCTATTAATCAGATTTAGCCATCGCTCTTTTTTTGTCAGGGCGATTCAAAGCAACTTGCATTATTTTAAGCAAAAAACAGACACATATGGATGTTAAGACCGGCATATAAATCTAAAAGACAATCTTCTTCTTTTAGAAAACCTAGATCAAATCATTTCACCCAGGCAAAAAGGCCATTGGTGATTAAAAGCTGAAGGCCTGATCTGAAAGGATTCCCCGCCCCCCACACACCCCAGTGCCTATAGATGTGTAATTATGGCACCTGGCAAGCCTCCCTGGAGAAAGCTTGCCGCAAGTGGGGAGCCACCATCGAAAAGACCCTGTTATACATGAGTTGCAAGATGCAAGCTCTGACTCCCCCCCCCCAACCTCCTGTCTCACCAAAGAATGTCCGGGGCATGGGAGGCTCTGGGGGGGCTGGTGGAAGAGCCGTCCCTCCTTCCGGCCGTAGCGCCTCAAAGGGGTTCCCTAGGGGGGGTGAGAAAAAGGCTGGTCAGGGAGGGGAATGTCAAGGTTGTAGGGCAATGGAGCTGCCCCAGCCTTAGGCAGAGGGAGCCGGGAGATGGCAGAGAAGAGATGGGGGCAGTAGTGGCACCCCCCAATCATTTGCCTCTGTTCGAGAGAACTGTGGGTGCCATACAGCTGGTTGTGCGCCCCACAAGCATGTGGGAACCCCTCAGCCCCACTCCAGGGGGACAGGAGCTGCTGCCCCATTGCCCCGCAGAAGTGAGTTTCGACTGCCAGTCCAGGCAGCTTCTGTGCAAGGAACTGGGAGGAGGAGAGGCGCCATCTTCTCCTCTGCCCCAGACGGCCCAGACATCTTGGACTGGTCCTGAAGAGCCATTGGCCCATCTAGTTCAGCCTCCAGTTCTTGCAGTGGATAAATACCCCCTATGAATCTAGGAACACAGATAGACTGCTTCTGGGCATGGAAGCCCCACAGGGCCAAAAGAAGCCAATGGCCCACCTAGTGCAATGGGGAAACCACAAGCAGGATACAAGCACAAGAGCCGCTCTCCCTTCCTGCGGTTTCCAGCAGCCTCCGGTGGGAGGGAGTCCCACAGTTTCACTCGCAAGGATTTCACCCAGTCCTGCTGTGAAGGAGGTGGGGCGGAGGCTCCTGGGCCCCCTTCTGTCCACACCACCTGGACTCCGTGGGTCTGCACCACACACACACACACACACACACCCAACAGGCCCGCTGCCCCCTCACCGCTTTGCAGGAAGGGCACGGGCTTCTCGGGACCCCCCTGGAGCCCCACGCCGTAGTCGGGTGCCCTGACCAGCATGCTCTCTCCGGCCCAGTAGCCGCGGGTCAGACCCCTGGCAGAGAGGAAGCCCTCTTTGTTGAAGTTCTCGCTGGTCACCTCTGCAAGGGAAACAAGCGGGGAAGATGAGGTGGGGGGCTCAGCCTCTCAGGACCCCAGACTCTGCCTCCCCCCAGCGCCTGACCCCAGGCTGTGCCATGAGGGGCCGCTTGCCCCAGCTGCCCACCTGCTGTGAAGGTGAAAGGAAGGTTGGCTAGCTCCCGGGTGCGACTCATGTACCCAGCCATGCGCTGGCACCAGAACTGGTGCCCGATGTCCTCGGGGCTGCGGTTCCAGTCCAGCTTGCGGCAGCGCTCGGAGCAGTACAGGACGGCCCTGCAGTGCTGGCTGTGGGGACAGAGAGGGGCTGCTCAGGCCGGGAAGGGGCTGGGGGAGCAGAGAGAGAGAGTCGGAAGGGACGCCCGAGGGTCATGCAGACCAACCCCCGTGTGGGAATGTTCAGGGATGCAGGAGAGGATATATTGTCTGATTATAGCCTTTCCAACTTGTGTTAACAAGTTCCACAATTTAGCAGAGTAACATTCCCCTTTTTAAACTCGCAGCGGATGCGTTTGCTCAGGCTCGCTAAAGCCTCTATAATAACTGCTCTGGTATTTCCCCCTTATTCCCTCCTAAAAGATAAGACACGACACAGTCTTCTATAAAAGTATAAAAAGGTTTACTCACACATCATTCTGTTCACAATCGGATCCCAGAAGGCAGACTTAGCTTAGAAAAGTAACACATACCTAGAAATAATCTCATAAGAAGACAGTCCCTTTGTCCTCTCTTGGAAGCCAAGAGGGCGTCTTTGGCTAAGCAGATGTTGCTTCTTCGATGCATGTAGTCAAAGAGAGAGAGATGGCTGCCCTGCCCTCTGCTTTTGTCGTTACCTGCAAAGGTGAGGCCACACCCACCTCTAGGCCCATGCAGAGGAAATCTGTCCCAGCCCAGAAGGAAACAGGAAGTTTACCTGCTGGCTGGACAAACATTCCTCCCCATGTGTAAACATGTTCACTCTAGGAATGTTCTACTTGACTGCTCTTGTGTTTCACATCCCACACCCCGGCCATGCTGGAATTCCAGCAAAGGGCAACCCGGTACCAACTTCTGCAACGCACCCGCTGGGCTCCCACTGCTTTGCAAAGGTGTGGCAGAGCAAGAGTTTGGGTTTTGCACAAGCGTCTTTGGTGTGTGCCGACGGGCGTGCCTGGATGGAAAGTGGGGGTGGGGAGGGAACCTTCTCTGGGGTGCTGCTCACCACGCCGTGACTTGTCCCTCGAAGCTGTACCTCTTGCAGACGTGGCAGGCCCGCACACGGGTGGTGGGGAACGTGAAGGCCGGCTTGGGGCCCCAGCCGCGCATCGGGCCCTTGCTCATCTTCACCCCCAGCCTCGAGAGCAGCGGCTCCAGGGACCTAGACAGGAGGACACCGGCTGGATCAGGCCCAAGGAGGACCAGCACCCAGTGGCCAAATGCCCCATGGGACCCAGAGCCTGGAGGTTCCACAAGAGCACCTCTTCTCCCGGATGCCCCCATTGGAAGCCTGGGGGCAGGAGGACCTGTGGGCAACAGCAGCAGAACTGGCTGCCCTTCCCCAGCTATGGGTCACCCCCTTCCCTCTCCAGGGTGGATCTGGCTAACTCTAGCTGGCCCAGGTGCCTCAAGGAAGTTCCAAGCAGGGCGAAGCGCAGATAGCCCCATGTTTGTAGGCTCTTTGGGCCTTGGAGGTACACTGCCCCTGAACATGGGGTCTCTGTTGTCAGCTCCTCTCTTGCTACTTCTTTTAAAAAGGGTGGGGGCAAATGTATTGCACAACCTCTTTTAAAATGTGCTTATTCTTCTCTTTGTGCCCCCCCCTGCCCTGCCGCCAAAGGAGGAGCCCCTCAGAAGCTGCGTCATGCGCTGCAACCAAGTGGCGCAGCCTCTCACTTGTGCAAGGCCGCGTCTCCCACGGTGAGCAGCTTGGGCCTGCGTGGCTCCCCTGCGCCCAGAGGGCAGATCATGCTGTGGCACAGGAGGGCGACGGCGCGGGGCTCCAGCGGCTGCTCGGCCCCCATGGCCCCTGCCCAGGACCCCCCCAGCTGGAAGTCAAAGCCCAGGATGCTGCCGTGCTCGTCCGTCAGCAGCAGGAGGTGCTCCACGCGCCAGAGCGGCTGGCCTGCAGGAGAACAAAAGGATTATAATCATAATAATAGTAATTATAATTTATACCCCACCCATCTGGCTGAGGTTCCCCAGCCACTCTGGGCAGCTCCCAACAGAATATTAAAAAAAAGAATAAAACATCAGACATTTTTAAAAAAAACTTCCCCAAACAGGGCTACCTTCAGATGTCTTCTAAAAGTCAGATAGTTGTTTATTTCCTTGACATCTACTGAGAGGGTGTTCCACAGGGCGGGTGCCACCACTGAGAAGGCCCTCTGCCTGGTTCCCTGCAACCTCACTTCTTGCAGGGAGGGAACTGCCAGAAGGCCCTCGGAGCTGGACCTCCCTGTGAGGAGAGCCATTGGCTGGATCCAGCCAACGACCCACAGAGTCCAGCCTCCTGTCCTCCTCCCAGTAGCCAAATGCCCCTAAGGACCGAGGATTTGGGACAGACTGTTCCTGGGCCTGGAGGCTCCATGGGAATGTGAGAAGAGTCCTGGATCAGGCCAGTGGCCCACCTGGTCCAACATCCTGTTCTCCCCGTTGCCTGTAGGAAACAGGCAGGCAGGATCCACCCACGAAAGCAGCTCTCCCCTCGTGTGGCTTCCGGCAACGGGCATTCAGAAGCGCTGATTCCCCCTCCCTCTGCGGAGGCAAGTGTGGGAATGTTCCGGGTGACAGGAGAGGATATCTTGTTTGTTAATATCCTTCCTAACTTGTGCTAGCAAGTCCCTTTCCTTAGCAGAGTGAATTCCCCTTTACAGAGCACAACAGAGAGCTGCTGGCAGGCTTGTTTAAGCCTCTCATTATCACACAATTCGGTATTGAATTGTATGTTCCTGGTATGGGAAAGGTTGTGGAATGAAAGGATAAAATTTACAGCTTGTAATGCTTTGAAAGAGAATATTATGAAAATGATGTATAAATTGATATATTACACCAGTGAAATTAGCTAAAATGTATAAGACAAATAATAAATGTTGGAAATGTAAAGAAAAAGAAGGAACATTTTATCACATGTGGTAGGAATGTAAGAAAGTAAAGAGCTTCTGGGAAATGATATATAATGAGATGAAAAAGATGTTGAAATATACATTCTTTAAAAAACCAGAAGCATTTTTACTTGGTATTATAGGCCAAGATATTAATAGACAAGATGTCAAGCTGTTCTTATATGCACCAACAGCGACAAGAGTATTGTTGGCCCAGAAATGGAAACAAGAAGAAATTCCGACGAAGGAAGAATGGCAGGCGAAATTAATGGACTATGCAGAATTGGACAAAATGACAGGAAGGATTCGAAACCTCCGTTAGCTAAAAGCTGCTCCAACGATGGAGGAAGTCAAAGAGAGAGAGAGAGTGCTGCATGTCCTGTCCTTTTGTGTTACCTGGACAGGTAAGGTCACGCCCACCTCTAGTCACATGCAAAGGAAGGATAGCCCAGCGAGGAGGAAACAGGAAGTTTTTGACTGGCTGGACCAAACATCCCCTTGCATGTCCACTCTAGGAAAACAAGGAATGTTGTACTTGACTGCTACTTAGGTATCACATCCCACACAGAGCCGAGCCCTGGTGGCCCTTCCGAGGATGCTGTGGCTACCTGCCCCAAGCCCTGCCGCCTCCAGCGCCCCTCACCTGTCTCAGGTGTGGCCTCCTCGTCATCCTCCTCGCCAGCGCCCACGAAGGTGATGAAGCGCTCCAGGTCCCCCAGGGCCAGCGCCTCCTCGCTGTAGAAACGGCCGCCCACCTGCTGCCCCGGGTCGGCCACGGTGAAGGCCAGCGCCCGGTTGGGCAAGGCGTGCAGCACCCAGAGGGCCGGATCCGGGGGCAGGCGCCGGATGGAGCCCTCCTGGCGTTTGCGGCGCTCGCTGCCTCGCCGGCAGGCCGAGTCCAACAGGAAGCGCCGGTACCAGCTGAAGAGCAGCTCAGCAAAGTCCAGGATCTCGGCCCGGTAGCCAGTGACAAACTCCATGCCTGCAGGGAGAGCGGCGGGGCCCGGCCTCCATCAGCCATGCAGGGAAAAACCCCAAAGCCCCCCCCAGGACACCAAGGGAGCCTCTGAGCATGTGCAGAGTGTGTCTCCCTCAACCCCTGACAAACTCCCATGCATCTACCTGCCTTGCAGCGGGTTGGGATGGATGGCCTTTTGGAGTCCCACCCAAATCGACAGTTCTAAGTTTCTATGAAACAGGTGATTCCTGGATGTCTGGGGGTTGGACTAGATGACCCACGGGCCCCTTCCAACTCTCAATACTATGATTCCTTGGAGGTTTCTAAGGAGAGGTTAATTCCTGCAGGGTATGTCATTTTAGGGGTGAAACTTAATTTTTGCACTTTTCTTCAGTGAGGGGCCTTAAAAATGTTTTGGGGTGTGAGGAATTTAAATCTACTATTTTTGTGACTGGACAACATTTAGCTTGGTAGGTTTGATAAAGAAGCAAATAAACTACTCTCAGAAAACCGAAGAAAATTAATTTGAAATTGACTGGTCATATAAGATATGTATAATATATTAATATGAATACATAGTATATAACTGCAAGTATCTGCCAGTCATTTCCCATGATTTCTACACAGATTTACACACATTTTATTTACCAAGCAAAACTAAACTATATTATAGTATTCTAACCAAAATATCTTTGGGCTTCCCTCATTTTTGGAATTTGAAAGGTGAAAATCCGACAGGTTGGGCCTGCGAATACTCGAAATAAGATAAAAGTGTAATGAAATTTGCGTATTTGGATAATAATCATATCTATATATTAGATAACTTTATATGGAATTGTAATTCTTAATTTTTGTATTCATATATTATACCTTCCTTTCTGTGTTCTCACTTGTAATGTTTATTCTATATTGTTTATTTTCAGCGGTGTTTAAAATTATTATTATTATTATTATTATTATTATTATTATTATTATTATTAAATAAATAAATGCAATGAAAGTGCTTCCCCCATCTCCCTCTGCCCCCCGCTTCCCTCACCCACAAAGGGGGTCATCTTAGGGGGGAAAGTGGCCTCCATTCAGTGGCCTCCATTCAGGTGAGTCCCAACTGCCACCAACAGTCAGGTGAGTCCCGCCCCCCCCCCCGGTCATAGAGAGGGGCTCCCTAGAGGGCAGCTGTGCCCCCATCAGCCCTGCCCACCCCCTGGCATGGGGTCCTGCCCCCCACCTTGGGCCCACCTAGGCCTCCCCACCTACCTGACCGCTTTGGAGGTCAGTCGTTGGATGGGGGGGTCCCTCTGTTCCGCTGCGACATCAGAGGAATCTGGAATCCTGGCCAGGCCAACAGACGGAGGGGTGGCCAGCAGCCTCCTCCTCTGATGCCCCCTCGGACACCTGGGTCCCATCGCCGCCGTGGGCAGCGGAAAGGGAGCTCCCTGCAGAAGGCCATCGCTGTGGTCCAGCAAGGCTGAGCAGACCCTGAAGGTCAGGAAAAGATTGTCAGGGTGTAAAAAGAGGCAGCGGCGGTGTAGTGGTTAGAGTGCCGGGCCAGGACCCAGGCGAGACCAGGGTTCAAGTGCCCCCAGCCAGCCATGAAGGTTGCTGGGTGTGAGCTCAAGGCAGTGTCCGCCTCCTTCTGTCGGCCTGGCCTGCCTCACAGGGCTGTTGTGGGGATTCCATGAGGACTAGGAGCAAGACCAGGGTTTGAATCCCCACTTGGACAAAAGGGCACTGGGTGACTGTGGGGCAGGCACTGCCGCTCCGCCTAACCGACCTCACAGGGTTGTTGTGGGGCTTCAATGAGGACTAGGATCTGGGAGAGACGGGGATTTGAATCCCCCACCCAGTGGCTGTAAAGCTTGCTGAAGATGACCGGGGGGGGGGGTGGTCACTGCCTTCTCTTGGCCTGACCCACCTCACAAGGTTGTTGTTGTGGGGATTCCATGAGGAGGAGGGAGGAGAACCATGTGCCCCACCTTGAGGTTCCTGGAGGGAAAGTTGGGCTGCAAATGCAGAAGAAGAAATAAATTCCATTCCAAGTGGGCCAAATCCCACTTTTTGAACTCTCAGGCCAGGGGGAGCCTCCATACTTCCTCTGCAGACCCCTTTGTCTCCCCCCCCAAATAATCAGCCATTTTTAGTCACATCCCCTCCCTCTGGTTAGCCCCTCCTCCAGTCTCTCCTTATTTCAGTTGTTTTTTTCCTCTTTAAAAAAGGGGGAGGGAGCAATAAAGATCCAGGGTGGTTTATGAAAACAAAAAAGATGTGATAAAGCTTAGGGAGAAGCGCACAAAATAAATCCTAAATAAACCCCATATTGTCGAGCCTTCACTACTAGAGCATGTGGGGCAAGAACCCAACGCGCTGGCATGGAGGGGGCACCTCATTCTGCCTGCCACCCCCAAAGGCCACCCGGGTGCAGAGGGGTCTTCAAAGGGGTCTTCAAAGGGCCACGGGAGGAGTGTCGGTGGTTGCCCACCTTGCTTTGAGCAAAGAAGCAAATCCATTGGAGCAGTCAAGTACAATATTCCTGGTTTCCCTAGAGTGGACACAGACAGGGAGATGTTACTCCAACCAGTATAACTGTGGGAATGTTCAGGGTGGCAGGAGAGGATATATTGTTTATTAATATCCTTCCTAATTGTGCTAGCAAGTTCCTTTATGTAGCAGAGTTCCATTCCCCTTTCTTACATGCATAGCAGATAGCTGGTTGCCGGCTCGTGTGAGCCTCTCACTATTATACAATTCAGTCTGTCTCAGATTGAATTGTATGTTCCTGGTAAGTTCCCTTGAATCCCTCTTAAAAGAATCAAAACGCGACAATCTTATTCAAAGTCAGTAAAAGAAGTTTACTCACATCAGTTCACAGTTCACAGCTGGATTCCTGAAGGCAAACTTAATTACAAATATGTACATGTGGATCTATCCCATATGGGGGAATAACCCGGTGCAGTCCTAGCTAAAAGCTGGTCAAATGAAGAAGGAAGTCAAAAAGAGGGAGAGTGCTGCGTGACTCATCCTTTTGTTACCTGGACAGGTGAGGTCGCACCCACCTCTAGTCACATGCAAAGGAAGGATGCTCCAGCCAGGAGGAACAGGAAGTTTTGACTGGCTGGACCAAACATTCCCCCACATGTCTTCTCCTTCTACAAGGAATGTTGTACTTGACTGCCTCTCATGGATCACATCCCACAATAACTTCCTGTTCCACCTGCTCTGGAGCATCCTCCCCCTCCATGTGACCAGATAGGTGGGCGTGAAGCTTGCAGACCCAACAAAAGGTCCAGTCACACAGCCATCTTTTTCATCTTCTGTTCTTCTTCTCTTGGACTGCACTGCTGGCTCTCAGCCAGCAGCACATGGGATGAATCCCAACCTCTCTCTGTAACTGTAACTACAAGCCAAAGCCTGCCTTCAGGGATCGTACTGTGAACTGAATGTAAGTAAATTTCTTATTACTTTTAAGGAAAGACTGCTGTGTCTTTACTCTTTTGAGAGGGATCAAAGGGGACTTACCAGGAATAAATCCAATCTGGGCAAGCCAGACTGGATTGCTTAACGAAAGATATTCACACAAATCTGCAAACTGGTTTCCTTCTAAGGGGAACGTGTTCTGCTACTGGGCTCACTAGTGAGAGTGAGGAAGGATCAAGATATCCTCTCCTACTATTCACAACATTCTCTTTTTTAAAAAAAATAATTTTTATTAAGTTTCCATTTACCAAATCAAACATATCATACCAATTAATCCAAATTATTACAATACAAATAATAAAATCCAAATATTTTCCAAATTATTACTTTTGTGGGGGGTACCCATGCTTCAAGATCGGTAGGAGTCCAATCATCTATATTTCTGCTGCTTTGGCGTTTACAATGATATTCTCAGTCCCATCTTCTCATCTCCTTGTCGTTACTCATTTTCCTTTTCGGTCACCTCTGAGTTGTCTCCGCAAGTGGATTGAAAGAAACAGTCTTGTTTATATTTCTGCGTGGACTTTGTACTGCTCTCTCGTAAATCACTCCATAAATCCAATAGTTCAGGAATTCCGTTCGAGCGGCCATCGCCATCTTGTTCCATTCCGATGAAATAGTCTAAATGTCCGCTCATTAACTTTTCCCAGACCCGCTGCATCGTAAATTAGTCTCTCCAGGAGGGTTATTTATTGCCCTTTCCAATTTACGATCCCATCCTGATAACAGATCGGGGCTCGCCCTCCCTAAGACCATATATCATGCAACAAAGGTCTGCCTGTCCATGTCAGATCACATTTCTAACTGCATCACACAGAGAGCCTCTCTTCTTTCCAAATCTTTCACAGAATAAAACCTTTAATTCATATTATTTTTCCCCACACAGTTTATTTTTAGTCCCACTTGCAATTGGTCGTTGTGACTGTTCTTCTAAGGGGGAGGGTTGTTAGGTAAATCATGTTAAAAAAGTAGAAAGTTCCCCCCCCTTTCCGTTCCGTTGCACATACCAACATGTCTGCGATTCTTTGATGTTATCTCTGTTCCTTCCATCCCAATCTTCATCATCTCAGTGGCAAAATTATTAGCAGATAAAACACTCCTGACCTCTCTTGAAGCATGTGCGTTTACTTCTCCAAATTTTTTCTTCTTTTTAAGCAATGCAACCAGTTTCGCTCGTGGAAGCAGCTTCTGTGAGTTCCATAGCCTGCCCGAGGGCTATGCGCCCAGTGCCTCCCACCCCCTCCTTCATCCGAACTCGGGCGTGATTTATGGCAACTGCGGATGAGGACAGCATCTTCCCCCCCTGGGAAGACGAGGGAGACTGATTTACTCCCCATAATCAGCCTCTAATTGCCTCGTGCGAGCTGGAGAGATGGTATTGTCGGCCATCTTCCAAGGCGCCCCTAGCGGCCCCCATTCACAACATTCTCACACAGCAGACAGAGACAACTAGAGGGACCAGGATCCTACAGAGGGGAGGAAGGAGCGGATATGGTAAAAGGTTTAAATGCTGTGACTGAAGCTTAAAAGAAATGAAACGACTTAATCTTTTCTATTTATAGCAGCTGCAGCTTTTCACCCCTTTCTATGAATTTGAGCCATCTTTTTTCCATTAATATGCAAAGAATATATTTTTTATAATTTTAAAAAAGGTGAAAATAAGGAGATCTGCCCATGTTGACAGGCCTTCAATGTTGTTAACATCCCCCAAGACCTTCAGGTTCAGCTGATATTTTTCCAGGTTGTGGGGACAGTCTGGATGGCCCCTGGGGGACCCCTTCCTAGCCTGTAATCCTGCGTATGGATGGAATCTGGAAGCTGCTGAACTAGTCTAAGAAAAATGGAAATGACTTAATGGATCTCTTTTGTGGTGGCTGCTGCCCTTCATCCCCTTTGATGGGAAACCCAGCCAGATGGGCGGGATACAAATAATAAAATTATTATTATTATTATTATTATTATTATTATTATTATTATTATTATTATTTGATGTATCTGATCTATGCAGTGATGCAAGGCTTGGTTATGGGAGTAGAAAGACCCTCTTGAGGTGCTGATGCTGTGAGCCCATTACAGGCTCAGGTTGTATAGATGGGCAAATAAACCCCTATCACCCACAGACACGCGTCTCCTGTGAGCCTCAAAGGAAACACGAATGCTGCCTTCAGTGCTTGGGACCCCTGGAAAGTCACACCACCCAGAGATTGGGGGGGCAGGCAACGTTTCCTGCTCCCCCCCCTTTCATCTGCATTTTTATCCGTAAGCCGTCCCAAATCCCTGTCCGGCTAAGAGGCGGGATATAAACGAACATAAAATAACAATTTTAGCACCACTAAAAAGAAAACACAAACATACGGAAAGTTAAAAGGGCGATAAAAGAGACTCGTTGTTTTGTTTATTTCCACCCCTGCCTTTTTCCGACGCAGCTTACAGATAAAAAGGAGAACAGGCAAAAAATAAAATAAACAAATATGGGCAGGGTGTGTGGAAAAGGTAAGGACTCCTCCTCTGTTGCCGAGGGTTGGACTCAAGTCCCTCAGGTTCCTTTCCAACTATGCTGTGCTAGGATTCCACCACCCAAAAGCATTTCCACGCCGTCGGAAGCCAGCAGAACTGCTCGCGCGCAGAAGACCGAGGCCGATCTCCTGCGCATCCCGAGGAAGCGAGCCAAGCCTTCTCCACGCGCGCAGGCGCCGGGAGAAAACTTTCCTCTAAAGCAGGGGCAGGAAAACTAAGGCCCGGGGGCCGGATCCGGCCCAATCGCCTTCTAAATCTGGCCCGCGGACGGTCCCGGAATCAGCGTGTTTTTACATGCATCTCTGGGCTATTTCTGGGGCCTGCCTGGTGTTTTTACGTGAGTAGAATGTGCCCTTTTATTTAAAATGCATCTCTGGGTTATTTGTGGGGCATCGGAATTCGTTCATTCCCCCCCCCCAATAAAACATATAGTCCGCCCCCCCCACAAGGTCTGAGGGACAGTGGACCGGCCCCCTGCTGAAAAAGTTTGCTGACCCCTAAAGCCTTCGGCCGGTTAGCATCCCATGACCTTGAAAATGTTTGTGGGGTCTTTGGGTTCGCTTTTGTTTCATCTTGCATTTTGCGCCCTCCCTCTGCTCGCCCTGCGACCTTCGGGAGAAAGGCGGCGTACAGATTTCATAAGTAAATACAAATAAATAAATGAGCATTTATTCCATCTCTTCTGCCCAGCGCAGGGCCCAGCAGGCGGCCCCCAGGAGCCACGCGAGGGCCGGGCGATGCCCGGGGGCGGCTCTGGCGGCGATGGCCGCCTCCACTCCGGCCCACATGTCCAGCTCCTGCCTGGTCACATGCGCCGCCTCGGCGGCGGGGGAGGCGGTGTGGCCCTCCGCGGTCTGCGGCACGTGGAAAGGGTGGCTTTCGTGGGCCGAGGTCATCTCCAGCCACGCGTGGAAGTTGGCCACCCTGGTGTAGACGCCGGGGCTGTGGCGGGCCGCGCAGCTGCGCCCCCAGCTCACCACGCCGACCGCGTACCAGCGCTGGTGGGGTCCTCCGCGGCCCGGGGGGCGGCACATGAGGGGTCCTCCGCTGTCCCCCTGGAAAGGCGGGAGGGTGGGAGTTGTAGTCCGAAGCCCCCGGGGAGCCCCAGCTGGGGGCTGAGGCTGAGCCGACGTCTGCAAGCCTTCCCCTCCCTCCTCTTCACCGCCCCACCCTGCGCCCTCCTTGCCCACCCGGAGCGCCCTGCGCCCCCTTCCACGCCCAGAAGGGAGACTGGGGGCAGGAGGCGAGGGGGTGTCTCCCACCTGGCAGGCGTCGCGGCCGCCCTCCTCAAAGCCGGCGCAGATCATGTTTTTGGTGAGGGAGCGCAGCCAGCGGAGGCACAGCATCCAGTCGACCATTCCCACCTGCACGTCCAGCAAACTGTAGGATCCCTGGCCGCTTCCTGGACAGAGAGAGGAGGAAGGGAGACAAGCCGCGCGGGCTGGCTGGAGGCGGGCGGAGCGGGCGCGCAAGCCCCAAGACCCATTTCCCCATGGAAACGCTCCCCAGAGCACCCCACGAGGTGCCCAAAGACCCCCTGGAATTGGAGCAGGTCCACCAGCAGCTCCATTCCGTCCCACTACCTCTTTCCCGCAGAGGTAGACTGCGCCTGACCGCGGGGCTCCTCCTGCGCCGCCTCTTCTCCCTGCATTTGCCCCGTCCCATTTCTCTGCCCTGGGGCCACGTCTGGAGGCAGAGGGGGCTCCTGCCTGTAGGACGTGGGCTTCTTTCCTCCCCCCGCCCCCAATCCATCCCACACCGCTGCCCAATTACGCAGGCAAGCTTCGAGTCCGGCATCCGTAACTATCTCCCCATTTTACAGTGAAACACAGTTGGAGAGCAGCCTTGACCAAAGGTGTCCTGGGCTGTGAAGACACGCGAACTCAGGACGGAAGGGAGAAACGGGCTAAGAGGAAGGCACGCTTAGCAAAGCCACTCAGTGATCAACCAATGTCCCAACTGTGGAAGGACATGTGGATCCAGAACTGGCCTCCACAGTCACTTATGGACACATTGTTAAGACCGTGTTTATGGAAGACAATCTTACTCGGATACAAGTGATGCCAAAGAGAAGAGAGATTTTGCAGGTGGAAGAACTGAGGAAGGGAGGTAGAGCGGGGGCCAAACCCTGAGTTAGCATGGGGCCTGTCCCCCCCCCCCATTTCTTGCCACCCAGGTAAACCCCCTCTGTTCAAACAGGGGTCCACATGCGCAAGGGCCCGGCTCATGGGTGCCCACTCCCTGGGGCCCTGGGTGCCCAGGCACCCACAAAATTCCCCAGGAAGGGTCCGGCCATCCACAGATTTCGGTGCCAGGGTCATGCACGCTGCGTGGCACCCACGGCCCCGGGGCACCCACAGTCGCGGGCCCAAGCCGGCACTCCTGGTCCGACTCCGCCCTCCCAGCCGCGGGCAGAGAGGTCCCTAAGCCCCGGGTCTCTTTTTGGCAGGAGGGACGGGGGATTTCGCCAAGGGACAGGAAGCGCGGAGGACGCAGCGACGCCTTCGGGGCTCACCGGCCTTCGTGAGCCCCCACCCGGCCACGGTGCAGCTCTCCCACATGTTGTCGTCGGGGACGATGCTGTGGTCGGGGAGGCAGAGGGGGCTGTGGTAGAAGCTGTAGGGGATGGGCTTGTCCAGCAGCAGGAGCGCCAGGTCGTTGTCGTAGGTGCGGGTGCTGTACTCGGGGTGCAGGTGGATCTTGCGCACCCAGCGGGTGACGTTGTGCCTCCCCAGGAGGTTGCTCCCCGCGGCCACCCTGACCTTGTCGCTGAAGGAGAGAGAGAGAGAGAGAGAGAGAGAGAGAGAGAGAGAGGACTCTGGGTTCAGGTAGAATCCACACACAATTCCCCCTCCAAACAGCGTCTCTCTGAAATCACAGAACTGTAGAGTTGGGCGGGGGTCCCCCAAAGGCCATCTAGTCCAACCCGCTGCGATGCAGGAATCCGGGCTCGGATTATTTACTCATTCAATTTCATTATTTGAATTTATATTTCGCCCTTCGCCACAAGCTCTCAGGGCGGCTCACAAGATAAAAATACAGCATAAAAGCACAAAATAGGAAACAATAACCCCCTTCCCACGAACACATTTGAAAGGCTGTTAATTGGAAGTTTCCGCCTGGTGCCTAAACTGACATAATGAAGGCGCCAGGCGAGACTCCCTGGGGAGAGCAGTCCGCAAACGGGGCGTCACCACAAAGAAGGCTGGTTCTCCAGAAGGTCACATGGAGGAGGCACGCTGCATTAAGCAGCCGAATCAAAATCAGGGAAGCAGAGATCAAGAAAGCAGTCTTTGTTTGCAAGAGAAGAGTCTGGTTGTAAACGGGCGCTTAACCCGTGTCCGCATGCCGGTTCAGACACCCGCGGCTGCACCCAGAGCCAGCCAGCCCCCCCCCTTGGCTCCGCAGGGCGTGGCTGGGCGGGCGCGCAGCCTCCGGAGGAGGTTCCTGGCAGCCAGGCAGGACCCCCGCCTGAAGAAGGTCCCCCCCTCCCCTCCTCACCTTCTCTCTGCGAAGCAGTGGGCGGCGGAGAGCACCCACCACGGGTGCACGATGGACCCCCCGCAGAAGTGGTAGGTGCTGGTCTGTATGCTGACCACCCAGGGCCACTTCCCGGGGAGGGACTTCGAGCCCCCCACGATGCGCGCGCCGGCCACGGGGGAGGCGTGGGGCCCGTCGAACTCTGGCCGGAAGCCGCAGCCTGGAGGAGAGGGGCGGGCGGGCGGAGGCAAGCGCACGTCAGAAGGGCCCCGGGCCCCTGCCCTAGTGCCCCCAAGAACCCAGGAGCCGGGCCATGGAGGCTCCCCAAGGACATAAAAAGAGTCTGGGTGCAGGATCAGGCCCCCTGGATGCCCTTCATGGGAAACCTGCAGCCAGGGCCAGACTGCAAGAGCACTCTCGGGGTGTCCTTCCCCATACCTCTGATATTCAGGGGTAGACTGCCCCCAGCCATGGAGGTTTTGCTGGCACAGGAGCCCTTCGTAATAAGAGCCCTGCTGGATCAGGCCCGTTGCTCACCCAGTCCTGTGTCCTCTTCTCACAGTGGCCAAACAGAGACCCCAAAGGGAAACCTGGGGGCAGGATTCGAGCCCAAGAGCCACTCTCCCCTCCTGTGGTTTCCAGCCAGGGAGACACAGCATGGCATTGGGGCTGGTCGCCAGGAGGAGACGAGGCCCCAAACCACCTCGGCCTCATCACTCTTCCCACTCCAAGAGGTGATGATGTCACATCATTCCTGTGATGTCACAGGAAACGGAGCAGCCGGGGGAGGGGTTCTCGGAAGATTGGCCATCAGAAGGTGGGGTGGTTGTTTTTGAGTCTGCCAAGGGCATCCGAGGGAAGGAGCCATAGCGCCTCCAGCTCTGCCTTCGCCCCATGGCAGCACCCACTCCCCTTTCCTTGCACCCGGTACCTTGTCCCCAAAGGGCCCGTCCCTGAAGCATCAACAGCAAGCCACACGCCAACAGATGGTCCATAGGTTCTTCCCAGAAGTCACTGGCTTCCAATCTTGAGTGGGGGAGGGGGTCTCAGGCTGCGCCCTGTGATGTCATAGAAGGCCAGCTAATGATGTCACAGGTGCAGAACCGAGGCCCCTCCTCCTGGTCCTTAGCTCCGCCTCCCCCAGCCTGGCCCTGAACTGGAGCAGGCATGGCTCTCTTGGAGCTTCCAGTGTTCTGTGAGGCGCTGAAGTCACTTGGGAGTCATTTTGGACTCACAGCTGTCCATGGAGGCACAGGTCAAATCTGTGTCCAGGGCAGCTGTTTACCAGCTCCATCTGGTACGTAGGTTGAGACCCTATCTGCCTGCAGACTGTCTCGCCAGAGTGGAACATGCTCTGGTTATCTCCCGCTTGGACTACTGCAATGCGCTCTACGTGGGGCTACCTTTGAAGGTGACCCGGAAACTACAACTAATCCAGAATGCGGCAGCTAGACTGGTCACTGGGAGCGGCCGCCGAGACCATATAACACTGGTCTTGAAAGACCTACATTGGCTCCCAGTACGTTTCCGAGCACAATTCAAAGTGTTGGTGCTGACCTTTAAAGCCCTAAACAGCCTTGGTCCATGAAATATACTCAGAGTCGCAAAGTGATTTCATGCTCTTTATTCAGCTCATAGTGGTGAGGAGGAATGAATGAAAGTCCCCTCAAAGTATCTGCTTTATATACATTATTTACACCAGTGTTTCCCAACCACTGTTCCGCGGCACACTAGTGTGCCGTGAGATGTTGCCTGGTGTGCCGCGGGAAAAATTAAAAAATTCGAAAGATTTTTTTTTTTTAAGTCAAATTTTCGATTGGGGCGCCGTCACTAGATGACCCCTGGGGTTCCCTCCCTCCCGCTCTGCGCCTCCCTCCTCCTCGTCCTCCGGGGAGGCCCTTCCTGGCTCTCGGCCAAGGCTTGGCGGCTGCCACTCATCCCTCCATCCCTCCATCCCTGCACCCGGCCTCTCCCCCTCCGTCCCCGGCGCGGGGGCTGCCGGGATCCGTAGTCCCCTCGCCCTTGGGCTCCGCGCCCGCGCGGGGTGCGCAAACTACGTTTCCCCAGCGTGGCCTGGCAGGCCGGGCGTTTTGTTTGAAGCGCTCTTCTCCCGGCCATGGAATGAGCGCAGCGGCGGCGGCCGGGCGGGCAGGGGCTCTTCCGCGCAGACCCCGCGCAGCCTGCCTGTGCCCCCCGGGTGGCAGGATGGAGCTCGGGGATCCCCGCGGAGGCGGAGCGGCGGAGGCTGCCCCGCAGGTAGGGCTGCGTCGGGGGGGGTTATTTTTGCAATGCTGCATCCGCGCCGGAGGGGACGCATCGGACCGCGGGGAGACCCCTTGGCGGGCGTGCAAGGCAATGCATGCGTGCAGGCGTTGCATGGAGTGCAGTGCAATGCAATGGCAACGCGGCGCCCTGCATGCATGCAACTTCCACCGGCGCTCCGGACTTGGCAGGTGAGGGGGGTCCCCAGTGGGCGGCAGAGAGAGCCGGGAGGGCGAAGGGGAGCCGGGGGGAGCAGCGCTGCTCCCCGAGCCGAGCCCGGGGGGAAACTTCGGCGTCGTTGCGCCGGGTGTTGGAAGCGGAGGCTGGCGGGGCCCCTCACCTGCAAAACCTGGTCGCCTCTCATATATTTCGTGCATTTGCATTCATCGCCCGCTTTCTCCTCCAAGGAGCTCCCGGGGGCGCGCGTGGTTCTCCCCGTGTTATCCTCGCAACAACAGCCCTGCGAGGTGGTCAGGCAAGTGGCCCAAGGGAGCACCCAGGGATTGTCCTGGCCAGGTGGGGTGATTTGAACCCTGCTCTCTGCCCGGTCTTCGTCCTCATTTAGCCCCCACATGTGCATGACTGTGCATGACTGAGGTTTTCCCCCCTCGTCTTGGCTATGGTGTGAGTCTGTGCTGTTAATTAATGGGGTTCTGCCTTCGGAGAAGATGAGCCAGCCCTCAAGGAGGTGATTATGTAATTTGCTAGCAATTCATGTCCCTCCCGGCATGACGCTGCGTGCTGACGTCACGGGCTGTAATGGTGGTGTGCCTCGAGATTTTTTCATGAAACAAGTGTGCCTTTGCCCAAAAAGGGTTGGGAAACACTGATTTACACAATGGGCTGCACATGATTGGCTAATTCTGGAATTCTACTGTAAGCCAATCAGGTTGTGGATTCACTTATATCTGGAGCATGATTGGGTGGTTCCTGCCAACCAATCATACTGCTGCATTGTTCTAGGACCAATCAGACTGCTGCATTCTGAATCCTATTGTTCTAGGACCAATCAGACTGCTGCATTTTGGATCCTATTGTTCTAGGACCAATCAGACTGCTGCATTTTGGATCCTATTCAACTCAGTACATAACACCCCTCCCCTCTAAGTTCCAGTCCTGCCCGGGAGGTCGCATTCATAGTCCTCAAGGTATGCCGGCGGCCTACGTGTGCGTTGCAGCCTGTGGTGTTCCCTGGTCCGGGGTTCAGGTTCTGGCTCGTGTTCCAAGGATGCTGGCTGTGATGGGCCTGTTTGGTCTGGTGCAACCGGCTCGCTCAGTCGTGGTTCTGGTTCCAGTGTCCTTTTGGCCTCGCGGGTCCTCTCTGTATTTACTGATTCTGCCTCTCCTGCTGGCCCCTCCTGGTCTATGGGCCTCACTGCCCCGCTGTTCCCTTGGGACTCCTCTGACCTGTCCGCCTCCTGGTTTTCTCCCGGGAATCGTCGCCGTATGTGGCCACAGTGGCGGCGCCAGCATTGCCCCCCATCCGTTAGCACCTCGTACGACACGGGGCCAGTGACCCTGGTGACTGTGGCGGGTACCCATGCTGGGCCTGCCCCAAAATTCTTTGCGTACACTGGGTCCTGGGCCTTGAAGGTCCGGGGGTTCCTGCCTTCCCCCACCACTACCTCATCCTGAGCTCTATCGGGGTGAAGGCAGTCCAATCTGATTGCAAGGCGCCGACCCATTAGTAGTTCAGCGGGGCTCCGGCCAGTCGTTGAGCTGGGGGTGCTGTGCTGTGCTAGAAGGAATGTGGCAAGGCGGTACTCCCAGTCCCCTTGCGTCATGTGGCGAAGGGTGTCCTTGGTGGTCCGCACCATGCGTTCTGCTTGGCCATTGGTGGCCGGGTGGAACGGCACTGAACGAATGTGGCGGATGGCGTTCTGCGCTGTGAAGGTTTGGAATTCTCCTGACGTAAATGCAGTCCCGTTGTCTGAGACGAGAGTGTCAGGGAGCCCGTGGGTTGCAAACAGCCTGCATAGTACCCGGATGGCTGCGGACGTGGAAGTGGACGGTACCAGTGCGACTTCCAGCCATTTGGTGTAGGAGTCCACCACTATGAAGAATGTTTTCCCCTGAAAGGGGCCGGCGAAATCCACATGCAGGCGTGACCATGGTGCTCGGGCGGACTCCCAGGACTGGACTGGGGCCCTTGGGGGATCTGGGCGGGATTCTTGGCAGGCCTGGCAGTGTTTGACCCAGGCCTCTATCTCTCCATCGATCCCCGGCCACCACACATAACTCCTGGCAAGGGCCTTCATTCTTACTACCCCTGGATGTGTCTCGTGTAGGGCTGTGAGGACCCTTTTGCGGAGGGGCTGGGGAACAACGACTCTGCTTCCCCATAACAGGCACCCCTTGTGGGCCGACAGTTCATGTTCAGTGTGAGCACCCATCTCACTTCCCATCAAAAAATTCATACAAGGGAGAAACCATATAAATGCTTGGAATGTGGAAAGAGCTTCAGTAAGAGTGCCTATCTCACAACTCATCAAAGAATTCATACAGGGGAGAAACCCTATCAGTGCTTAGAATGTGGTAAGAGCTTCAGTGAAAGGGGAAGTCTCACTTCCCATAAAAAAAATCCATAGCAGGAAGAATAATGGAATCAGAGATCAGGAAGGAATCTTGAGGGTCACCTAATGCCATGTCCTGCAATAAACAGGAATCTCAGCTAAAGCTTCTATTATACATGTCCACACAACCTTTGCTTAAAAACCTCCAATGAAGAAGAGTCCACAACATACCAAGGGAGTCCATTACACTGTCAAACAGCCCTTTCCATCAGCAAGTTATTCCAGATGTTTAAGCAGAATCTCATTTCTTGTAACTTGAATCCATTGGTTTGGGTCCTTCCCTCCAGAGCAGGAGAAAACAAGTTTTCTTCATCTTGCAAATGACAGCCCTTGAGATATTTGGACAGCTCTTCATATACACCCTTGTGCAAATTAATTGAAACAAAACATGTTTCTATGCAACATTGATCAGTCTGTCAAGCACCCAGAAAAGTAGATGTTTTGGGGATGCTTCAGTTATTATGGTGTCGGAAGCCTGCAACCAATAGAAGGAATGAGGCGCTCGCCACAATACATTGAGGTTCTACGAAAGAGAGTTATTCAAGGACTGGAAAAGAAGTATCCTGACAGTACTGGGATATTGCAGCAGGACCTAGTTCCCTCTCACACACCGAAAGTGGTGAAGAAATTCATGACA